ATTGTGAAGAGACATAGAGGGTGTAGAATAAGTGGGAGCTTCGGCGCCGGTGAAATACCACTACCTTTATCGTTTCTTTACTTATTCAATTAAGCGAAGCTGGTCTTATCGACCAATTTCTAGCTTTTAAGCTGATTTATTCAGTGATTCGGGTTGAAGACATTGTCAGGTGGGGAGTTTGGCTGGGGCGGCACATCTGTTAAACGATAACGCAGATGTCCTAAGGGGGACTCATGGAGAACAGAAATCTCCAGTAGAACAAAAGGGTAAAAGTCCCCTTGATTTTGATTTTCAGTGTGAATACAAACCATGAAAGTGTGGCCTATCGATCCTTTAGATTCTCGGAATTTGAGACTAGAGGTGCCAGAAAAGTTACCACAGGGATAACTGGCTTGTGGCAGTCAAGCGTTCATAGCGACATTGCTTTTTGATTCTTCGATGTCGGCTCTTCCTATCATACCGAAGCAGAATTCGGTAAGCGTTGGATTGTTCACCCACTAATAGGGAACGTGAGCTGGGTTTAGACCGTCGTGAGACAGGTTAGTTTTACCCTACTGATGAATGTTATCGCAATAGTAATTGAACTTAGTACGAGAGGAACCGTTCATTCAGATAATTGGTTTTTGCAGCTGTCTGATCAGGCATTGCTGCGAAGCTACCATCTGTTGGATTATGGCTGAACGCCTCTAAGTCAGAATCCATGCTAGAACGCGATGATTTACTCCCTCGCCCATTTTAGTTGGATACGAATAAGGCACTTTAGTGTCGCAGAACCATATTTACTAGTGTGGGGCTCTTACGGAAAGGTTTGGGTCTTTGCTAGTTTTCTTAATTTTACTATGAGCGAGGATAAATCCTTTGCATACGACTTAACTGTACAACGGGGTATTGTAAGCAGTAGAGTAGCCTTGTTGTTACGATCTGCTGAGATTAAGCCTTTGTTGTCCGATTTGTTCTTCTAATTTTGTTTAATGGATGGTTCCATTAAAGAGTTAGATATTTCTTTATTTCTAAGACTTGATTATTTAAGTATTGGATATTTCTTTATTGTTTCTTTGATATATGTTAGGTATTTCTTTGATACTTGTTGGATATTCTTAAGTATTTCTTAAGTATTTCTTAGATATTTTCTTAACATTTTGCTTAACATATACCACCAAACATATTCTCTTCACTATGTTCAACCAAACATGTTCTCTTCACTATGTTCAACCATCATATTTCCCCCTAATATTAAACACATTTTTCTTCAATATAAATATCATTAACACACATTAATTATATTACACTTCATTTGTAGATATTGGTTAAAGAAAATACTTAAGATTTTGAAAAAATGGTGGACACTCCCCTTTACTTAGTTAAATTTTCTTATGTTTTTTTTCATGCATGTATTTTTCAACATGCCACAAAACCGATAGCAATGTTACACAAAACCAATTGCCAATTATTACCACCAGGAAGGTACAACAGATAAAGATTCTAGACCATTTTAAAACTATAGATATAGATTGCTACGATAGGACTCGAACTAGAGTGCAAAAAAGTATAGCACTGTCGTAAAAACAGCATACTTTCACACTACTAGGCCATAGAGCCCAATATTAGAATATAAGTTTACATGATCATTATAAGGTGAGTGAGGCGGCGGCGGCGCCCCTACCCCCCAATCCTATAGTAGAAAGGGCTAAGTATATTTGGGTACCATTCCCCCGGTTCTCTTTCCTCTTCTCCTCCTTTTTTCTCTCTCTCTTCTTTCCTTCTCCTCCCTTTCTTCCTTCTTCTCTTTTTCTTCTTTCTCTTTCTCTTCTTTCTCTTTCTTTGGGGGATTTGGTGGGTGTTGGAGAAAATTTTTGCAAAATTTTTGCAAAATTTTCATAAATATAAGGGTGGCTGGTCAAATTTTGGTGTGGCCATGGTATATATTGGCTATGAAGTCATGGAATATGGCAGAGATTGAGGAGATTGAAGAGATGAAAAGATGAGGAAATGAGGCAATAGGTAACAGGGAGATGAGGGAAAGTGAAGAGAGATAGTGTAGAAGTAATATAGAGAAGTATAGGATTTGTAGAGATAATATTTTTCGATATATTAGAGTATATATTGTTACCCTCTGCGCACGTGGTATACACGATATTATACGAGGAATATTGACTTTGGAGTAGATATTTGGAGGATGTTAGGTGTTATAGAGATATAAATGATACTGTGGAATTAGATTATGGTATTATATTGTGGAATTAGATTTGTATATATAAAAATTTTTGTGGATATATTGGGTTATGTGAGAACGTATGATAGAAGATCTTCAGGGCCATTTGGATGGGATAATGAAAAGTTAGATGCATTAACATAAAAAAAAATGAGCAAATTTCATTATGGAATAGTTAGCTTTATCTGGATATATCAATTATAGGGTATATGGAGAGGTATTGTGCGCACCGGCACGGGCTCCGGTACGGTATTCGGTATATTACTTAGTACATAACCACCGTTCAAACCTTCAACATCTAGCAAAAAATCTCAACTTTTTTGTATGTTCTTAACAATATATCAATATGTTATTAATATATATATGATTAGCCGATTTTTATCATTTTTTTGGTATAGGTTGCAAAAAAAAAAGACTACAGCACCTGAGTTTCACGTATGGTCTCCCACTACATTACTCGGTCAGGCTCTTGGCAGCTTAAGTACCATTGATCGGACGGGAAATTCTGCTTTCTACCAGATGTGGCCGTAGACACAGGTGATGTTTGGAACAGGTATATGTAGGATTGGGGGAGGAGATCTTTATTTTGATGGCCATTTTTTCAAGATATTATATATTGTGGTGGAATATATGGTCAATTATAGTGTTGGGTGATGTTTTGCTAGGCGATGGCGGTGAAAATTGGGGTACTGCAAATTTTCATTCGACCATTGTGGTAGGCTAATGGATGGTATTTTTTGATGTTTATATATATTCTTGATCGTAGTCAACAGGAGATGTGGAAAGTATCTTTTAGTTTGTAAATATGTTGATTTTTGAGTGTGGTGTGTAACTTTTCACCTGTATGAGGTTTGGTGATATGTGAAAAATGAATCATGTATAGATGTTTGAATATTTTGGTGATAATAATTTCTTTTTTTCGCGACTTTAGGGTATATTGTGGTATAAGTGATGCTCTACAACAATAATAAGCTGCAAAGTATATGAATATGACGTGTTTGATGGGTATATTGTGTTTTTATGAGAACTAATGTATGGGGAGGGTCTTCAGGAGGTCATAGATGAGGCGTAAACTTGAGATAATTCAAAGTTAGATACACTAACATGAAGAAAAAGAGTATATTTTACCATACAATGCTTAACTTCACACTAACATACACATTATTGGCTGTTTTTGTCATATATATAGAGTGGCCTTCACGTATACCGTCACGGGTATCCGGTGCACCGGTGCGGATCCTCACTCCCGATGCCATTTTGGCCTCACTATTCAACCTTTTCCATTCTTTCAACATGCTAATACCAAAATGTGTCCCCAAATATTCCACCAAAACTCTTACATTCACAATCTTCCCATCCTTTCTACGTGAAAAGCCCAATTATATACCTTTTTCCCATATATGGTGTTTGGGCGGTTGTATTTTTGGATGTATGGTGGGGTTACGTAGCGTTTGAAATTGCAAGAGGTCTAGAATAGGGTCTAATTCATCCCACTCTGGTTAGTTTCCCCTGGATCTGTTGATTATGCTCTTTTTTTTGGTCACTTAGGTAATCTATACCATAATCCCGCGCACGTGATGTCTCCTGCCCCCATACCATACACAGCATGCCCATAACCTTGTCTTCTTCTCACTTTTTTCAAAATCTAATGCCATATATCGAATTCTACGCGTCTAAATACCTTATAAATGTTATAATAATATACATTTTCCTCATATTGACGTTTTTCATTTTTTTTTCAATTTTCTTTTTGTGTCCCTCACTTGATATATAGGCTCATAAGGTGGCTCATAAGGTACCTCATAAGGTACCTCACAAAAAATTAAAAATATTAAAATATTATGATCTTATTATCATTATATCATCATTATCATCATCATCTTCACTTTATCCCCCCACTTTTCCGTTTTTGTGTAATGTTTACCTTCTCATGTTGATGAGTGCTCATGCGAGACAAAAACCGTTGTGCCCTGCATTAGCCCCCAATTCGGGTTAACATATCCACATCATCCCCATATTCCTCCCCAAAAATACCCTTTTTCCCTCTCCCCTGCTTTCATTAAATCATATATCTCATCATTCCCCTCCAAATTTATTACATATCCCTTATCCCCCTCCAAAATACCCACAAAAGCTCTTATACATGGTATTAAATATTGAAATATACTGAGCCTCCAATCATATCTACGTGGCGATATCCAAATGCAGAAAGACGAAGGCTAAAATTAATTAATTGAATAAGTATGACTATATCCACCAACAGAGTTCTAGAGAGATGATATTTGAAAAGAAAAAATAAGAAAACTTCTCACATAGCGGATCAGTTGTTGGCACCACCACACCTGTGGTAGGATGGTTCGCTAAGTCGTCAACGTATTACTTAGATATTGTTCACTCACACATTGACGAATGACATGATGTTACGTTCGAACTGTTAACAGAATTTATGCTGTTATTTAAGTTCCAAATCTCTTACAAGAGTAATATGTTCACTCTAGATATGATACTCCTATTTATAGAATATTACCCTATAGGGATATCAAAGGAGGTTCCACTTATCATGGAACGTAGTTTATTATTCAAGGATCGTATGATCCTACAGTCTAGTTTAATCTGTAGAAGGATTTAATAATATTGAAGTTAAAACATCTCATTATACGACTACTGACCGACCTCAGCCTCTATTGTTTGTAATAGATAATCAGTCTGATCCTTATACTGGTACTTCCGGTGAAGTACAACAGTCTGTAGTTTCCCTGGACAACAGGTGGCCCAAAAATTAATGAAATTATAAAGGATAAATGAAGCGTTTGTTTTCGAGATCAGTAAGGTCTAAGTTAGCAACATCAACTTTGTTGATTACTTCGTTACCATTATCATCGGTCTTGACGACACTACCAAGAACGTTTTTGCCCTCAGCCTCAATGGCAGCCAATCTCTTATTGTTTCTGCCCGACAAGATGAAGTGAATAATCCAAGCGATCGCTGGAGCCCCAACCCAAGCCAAAACAATTTGGACGATCCAAGCAGCATAGTAACGATCCACACCTGTTTTGTCATGGCCTTGATTACCTTTCCATAATTGAGGAGATATAATATTAGCAATACCATAAGAGGCCATAAACATAAAATGACGAAAGAATCTTTTGGTGTTACCGGAACAAGAAGATGTGGCCCAGCCAAGACCCACAATAAATGTAACACCATAAGTATTAGAAGCTAAGAGAAGACAGGATAAAAGGCCTAATTTGTTATGCCATGGGAGAGTAATCATAACAATCCCACCAGCGATGGATGGAAGACAAGCTAAAGTAGAAATGAGAGCGGTACTGTTTGGTCTAAAGTAGATAAATGCAGCGGCGGCAAGGTGAAAAATAGAAGAAAATCCACCACCAGCAACAGAAACTAAAGTAGAACCTAAGTCACTGACACCAAGACTAACATATAACAAGTTTTGTTGGTAGTACAAGTTGTTAGACAACATGAGTAGGAAAATGAAAAGGGTGAACAACCATGATATTGGATCCTTGATACATTCAATTATTTGTTCCTTCTTGACAACATGTTGCACAATGGAAGCCCTAGATTCACCTTGAATTTTCTTGATTAGGAAATATTTCTGTTTTTCAGTCAAGAATTTAGCTCCAACTGGGTCAGATGGGTAGAATAAGGCAACCCAAATTGCGACAAAGAAAGTAGAACCTCCAGTAATGATCATAAAGATTTGCCATGGTGGAATAGAATTTTTAGCCCAAAGGACACCATAAGCGATAAAGCCTGAAATAATTACTGAAGCGCCAACACAGGAAATCCAAAAAACAGGTTGTAAAGTAGCTCTTTGTTTAGGAGTGAAAAATTGTAACATAGTAACCTCCAAAGCTGGGACAACGGTACTTTCAATTAAACCAAGGACAAATCTAAGAATGACAAGACCTCCGAAGTTATATGCACCACAATGACAGAAAATAACAACAGACCAAGAAAAAATTATGTACGTCATGTATTTGCTCATATTGGATTTTTGCAAGACGAAATTCAATAGTTGACCAACTGTATAGCCAGTGTAGAAAATAGAATTCAAATCATCATATTGGGCAGCATTAATATGTGTAGATTCAAAGAGACCTAAAATCGTAGAGTAAGCCAAGGTAGTCTTATCAATGAAAAGAACCGCATTAATCACAAAGATTAATGGGAAAAGCCATAAGTAAAGACGTTTATTTAACTCTTTTTCATCAACAGCGGTGAATTTCACATCTTTGAACTCTTCATCATGATCTTCAAGGAACTGCAATGAAGGATCAGCATACTTTTCAGTAATTCTGACTTCTTCGCTGGAAGAATCTAACTCTGAATCAATATTGATGCTGGAAATCTTTTCCTCAGACATTTGGAATTTATGTATCAACTTATTTGGCTGGTGGAGGAGAAAGCTGGAAATAAGAAAACATAAAAAACGACAGACATTATATATTTTTTTAAAAAAAAACTTGAGCTATCATGGGATATTTAAATTAATATTTCAAATGCGCAACACAAGATTGCCTAGACGTAAGACCATCCCCAAATATTTTTTTTTTCATACCTAGCTAGATGCGCGCATATTATTAGCTAAAATTGGAGTTACAACTCCACTAGTGTAAAAACAGATTCAAAGCCGCATCATGGGATGACAACAAAGACAATGTTGAATACACAGTTTTGACATGTCATAATATAATAAAGGATAAAAGGGCCAAAAGCTTCAGGTGGAAAAAAATCTTTTTTATTTTCTGGAGGAGAAGAATGTGAAAAAGAATTTCATTGTAGAGTATGACACATTTCTGTAACCATGATTAGTAACGCTCGTGCACCTCACATTTTAGTTCGTGCTATTCATACAGTAATTAAGGAAAAGCTATTATAAGCCCATTTAATGCATTGGCTATTTGAGTGCTCTCTATGTGACTCAATTTACTGATGTTAGTCGATGAGTCAGGTGTATCAGATGTTAATTCGAACTATAATTGACTTATTGTGTCAGAGCATGTCACAACGCTGGTTCTTTAGACTCAAAAATAGAGTACAATACTAATGCGGTAACTGCCAAATCTGGTAATATCCAATCATGTGCATTTATGCTAAATATATTCACTGTACCTAGCACATTTAAAAGAACTCCAAAACTCATAATGATACTGCAAATAATTTTGTGTAACGTTAATCTTAGGATGTCAACTACAGAAGAGAAATTGGAGGAGAGGGGTATCATCCATGGGATCCCAAGTTCTTATCAACTCGAGTTGATCTAACTGCTAGATCCGGCGGAATATTTGGTACATTTCCAAGTAAATGGGAATTACCTGTACATATGTACATATATTTATCCAACTTTCCATCATGCGTCGCCTCGTATATAAATCCTCCATCGTCTGTTATTTCTCATAATTTCTTGAAGGAGATATCATATATCTCTGGCCCTAACTCAGAAGGATAATAATAAAATATTAACCTACAATATTCAGTAAGCGTTTGAAAGTCATTTTAATTAATTTGGTACAAGCTCGGCTAATTCTTGATCCAAAAAAAAAAAACTAGCTTTTTATCTCCCGTGAATGCGAATCAAAGTAACCAGGGCTATTATTATGTTGGAATTTGTTGAGACTCTTCCAGAATGAGTGCGGTTTTTTTTTTTTTTTTATAAAGTCCCTATATTTAACTACTAAGAGCTATATAGGTCATCGCACTTTTTATGTACGGTTATTATGATCAATTATGCGCAGCTATGGCGACTTATTTGGTGTCCGTTTTCTCCCAATATTTTTGGTAACCCGGGAGTTTGGGTTGGAAAATGCAATGTTTTTGACTTGTAGCAACCTGTCACTATTTTTTTTTTTTAGCCAGGGAGGAGGAAATCTTCGAAAGACACCAGCGACGCAACCTTACCGGTAGTGTGAGATTTTTACTCACTAAAACCCCCTTGTATCTTACCTTCAGAGTGGTATTACTCCTTACTCAGCTAGCGTACTGAACGTGACCTGGTGGTTAATGCAGCGAGCGGGGTTCGAACACGCGACCCTTTCTTAGTCTATGGTTCTGCCCACTACGCCACCCAGCGCAGGTTTGGTTAGTAAAATAAAAACAATTAAGCTGCATCAAAAACAATTTTTTAGCTAACCTCCGCCGGCCTAGTATAGTGGTCAGTACGAGTCGTTGTGGCCGACTAGACCCAGGTTCGATTCCTGGGGCCGGCAATAGAATAAATCTACATTTAAAGTGACTAATTTTTTGCACTATTTACATTCCAAATCCCTAATTATAAAACTATTCAATCAATATCACTTTTTTTTGAAATATCGAATGAATGAATTGTATATTAACGAGTCACAGAGGTTCTAAATAACATGCAAGCCGGGCACTTCATGCCGGTCTTTCTAATAGATAAGTAAAATACTATAACTTTCTCACAACCTCATACTCCTTGCTTTAAGAATTAATCACATCACCGGTAAAAAACTCAACAATCGAGATTATTAAGGAAAAAAGGTGCAATGTGAAAATATGAGATGAAGCCACTAGTGAATTACCCATCACTAGGAGCTTCATGAACTGAGATGGAGGTCTTTGTTGAGGGGTTTTGGCACTATATATCAAATACTAAGTATTTTCAATGTAGTGACCATCAGAATTCTGGGGGGATAATATAAATAAAAATAATGAAAATCAATAAAATAATTAAATCCAAGTAAAAAAATAATTCAAATAATCATATGAATGAATGAATGAATGAATTATATATTAACGAGTCTCATATCACGTGATCACTAATACATTACCGAGATGGATTGTTAATTTCGCATTATTTTTGTTATATTATTGGATCATGGTTGGGTTGAGTCCTGGTTACCAACGGTATGGTACCATACGAAACCATGATCTGCATTACCTCATCGAGGTATCACTTTATGTCCCACCGCTTATCTCTTATCCTTGTCGTATCGCCTTATGTTTAGCCTTTTATTCCCAGAACGGGTCCAACACCCCATTATTAGTTTCAATCATTTTATTTATTTAAGGATTCAACATTCCTCTTGTTTTCACCTTTATTTAGTTTAAGAGAAGGATCATCTTTGTGATCACCTAATTTGAATCTTCTTGGTCGAGAACAATCATCGACAAGAAGCAGAGTGTAACATTTGGTAGCACCACTAGGTTTAAAATGAATAACGCGGAACGCGAAAAGTTGTTGTTGAACAACATGCCGGTCTACGACGGATCCGACGACCTATCATTGATTCTCTCTTGGATGGATCACTTTAAGATTATTATGCCCAAACTATCCGGATCCCGAGAGGAAAAACTCCTTTTGATTTCGGTGAAACTCCGGGGGGATGCGATGACCTGGTATGCGAAGTTTTTAGCCACGGCTGACGAAAAGTCAACCGACTCCGATCTCAGTGACATGCTCACCAGTTTCAGAGCCTACTTTTTACCTGCAAACTTCCAGCAGATGCTTCTCAATCAACTCGCAGAATTGTCACAAACCACGTCCGTCAACGCCTACAATCGGAGCTTCGACCGTTTGGTTAATCAATTAGACAACCCAAACCCCGCCCATCTCTTGGCCACCTACATACAGGGGCTCAAGAGAGACATGAGAATTCATGTTGTCGCTAAGGAGCCCCGCGGTTTTATAGAGGCTCAACGTTATGCTGACATCCTCGATATGGCTTCTTTCGGCGCGCCCTTGGCGATGAAGGTTTTTGCTGGTACTCGGACCCAACCATCATACCGATCAAGCATGAGGGAGACCCCTCCGAAGAGGACCCGTATCAACGCATTACCTCAATCTCAAGGACCTAGGGGTCCAAGAGGCCCAAGAAGGGTTTTGCGCTGCTACTTATGTCAGGAGGAAGGACACATGGTCCATCAGTGCTCAAAACTTCGTGATGCTCAAGCCGCCATTAAATCTGCAGACTTAAGGGACGAAGAACCTTTCCAAGATATTGCCATGGTTGAAGGGCCAAAAAACTGGTAAGCCGACACAACCCAGAGCCCGTTGTGTTGGCTAGTATTACCACTACTGCTGACCCTCTCAACCTACCCCTCATTACTATGAATGTTAAGGTAGGTTCAATCAATGTAACCGCCCTATTAGACTGTGGCGCAACTGCTAATTACATTAAAAAGAGCACCATGGAAAAGTTAGGACTACAAGAAATTCCGTTAAAGAGAAGTCGTCGGGTGTTTGACGCCTTTGGGAAGCCACATGAACGGTTGGCTTATTGGTCCAATGTTGACATGTGTATATCACGCAATACATGTCAGATCGATTACAACTTCAGAGGGTTCGTCACCCAGAACGTAGATCAGGAAGTCATTTTAGGACTCCCTTTTTTATACAATTTTATCAGGAATTGTTACCATTATTTCAAGAAATTAAAGAGAACAAAAATCAAACCAATAACCTGCTTACTCTAAATCTCCTATCAGCTGAGGAGACTAACCGGCTCTTAAAGAGTAAGTCAACTGAATGTTATTTGGCTTTGGTCAAAATGGTCGCGGATGACCACGTGACTACAGAACAAGAAAAAGTTCGAACTACAAAAGAAGAAGAAATTTTTAAACAATATGCAGACGTTTTCCAATTGAAGTTACCAGAAGGAGGATCTAACTTCACCAGAGTCAAACACGAGATACATGTGTTGAGCGACTCCAAGGCACCATTCAAAGCTCCATACCGACTCTCACCTCAAGATCGAGCCGAGCTCAAGACGCAGATTAATGAACTACTCCGGCAAAAGTTAATATTTCCGGTTGCGTCTCCTTATGGAGCCCCAGTGCTTTTTGTTAAGAAGAAGGACGGAACGAAACGGCTCTGTGTGGATTACCGAGGCTTAAATGAGATAACTATCAAGTCAAGATTTCCACTACCAAGAATAGATGACCTACTCGACCTCATCAAGAACGCCAAAATATTTTCCAAGCTTGATTTGGTTTCCGGTTATCATCAAATCGCCATCAGCCCAGCTGATCGGCACAAAACCGCCATGGTCACGCCGTTTGGCCAATACGGTTGGAATTGTATGCCGTTTGGCCTCACGAATGCTCCTGCCACGTTCCAACTGGCTATGAATGAATTACTTTTACCGCTTGAAGAATTTTGCGTCGTCTACTTAGACGACGTATTGATTTTCAGCACAAGTGAGGCCGAGCATCGTAAGCATATTGATGTTGTGATATCTACCCTCCAAAAAGCTGGTTTAATTATTAGCAAACGCAAATCAGAATTCTTTTTGGCTAAAGTCTCGTTCCTTGGTTACCAGATCGATGCCGCCGGTGTTCATGTGGAGCCTGGGAAAATTGAAGCTATCCAACGATTTACGGTATCCACCCCGGAAGAAGCTCATTCTTTTATAGGATTAGCCAGTTATTACCGCCGTTTTATTGAGCACTTTGCCGAATTAGCCCGCCCTGTCCATCAATATGTCAACGGGAAGATAGAATACAGTGACGAGGTAAAGAACGCGGTTGGCGAGTTAAAGCGGAAATTGATTTCTGCTCCGGTCCTTATGAATTTCGACAGTACCAAGCCACTCCGAGTCACAACCGACGCCTCTGGTTTTACTTTAGGCGCCGTGTTGGAACATGTGGCCCCGAATGGAAAAACAGAGGGTGTGGTGGCCTACTTTTCGAAGGGCCTTATCGGGGCTCAACTTAGGTACCCAGTCAGGGAGAAGGAACTTTTAGCCATCATTGAGTCATTGAAGAAGTGGCGTCACTACCTCGTCGCTCCATTTGAAGTGGTAACTGACCATCATTCCCTCACCTACCTCAATTCCGCCAAGAATGAAGGCAATCAAAGATTGCTCAGATGGCAAGATTTCATTGCGGACTTTAACTTTACGGTGAAATACCGTCCCGGAGTTACCAATAAAGCTGCTGATGCTTTATCGCGAATGAAAATCAATGCCATGACTATTGACTCGGTTGGTGAAGACGAATATAAGGCTGATGCTTATTTTTCCGAAGTATGGAAGGTCCTTGACGGGGAATTGGAGTGTCCGAAAGAACTAAAATCCATTATTCAACGGTATCAGTTTGCTGAGTTGGCAGGACGCCGACAAATCATTTACCAAATGACTCCGATTGACAAACCCCGGCTTTGTGTGCCTGGAGGGAAAACCAGATACCGGTTATTGCAAGGCGTCCACACGGCCGAGGCTGCGCTTCATATGGGTACGACCAAGATGCTATATCAGTTACAGGAGAGTGGGTTCTACTGGCCTAAGATGCTTAAGACTATTGCCCTGTTTGTCAAGAAGTGTGATATTTGTACGAAGGTAAAACCCACGAATAGACGCCCGGAGGGAATGCTACAAACCCCAACGATTCCTGCCCAGAGATGGTCTAACCTTACTATGGATTTTATAACAGGTTTTACTCCGAGCCGCGGTTTCGATTCAATATTCGTGGTGGTGGATAGACTTACCAAAAGAGCAGTGTTCGTGCCTCATAAGAAAACCGATGATGCCGAAGCGGTTGCTAATTTATTTATGGATTATGTTGTCCGAGACCATGGCCTTCCAATGTCCATCATTTCTGATCGAGACCCACTCTTCATCAGTCACATGTGGAAGACCCTTACCAAAATGTTAGGTGTTTCCCAGGATCTCTCCACCTCTGGCCACCCCGAGACAGATGGCCAGACCGAACGACTCAACAGGGTATTGGTTCAATTGATGAGAACGTTGGCTGCTTCTCACGCGATTGAATGGGCTAAGTACTTGGGCATGGCACAGTTTGCCTACAACTCTCAGTACCAACTGGCTATTAGAACCACACCGTTTTTTGCTGATTTGGGCTATCATCCAAGATATTGGCAAATCATTCATGATATTCCATTGGCCACCGCGATTGGTGATGACTCTATGATTGGGGGGTACGAATTTGTTCATCGGCAAGAAAGGATCTTGGAATCAATTCAAGTACAATTAGCCGATACTCAAAAGGAGACAACAGCGAAGGTGAATAGAAAACGCTCCGACGTGGAATATAAGGAAGGAGAATATGTGTTATTACACCGCCACGCGTTCAGAACAGCCCGAACTAGCAAGCAAAAGTTCTTACCGCCATTCCAAGGTCCGTATAAAATCGTCAAGGTACTAAATAACACCGCCTTCCAAATCCAAGTCTCAAGCAGGAAGATAATTACTGCCAATATACAATGGGTGAGGAAATATCACGCTATCCACATGATACTACCAGAAGTGGAAAGCGACCCGTGGTACAAGGAAAACATATCGGAAATCCAAATGATTGTTGATCTCGAAAAGGACTACGCCCTTGTCATGTACCCAGGGAAGGCAGACCCAGTGCCTGTCCCCGAAACTTGGATCCGTTTAATTCCTCATGAGAAACGGATTACACTCCTCGACGAGCTTGATGACTTTTTGGCTAACAATAATGATCGAGACGACTCATTCTCCGAGGGGGGATAATGTTATATTATTGGATCATGGTTGGGTTGAGTCCTGGTTACCAACGGTATGGTACCATACGAAACCATGATCTGCATTACCTCATCGAGGTATCACTTTATGTCCCACCGCTTATCTCTTATCCTTGTCGTATCGCCTTATGTTTAGCCTTTTATTCCCAGAACGGGTCCAACACCCCATTATTAGTTTCAATCATTTTATTTATTTAAGGATTCAACATTCCTCTTGTTTTCACCTTTATTTAGTTTAAGAGAAGGATCATCTTTGTGATCACCTAATTTGAATCTTCTTGGTCGAGAACAATCATCGACAAGAAGCAGAGTGTAACAATTTTTCAAGTTGGTTTCGTGGTCTAGTTGGTTATGGCATCTGCTTAACACGCAGAACGTCCCCAGTTCGATCCTGGGCGAAATCAATTTTTTGCAATTTTTTTCACTTAATCCCACTTAATTGGCATACAGTTTCCTAAAAACACACGATGCAACTAAAAGCTCAGTTAAATAATAAGCCGAGGTCGAGGCTGTACCATATCTAATGATAGTTTGTATAATGAACAATGTTATCAATGTAATACATTCTGAATATTGAATTTTCAAGCAGCAAAGTTTTTATTTACTCTAGGTTAATAGGTTAATTATTACCTATCTGCTTAATTGTACTGTAGACTATAGGATTGCTCAATTCCTAAATCGTAGAAATCATTTGTTTTTCTACCACCAGGGCGGTACACATGATGCAAAAAAAATAACAACAACTTGATTTCAGTCTGTTTGTTCTAAAGATAAGGGATGATCTCACAGATCACTTTACATGATAGAAAGATTATTTCATGGATCTCTTGCTCTATTGAGGGTAGCATAAAAATTACAATGAGAAGAAGGTGATGATCTGAAAAACAACCCCAATAACTTTTTCGTTCTCCTCATAATTTTTATCTATTATACCAAATGCTCCTTCCACCAAACCCTTTACAGGTACAATATTTCTGGTGAGAATCATTTTAGCACCAATAGCTGATGGAGTCACAGGGGAGGGCATGTCAATGAGATCCATGTCACCGATACAAAGAGGAACTGTTCTTATAACAATAATGATAAGAAACAAAAGCTCTTACTGCACTACCAAATAGAAGTTGGATAATATTATGGTTAATATATTCTCCATCACAACCATTACCATCCAGCTTAAGAAGATCTTCTCCCTTTCAATTGGAATTTCGGATATGGGTAATAGCCCGAATGAATGGGTCACATAGTCTTTTCAAGAAGAGATTATAGTCCACATCTGGACTTCGAAGATTTTCTAACAAATTCACCAATTGGAATCTTGAGAACCATTCATCATCAAAGTATAAACTATTTTTAGACCCTCTTATTATCATGAAATCTGTCAGAGCAGATAGCAAAAAGCACTTCTGGGGCGCCAAATGATTTATCACTACCATATAAGTGAGTCAACATGCGATGTACCAAACCAACATTATAAAGGTGAACCAGGCCTATTTCGTCAATAAATAATTTATTATTAGAAGTGGTTATTTGCCCGAAAGAATTATCTGGGTCACCATTCAATACCAGATTTCCAATAGGTTCAATAATGTCTTGTGGAATATCAATTTTCCAAGAAATTTTTGGTATCAGCTCCTTCAACTGATCTCTCAGCAATCTATAGTTGAAAACTTCTTTGAGACCGCTAATGGAGATATTTTCAAGCAAATGATTAGATATAAATGAGCTTGTGGGATTTCTAATCCGCTCAACATTAGCTTTGAATCCAGCAGGATCCTGAAGGCAAATTATGGCAAAGTTACTGAAAACATACTTCTTTATAAGGAAGAAGGGAATTGGTATATAATTAAGTTACCTGAAAGAGCGAGAGCCAATCTTATTTATAATTTCAAAATCTTGAAACAGCTTAAAACTATCAAGGGCGTCTGGTATGGTAATAAAAGCTTGAATGTATGGGATTATGGCAGAACTGCCATCGGTTGCACTTAATGCCACTTTCTTCTAATAATCAAACTTCAGTATGTTCCGTGTTTTAACGATAGGATTTGAATGGAACAATTGATAAGATCGTTTGAGTTTAGCTTCTTCATGGCAGGCGATTTTGACCCCGGATTCTAATATCAATTTGAAGTAAAAATGGCTGTTGGAAAAAATAAGGAATGCACTGAATCAGCAAAAATGAGCTAGAGCCTTTTTTTTTTTTCTGCTGATGCCTTGTGAATTGAATTTACAAACATGCCCCAATATTTGATCAAGTGTGTATACATTTCGATTATAATAAATTTGAGAAAATCAACAAGTGGGAAACATAGGTAGCAGTACGATCTTGATAATTACCATCACCATCACCATCACCTTGCTCATTAGCTTGGGGTTCCTTACTTCTATCCTGTTCATCAGTCATATGAACTGGAAGGAGTGTCAAGATCTTACGGTCCGTGACTAATCCATCAAAGAAAACCTTGAATATAACCAATTCTGTTCCAATATGCAATTATTTCATATAATTTTCACCGCCATGCACGATTTCTGACAGTGCATCATTCATTATATTTTAGGATATACCGCAACAAACTTTTGCTGTTGGCCAGAACCATATTACAATAGTAATTGAATAAAGTGACCAAAACAGGGTCAAATTCCACAATATCCTTATTTATCTAAAATTTTCCCAACAATCTTATAGGTTCCAGGGGGTCTTTGTGAGATGAAAGCACCATCATCAACTAAAAGATGTCTCAGAGTAAGGTTGTGGATAATTAAACCAGCAGCGACCATTATTCAAACAATACTATTTAAAAAATTTTGTGGAGATTTTGCTCAGCAACCAAATCAGTAACATATTTGTCAACATCATGGAGACACGAGAGAGGCCTTCACAACTAATTCAAAGTCCTCAGAAACAGCTTCATCAATCGACATCACAATATGAGCATGAATGGCACCCAAGATTCAGATTCATAATGAAATTGTCACGATTTTACTTCTTCTTGAAAAATTGTTATCACTACTACGGTAGAACGTCAATTTGTTGGTGTAATAATTGAATCTAGCAGCAGCACCAACACCAGACTTACAATCAAATACTTCACCATTACAAACACCACTTCCACTCATCATGAGATATCTTAAACCCAAAAAAGCTCTTAATTTCTTTAAATCTGATGATCCTTCCAAGAAATTACCCGAATAATTTTCTTTCATTTGATACTCATAGTAAGCTGGATCGCCTTGATGCATCTTTCAAGAAGATTAGCATAGGGGGACAAAAATATACAAGTGATGATAAGTCCTGAAGAGAATTCAGTCTTAAATGAGATTCTTGGGTTTTTAAAATCAACTACGAATGGTGCTTAAAGTGATATTTTGAGGTGAAAAGAGAACAGTCTACATTGTATTGGAGAATACAAACCGTTTGGGATCCTGCACTTCCTGTATTCATCAGAAACACTCTTAAATATAAAAGCTTTCCCTTCTCAAATTTATTTATGAACTTATGCGACAATCTTTTCTTCTACTGTAGTATTTGATAGATAATATAAGGCATGAAGTTCTCATCTCACTTGCTTCAAATGTTTTATATTATTTGTATTATCTGTTTTGGCGTATTTATTTTTTTAATATAGAATCATGAATTGACATATAATTGTTTTCAGGAAGAGCAGACTTAGCTGGGATCTTTGTTTTTTGACTTTGATGAACCTCTTGCAAAAAATACCGTTTGTGTGAAACTGCATTACTGACAAGATAAAAGGACTTGAATATTCCATGGTATGTAATAAGATAGATAAATATGTTTCAGTCTCTAGATATTAGCTTTGTGGAAATTGGCTTCAACATTTCTAAAAGAGTAACTTGAAATGTTATACATAGGTTAGCTTAGCTCTAGTTGCGCCCAGTATGATAACTAATTTTTTCGAAATAGGAGAGTTGTCAATTGTGCTTACAAGTATTAGATCAACAGGTCACAAGATCTATAAGCCAGGGTCCTCATTGCTATTGTTTTGTGTCTTTGGAATTAATGAAAAACCCTTCATAAGTTCTATTCAAAAAAGATTCGCCGCACAGCTTCATGTGTATGACGTAGGATATCGAAATCAAAAAGACTAAAATGCAGATATATATATATATATCATACCCTAAGCCTCAGTTTTTTGATCCCCTTCAATGAAAGAAAGGCTCACATCGAACGCGTGAATTTAACGGTACTTATTTTGAAAGGAACATGAGAGTTTCAGAATACTAACATTTTATTTTCGAGCCACCAACTTTTCTTTGAAGGCTACCATGAACCTTTTCATGGCCAAACCATGCCTGATCTCATCAAGTGAATAATGATTTGCTATCATAATATTTAGTCCCCCATATGGAGTACTACAAGTCGAAATGCTGAAATGCGTCGATGAAACACCTTGGCTGAAGATACAGTCTTCGACCCTCCATTCACCATGGTTGATTTTAATAAGCCCAACATTGGATAGCTCAGCCGAAGATCTAACCTCCTTTTTATCATACAGATTCTGTATATGATCCCAGATATTGATGAGTCGGAGCAACCCGGCTAAACTGAACGATTCTCTACTTTTCAATGCAGCGACCAACTCATGAGAAATAAATTTTGTAGCCAGAAGAACTGAATTATTTCTTGAAACTAAAATCTTTGATTGTGACATATAGAGCCCATATCTGGTTTTTTCCTTGATTTCTGGGTAGTAGCGACGACCGCAAATAGGGATGGCAAATTCGTAACTAGGCTTAATGTTCAAAACGGGTACTAAAGTTTCGTCTAATGCTTTGAAAGCACAACCTGCAATGAATGGTGTCAATGTGACTCCTTCCAGCTTGCAAAACTTCAAAGAGGCCAGAGTTTCCTCAGGGCTGAGTGTCAACAAGTGGAAGTTACTCTCGTTACTGAGACTTACCGGATGATGGTTAAATATTGGGTTCTTAAACAAGTTAGGATCGCCTCTTGTGAAAAAACTGCTAAAAAGCTTCTTTATCACGGTTGGAAGGAAAAGCTCTTTGACTATTGTTTTGATGGCAAACCAAGTCGAAAAGCTAAAGAGATCAGTCACTTTGTCGGAAGATTCTGGTAATATTTTCGGACCTTCTACTTCGCTATCAAATAGGACATTGACAAATTTGAGGTTGCTCTGTGACTTAGCAGTCGCTAACTCTCTAACCAAGTCATCTAGGAAATTAACTCCAGAGTTCCCGTCTAGGAACATATGATTAGTTGCAAACGTCAAGTACTGGTTGCTTGACTCGGCCACCTCGTTGACTAAAATGTACCATGTTGGTTTGTCGGTGTCTATAAGAATCTTCCTATCGGATAACGTCTTGAAGTAGTCGTCGTCTATTCTTTCCAATTGCTGATGACACACCACATCTGTGAATTGAATCTTGGATACCAAGCGAGCCTCATAATTGGTTCCGTTGGCCTTACGGTCATCATGGAGTAAATTTTTTGGACCTGAGGAAGGTTTTAAGCGGAAGAGATTCATACAAAGAGTTGGGTACTTCAATAACATCGATCTCAACGCATTGGAAAGTAAGACATCATCGACTCTTTTGTTCAAACACACCGACATGTTAAAGCCCTTATTGTAATGATCACCTGTAGATCTACAGATGTAGTATCTTTCAAAGAACCCGGGTTCTCTCATAAGCAATGACAGTGATTCCTTGGACATGATAAGTGTCGAGTTTAAGATATGTCTTCCAAATATTTAATTAACACCGCGTTTAACAACGACATGTCAATGTCAATGTGAATAACAGAGAAAAACATTTAACATTTAATTCCTTTATTGCCCATACTGAATAAAAAACAGTTTTTTTTTTTTTTTTTTTTTTTCATTTAAACCAACACGGCGGAATTTGTTAGTGGCACGAACATTCACTATGAACTAATTTATTGTAATTGTGAAAGCTCTTTCAGCATTGATAATCTACAAATAAATAAAAAGTTGAATTATTATAGTTTTTTTTCTTTTTTTTGTTTTTTCAATTTCAGGAGATTTTTCAGGATATTAAATGTAGAGAAGCATTGAAATACATACATATCTAATATATTATATTATGTACTGACTGTACTGTACTATACGCCCTTAATTAGTCAGGGAGGGACATCATCATATACTATACTTAATATACTAAGGATATATAAATGTAGCTTCTACTGAAAGATGGCGAGTAACGATTTCCGATACTGAACGATTGGTAGAATGTGGAACACGTAGGTCCCAAGATTTGCGAAAATATTCTAATCTTTCTTTTCTGTCTTACATTTCACCAAAACTTCAGTGCCTCCCTGAAAGTCCTAATATATATTGCGGAATATAAATTGTTACTGAAATCCAGGATTATGAAAACCAATGCGAATAATCACTATATTTACCATCCTGGATAATAAATATGTTCAGCTCGATATTATTTTTCCACTTCGTTCTAAGATCATCTTGCATCATTTTTCTTCCCAACGCCACTCAATCACTCACTCACTCGCCCACTTTTTTAATCATTATTTTTTGTTGGTCGTATGATAAAAATTTTCTTTGTCTTTCCTTGTCACTTCTATTATCACTAAGAACCTGATTGCAATCATCCAATAGCATGGTCATTGTTTCAACATCCAGCCGGATACCTTGCTACTACGACAAACGGGCTTATGCTGAGGTTGACGGCACTATAACAAGTGTCCAGTTTGATAGTGTCTACTCCGGTTGCCTTATTTGTATCAAACCTCTTAAGCTCTCTCCCAAAGCTGGCCATAGAAGGAATTACAAATCCTTCTTTTTAGATATATGCCGTCTACTTGAGAACGAAAACCAGCGCGATAAACAAATTTTCGAGAAAATCGTCAGAATCAAAAAGTTTGAATGGTTTTTTTGTCGAACAAGAAATATGCCCCTACTGCAACTGTATCACACCGATGGGACTAATTCCTTGGTTCGTAGGTACCGTGAATGTTTCCGCAGTTAAGGGCAGGTTATCAGGGTTTTGGGGACCTAAAGAGGTGGTTTTCAAATTTAGATTTGAAAATTTGATCAAAAGAACACCTGAAGACGGCAAAGTTTCCAAATATCTTTGCCTAATGCCAGGATTAATTAGCTCTGATAAATATCTCAACGAAGCCGTCTTGAAATCCCTAAAGCTCGATTCCTGCAACACATTTACCATATCGAGTGATCCCACGGCATCAAACACAATAAATCCGGCAAATCTTTTTCTAAAAGAAATCACAGAAGTGGGCGGATGGGCTGGTTCTTCCTATCTTTTAAAAAATTTGCAATCCTTAGCGTGCAAATTGAAAGACGAGTCCTTAGCATGCAAGTTGAAAAACGAGGATTCAACCAAATCTTTAGCTATCACAGTAAAAAAAGAAATCATGGAGGCAGCATCCATCACTAATGGAAAGCTTCTTGATCAAAATGAAATCTCTTCACGCAAAAGAAAATCTCGCTCGGATAAAAAAAGCCGTCGCTCAAAGAAGAAGAGAAGACATCGTTTGAGTAAAAAAAAAACTCTTTGCAAAAGATGTCGTTTGTAATGGCTTTGTTGTTATCTTTTATCTTTATGGTTGCCACTTATTTTCATTGTTATCTTTTATCTTTTATCTTTTATCTTTTATCTTTTATTTTTCATTTTCATTTTCTATTTCTCATTATTATCATTATCATTCTTAGTATTTGAATATTATTTTTCCCTATCCCAATCCCCTAACTTTCTCATTATATTATCCTTCATCTCCAACTTGATGTTTTATCTCTATCATTAGGTTGAATCTTTGCTATTATATTTTATTTTTGTTATAATCTTCTATATTGATCATTACTGGCTTCCATTCTTGCTATAATCTATATCACCTATCTTCACCTATTCTTGTAGACTTCAGAAATTCACAGGCTTAACATGACGAAATTACATTTCTTGAAACTTTTCATCTTCATCGCCAATTGGAAATTCAAGCGAATGATTATTCTAATGAGTTTAAACGATCACCGCCATTTACGTCAATACCATAATATGAAACAAATATACCACAGAATCATATATTCAAATATCCTGGCATTTCAACCACTCAAAGATCATCTACCGATAACATAAATCACGGAAAAACTTTCCAGGAATCCAGATGAGAATTTCCAAGGCTTGGTAAAAGTACCACCATAAACTCTGTGTAACATTTCACACATTAATAGAAACAATTTGGGTCATTCCGATGAGAATATAACACATCGACATCGAATAATCCACTAGTTATTAAATAATAGTGTCCTCCCAGTAATATTGCGAGCTTGAAAAATTCTGTACCAATCTTTCAAAACCCCAATATACCCTCCACTGATTGAAAAAAAAAATCTCCCACAGCATTTCATGCAAAAGATAAATGAGAGAATGAATTCTGAAAAAAACATCATCGCAATATCACTTGCAAAATATGAAAACCACTTCTCATATCCATTAACATAAGATGATTCCATCATTGAAGCTTGAGGTAACCTTTTTACCAAAATCAAAACCAACGCTTGAAGTCTTTTCAGTATTATAACAACAATGTCTATCAATTATAACTCCAAATACAATCATCCCTATCTTTTCCTGATTATCCTTCAAAATAAAAAAAAAAAAAAAAAAAATAAGAAAGTCCCACCACTTTTTTTTTTCTTTTTTTTTTTTGGCAGGTAATAATAATCGAGAAGTATGATCACGACTTGGTGGAGGTAAAATTAGAAGCAACGATTAAAAATAACTCTTGAGGATAACTTTTTTTATGAGTAGTAATATTCGGCTTCAATAATGATATTTTCAGATTAAAATTGAAAAAAAAAATTCATAGACCTATACCATAACTCGAGTCTATTAAGAATTCCTGGAACAAACGTCTTTCTAAACCAAATCAATAAATCTGGTACTAATATCTGAAAAAAAATTCAGCAAGTAATTGTGAAACAGGTGTTCAATATAACAGAACTACCAGCAAATAATCACATTCCTTAAGGAATGTGATTGGCATGACGGTTATAACCTCAAATGAAAACGATTCATGATAGCAATGCCAGTCCTGATCTTATAGGAGCAAGCACACCCAGTCTCCTAGCTACTATTTCATTTTAAACAAGAAATAGCACGTCCCAAATATATTGGATATTATATTACACGTCAATCAGAGCAGTGAGTTCTTGATATTGTAATTTCATGGATTCATCAAAGGATGTTGTTTACTATTTTTTTTTTCTTTGCTGCTGGCTGCTTTTGGGGGGGAGGGGTTCCGTACCCAATGCTATATCACGTGCACACAAGAACTTATTATAATAAGCCATCGTGAAGATGATGCAAGAAATCTTTTCTCATTAAATGTTTAAGAAAAAGTATGATTTACAAATTGTCAGTCCATTTTGGCAATCATTATGAGATACTCTTATTCTTACATTAACTCTAATCATGGAGAAAGAATAAAACTTGTACTGAGTCTTGGCCATACTGCCCCTTCATTTGATATTGATATACGGATTGAGAATTTGAGACAATCTGTGGAACGATTGAATAAACTGATCTTCAGCATTGAGGGTGATAAAAAGCTTGATGATATCAGAACAAAGACTAGGACGATGAATTCGAAATTGAAGAAAGATCGTTGTAATCCCCAGAGACAGAAGAATAATACAAAAGAAAATGGCGATCCCCAGAGACAGAAGAATAATGCAAAAGAAAATGGCCCTTCATTGAAACAGGAAAAAAGTCTGAGAAGGATGGGTGATAATAAGCCAACTAAACAGGAAATCAATCCGTTTTTCAAGATTCCAGGATACTTGGAAATGCACGAGGGAAATAAAATGAACATTGAAGTCGTTAACATGAAATTGAAAGAAGAAGGGTATATCACCACCGAATGCATTGTGGAACACATGGTGACTGAGACAATTGGCGATAATCCAAACAACCCATTGTTATTACCAGAAATTCTTGGCAATCCTCTCGACAGTCCTTCGATCATTGGGGATGTTGATCAATTGGTTTATTCTGATACAAAGGACCCCATCAGGGTGGTTCGTTGGTTGACGAAATTGCGAGCCATTTGCAGAAGTTATCGGTTTGGGAACTTGTTATTGAGGTCAAACATGACTGATGTTGAAAGATTGATCAAGGATACCAAAACGTTGTGCGCTTTTACACTGTTCCAACGGAAAATCATCGATGCTACAGGAAGTTTATCGGTATTCAAGTTCTCAAGTTCCATTAATGAATTGATCACCACGGTGATGCAAGGATCATGTTTACGCGAAGGTCATGGGGGTGGTTTTATGGTGGACACAATTTTGAATTACAAAGTCACTTCCCGAATGAGCTGGGAAAATAGACGTCTTAAATTAGAGGAGCTAGGGCAATTAATGGAAGTATTGAGATGGGGGGAGGTGAAAATAAAGTTTGGGCTATTACGCACGTTATTGGCCAAGGAGAAGGTGGGTGGTGAGATTTTTTCGTTAACGATTCTGGCCGAGAAGATCGATCCTAATACAGCAAAGTACATTGACTACCCAAGCTTCACCAGGACTTACAGTCGATTATGGGATGAAAGGGATGAAAGGGATGAAGAAGAATGAGTCAAATAGAATTTTCCACCTGGCCATGGTGAAGATTCAAGAACCCAGAATAGAACAAGAAACTGAGAAGGTTGTTATGACAAAGGAATCAAACCCCAGGGGGATTCGAGAATTGATGAGAGGATTGACGGCTCAAAAAAATCAACTTATTACTTGAGTGGGTGGTGTGGTGTACCAGCAACTTATTGAAATTTATGTATAAGGGATGTTGAGGATTCAGGTTAATAACCATTGAAGGGTTTAACCGGGGACATTTATGTGGAATCCGACGAAATGATCATTTAAATGTTATATGAATTTAGGGAGTTGTTATTTCTTAACAAGCAATAGAATGAAATGTCAAAATTATTAGTAGATAGTTGTTCTAAAAGCCAACAACAATACGAATACAATTTTTAGAAAGTCAGTGCCTTCTAATATTGAGATGGTTCCGAATCATGATGCAAAAAAAAAAAAAAATTAGTCGTATTTCATTATTAAACCCCTCCGATTGCCTCACTTCTGAATTGCAAGATTTGCATTTCCACGGGGCGAATTCGGCTTGAATCTTAAGAGCTCTGGTCTTTCTTTACACTTTTTCAATAATAATTATAATAATAGGAATAGTAAATATATTTGTCAGTTAGGACAAGCCAAAAAAGTCTAAAAAGCATGAATCCACAAAATAGCAACAAAAAAAATAACTAAGAAAAGATCAAAAAATGTAAAGCAATTAAAAACAACACAAAAACGAAAACTAAACCAAGAATTTCAATCCTTTTTCAACACCTTCCATCAAAATAGCATCCAATGCGTCAATATCTTTCACGGAATTGTAAATACCAATACTGAATCTTGTGATGTATCTGAACTGCGATACGGTACATTTCTTGCTTTTAAAGAATTTCATCCATTCAGGGTTATTGATATTGGCCACCACGATGTTTGGAGATTTAGTTTCACCATCGAACAATTCTATGCCATGTTTTAATAAAGTAGCTTCCATTTTTGTGCGCAAGAACTTCAAGTATTTTTCAACGTTGTCCATACCCAAATCATTAAGTAAGTACCCAAGAATGGCATGACTGGCGTAGATTTGTAAGTTTGGTTTATTGCTGTGTTCATATTTCAAGGCATTGGAAGAATGGATGCAAGCTTTTAAATCGAAATCTTCAACGATCGCCCCAGCATTAGAATCGAATTTGGCAAGACCTTTGATGTTGACAAACGGTGGTAAAGTCTTGGTGCAACTCAAAAACTCGGAGTTCATGTAAAGAATTCCAAGACCTTGAGGAACAGACAACCCTTTGAAACAACTAAAGAAAGCAGCAGAGCACCCAAGGTCTTGGACATCTACTGGGTGGAAACCAACATCTTGGGTCAAGTCGACAATAGTGTGGACGTCTGGGAATTTGGAGGTAATAGATTTGACATTATTTTGAAGCCCTGATTGGTACATGGTCAAACTTAATGACAAAACCTTGACGGATTCATCCATATATTGGGCAATAGAGTCACCGTCCACAATAAAGTTCTTATCGCCATTAGTATCGATAAACTTGAGGTTCAATTCAAGCTCTGGATGGTTTTCCACAAATCCCAACCAACTCAAATTGTTGTGCTGGAATTCGTTATCGATCATCAAAATGGTATCGCCTTTTTTAAACTGAAAAGATTCTTGAATCAAGTGTAATGACTCAGAGGAATCTCTGGTGTAACAGATTTTATCAGCATCATCTTCAGACAACCCAAGCAACTTCCCGTATAATTGTCTAGTTTCCTCAACGGTTTTATCAAATACCATGAACTCAGCATCAGGGGACATTGAACGATTAGCGAAGAAGTCATTGATAGCATTCACAACGATGTTATTCAATAGGATTTGACTGGAGCAGTTGAAGAATACCTTTTCAGCGTCTCCGGATTGTAAGTATGGGATCATCGAACGGAATTCTTTGAATGATCTGATTTTATCATCTTCAAAAGATTCAGGGAACTCGAGCTCACAAATAGAGTCTGCAGTAGGGGCCGAATCATTACTGGATAACGATCTTTCGTCGACAACGGTGGTATCCAACTTTGTGGAAGAGAGAGAGAGGGAGATATCGTCAATAGACACTTCTGGGTAGACAGTAGTACCGTTCATGATTGAAAAATCTGGGATAATAGTTTAAAGTAAAAGAAGATCAATGTAAAGAGCTTTGAGATAATGAAATGAAAAAAGAAAAACTGAATAATCTGCCATAACTAGGCCAAATCTACAGGTATTTGTACTCGTTTTTTTTTTTTTTTTTTTCCAATTATTACAATATAGTTACAAAAGACGCACGGTGAATCATTAATTTCGCTACTTACCGCCAATCGCAAAAATATCAATGTTATGAATAACGGTCCATTTGCAACTCCCATGCTATTAGTCATGTGTACAACGCTAATGATTTGCAGACAACATGGGGGTACGATCCCGGGGGGATTGCAATTTCGCGCGACTCTCAGGGTGCTCCCAGGGCTCATAAAGAGATAAGGAACGGGGCGAGGGGAAGTATGGGTGTATTGAGATAAGGGGAGTTCAACTCATTTGTGTGGGAGGTTTGCCCCAGTGGAAACTGGGCGATATAGGGTCCATTTGACAGGTAAAACAAACCGCAATCGAGGCCCGTCAAAAGTTGGGGGGATCTTATCACTTTTATAACCACAAACGTCGCCAGCGAGTATGGCAACATCTCACCTGACTGTTGCGAGGCGAGGCGGCGATTTCCTGATGAACTGTGTAAGAAAGGCAGGGTGACCAGGCTGCAGGAGGAAGGGGGTGTGGAAATTAGGCTGGGTAACATCGCCAGCGAGAATTTCTTTTTTTTTTTTGTTATTTAGACAGACGACGAGAGTATTTATAATACATGATATCAGGGATATATATATGTATTATAAGCACACAGCTTGGGGGATCTTGATAATCGGTTTGTAGACTGCTTTGGTGATACACTCTCATCACCCATCCACTCAGTTAGGTACAGTGCTTTCATTTTTTTTTCATACCAACGCTCGTAAACTTTCATATCAATTAAAAAAAATTGTTCGTACCAACCGCTGCGGTATTTTTCACACCATCACAGCGGTAATTTTTCATACCAATTTGTAAAAATTGTTCATACCACTCAAGTAGAAAATTTCAAACCAAAAATTAATTTTTTTTCATACCAAATTATTCACTAATATTGAAACAATATTACAATATATATATGCAATAACACAAATTAAATGACTGATTTTATATTTTATAACATGTAGGTTATGTCATTTTTTCGCTATCTGCTATCTGCTATTCACTGAAACACAGAAAATATTACTAATACATGACTAATGAATACAACAGAATATCTGTGGATAGACGGGTTTACGGTAATATCCTTAATATAGGGAACGGATTTACGGTGTAACTCAATTTCATTGGCTCTATATAAACAGCTGAATTTTCCTAATAATAGTGTCACTATTTGATTGTTAATATCTCTAGGCAAAGCTCTATATTAAGCAGCAAGTAAAAAAAAAAATCCTTGTGTAACCACAGTAATAACCATTTACTAAATATGGAAGTAAGAGGTAGGTACCTTGGCGATGGTTACATCGATGGCCTTGGTAATAGATTTATTGAGGACCCACGGCAAATGACTTTAGAGAGTGACATATCACCTCTTGAAGCTTGCTTCAGTTACAGTGAATATAAAGGAATTACAAACTTATCCGATTTAGACAGTGACCATGACGTGACCATGATATTATCTTACCATATCAAGAAATGTATACTGTAGGAGCACATAATAAAATAGAAGTGCAAGTAGAAGATAAGAAATATAGAGGACCTTACAGACAGTATAATGATGCATCAAAACAAAGATTTTGGAATTTAGTAGTAAAACGAGGATATTCCGCCTATAAAGCAGCAAAAATGGAGCATATTCCTTTACAAACAGCTTACACTTGGAAGAGAAATTGGAATAAGTTTGTAGTCAATCTGCTCAACGGAATTACTATGCAGCCCAAAAAACAGGGTCGCAAACCAATTCTTATTGAAAAACATTAAGTATTCTTACAAGAATTGATAAAAAATGATGCTACTGCTACTCTTGATATTATGTTACAAAGTCTCAAACAGTCTTTTGATAATGTGAATGCCAAAGTTTGTAAATTTAGTCTTAAACGTATTTCTAAGTGGGCTTTAAAAAGAAGTCTGGAAGAATCAAAAGAACAAAGATTCGAATGGGCTTTAGAATACAAAGATAAACTAGATTTTACAAAAAATTGTATATTTGTAGATAAAGCTGGCTTCAACATCAGCATGAGACGTGAGTATGGCTGGTCTCTAGTAGGAGAAAAAGCTATTCTTACGGTTCCTGTAACTAGAGGTCTAAATGTAAGAACTCCAGGATCCACTTCTTCGAAGAAAAGAAAACTTGATTCTGATATTAGTAGTTCTGCAACTCAACGTAGAGGTACTACCGCTAATCATTTCTACAGTTTTGTAAAAGCAGTACTTATAGAGATAGAAGCAAATAAAGAATTAAAAGCTATGAAATATATAGTTTTTGATAATGCAACTATACATAAAAGACGTGATCTACAGTTACTTGTACAACTGATTGGATTGGAACTTGTATTTTTGCCTCCATACTCTCCAGCTTTGAATGCAATTGAAGAATTCTGGACTGTTTGTAAAAGTAAAGTTAAAAGATCGAACTTAAGTAAAAAAGAACAATTGACTCCAAGAGTCAAAGAGGCTACGAAGAGTATTACAGGCGAGAGTTACGAGGGATTTTGCAGACATGCATCTAAGCATTTTGATCTATGCTTACAAAAACAACTCTTTTCACTAACAAAGAGCAAAAAAAATGACAAAAAAAAAAAAATGAAAACACTGTAATGTTTTATTGAAATATTATGGTATTTTTTTTTTTTTTTGTCCAATTTTCTTCAGTAATAATAAATTCTGCAATTTGAATAAAAAAAAGCCCCACAAAGTCAGAAAGTTAAATATTAATAAGAAACAGTTCATATTATTCAGCAAGAGATTTAGGCAACCTTGATGACAATCTTCCCGATATGAGATTGACTTTCCAATTGCTTGAAAGCCGCGTGAACTTCTTCCTCGGTAAATCCAAATTCTTTTTCAACAGGCATATGTAACTTTTTGACATGCACAAAATTAACTAATTCTTCCAGCAATTGTTTGGATCCAACAGCAATCCCCCTCAAGGATACGCTTCCTCCAAGAACCAATGAACAAACATCTGGAAGACTTTTTGGGGCAGATAAAAATCCGATAAGTGCAATATCACCACCTCTTTTAGTTGAAAGGATAGATTTCTCAATAGTACCACTTCCACCATTTTCAATGACATAGTCAGCACCTTGACCTTCGGTTATTCTTAAAACCTCTTTTTCCCAATTTGGGTGAGTTTTATAGTTGATGGTGAAATCAGCTCCATATTTTTCTTGGACCAACTTCAACTTCTCATCTGAGGATGAAGTAATAATGGTTTTTGCACCAGCCGCTTTGGCCAAAATCAAGGTTGTGATAGAAACACCTCCGGTACCAAGCATTAAAACAGTTTCTCCGGCAGTAAATCTTTTACCACCATAAAGACTATTCCAGGCAGTAGTACCGGTGCAAACCAAAGATGCTGCTTCACTATATGATAGATGTGTATCAGATGGCAACTTAATAAGACCCTCAGCTTGCACAACTTTGAAGTTTTGAAGAAACCCGTCTTGAGGAGCACCCCATCCATAATTCCAGGTTCTTTGAACACCATACTGGTTAGTAGGATCGAAAACACTGATAACAGAGTCCCCGACAGCAAAATCCTGAACACCACTGCCAACTTCAACAACTTTACCAGCAGCGTCAGAGCAAGGAACAACATTATCTTTGGTTGGGAATGGGTAAGTTCTGTTTGAGACACCATAATCACGATAGTTGAGAGAAACAGCTTTGACCTCTATCAATACTTCATGATTTCCAACTTTAGGAATAGCTTCTTTGAAGCTTTTGATGTCGGTAAAATCTTTACCTTTGGTAGAACGAAAAACAGTGTTTGTGACGGACATTTTAATGAGCTGTTTTGGGTGTAAGTGCGCTGAACAAAGTGAAGTAGTACTTGGTATCAAGTTAGTACAAATTGATTCTAATTTGGAAAGAAACAGTATAACCAATTCTTTCTTACGTATTGAATATTTTGTTGCTTGCGAATTATCATTGCCTTTTTATTGATTCAAGTACATTTGTAATCCATGTGCTTGCTTATTAATTATTGCTTCTGTGGTGCATAAATAGAGACTACCCTACTATGGAGGTTATAGAACATCAACTTTATTGGTGATAGGTGTAAAATTCAAGAGTGTTTTATGCCAGCACAACTTCAATATTCCGTATAAATTCACTTCAATTATTCACAGAGGTCTCTAGCGAAGAGACACTATAGGCATGCGCTGCAAGACACGAAAAGGAGAAGGTTAGCAAAAAAAATTCCTGAATTTAGGCGCTTAATGCATTTAAATTTAAGTTATGTAGACAAAATCACTGTGACAAATAGAATTGGAGATGGGAAGGATTGATGGAAAGGATGGAGGTGATGGAGGTGATGGATGAGCGGGGAGATATGATCATCTATTAGATTTCCCTTTTGAGCCTGGTAGATGGTTAAATACCACCAGACGATCATATCAGGCATGATTATTAGTAATCGAAATGCCAGCTGCTTAATAATGTATTAAGGGATGTATAAAAGATTTAAGTACGTGAAGTTTTGACAGCGAAAATTAATATTTCTGATTTTAATAATCACAAAATTTACCAAGTTGAAAATGTCCCGTTTTACACAAGTCACCGATTCTGAATGTGTTGATTATTTTTTACCAGAGCCCGAGTTCGCAGCTGGCACTGCAATCCGACAGGAAGATAGTGATAAAATTCCTAAAATATTCAAACCTTTGAATTTGAAAAAATTGAGCTTACATAATCGAATTGGGGTCTCTCCAATGTGTATGTATTCCGCAGGCCCTAATAATGAGCCAACACCATTTCACTTAATCCATTATGGCTCTATATCTATGAGGGGCCCGGGGTTAACAATCGTTGAAACTGCTTCTGTATCTCCAGAAGGCAGATTATCCCCTCAGGATTTAGGAATATGGACTGATGATCAAGCTAAAAAATTAAAAGATATTGTTGAATTTGCTCACGCTCAAAAGCAATTAATGGCTATTCAAATCGGTCACGCTGGAAGAAAAGCTAGTGGTCTCGCCATGTATCTTCATTTGGAACAAATAGCTGATAAATCCATAGGTGGTTGGCCTGAAGACGTTGTTGCCCCCAGTGCAATTCAATTCAGACCTAATGGTAATTATATGGTACCTAAAGAATTAACAAAAACGGAGATAAAGAGAATTATAAAAGACTTCGGTTTGGCTGCTAAAAGGGCTGTTAATATTTCTGGATTTGATGCGATTGAAATTCATGGTGCTCATGGGTATCTTATAAGCTCATTTTTAAGTTCGGTCTCCAACAAAAGAAATGACGAATATGGTGGATCATTTGAAAATAGAATTAGATTTTTGATAGAAATTATTGATGAAATCAAATCCCAAATCTCTGCAGATTTTCCATTATTGCTTAGATTCAATGCCAGTGAAAATGCAGAAGATGATCCTTTATCGTGGAAGATAAACGATTCTATTAAGCTTGCTAAAATTGTCGTCAGCAAAGGAGTTGACATGCTTGATATTTCTTCAGGTGGCAACAACTATAAGCAAAAATCTAGAGGTAAGATTGCTTTCCATGCTACATTTGCTAAAGAAATAAAGAAAGCTGTCGGAGATACTGCTTTAGTTGCTTGTGTTGGTGGTTTATCTCATGATCTCAAACTGACATCTGATATGGTAGAGAATGGTGATTTTGATTTTGCTTTGATTGGCAGAGAGTTTTTGAAGAATCCTGGCCTTATTCAGTCTTTTGCTGATTCTTTAAACGTGAGAGTTAGTTTTCCTCTTCAATACGAATGGGGTTTTTACCCAAACAAAAGCCTGATTATTGAATTGATGGAAAAATCTAAATGCGTAACTGAATAAAGGCGTAGTATTTATTAAATTAAACATTTTTATTTGTTCCTTTTTACATCAAAACTTAGAAATATACATCTTTTTTCACCAAAATTTAGCTGGAAAAAATATATTCTTGATTTACAGTTGATTGATGGCTTCTAGCTTTGATTTGTTTTCCAAAAATCACAGATTTATAGACAAAATGTTGAATATGCTCATGAATATGTTCATAAACATTTCAATACGATGTGATATGTGCTAGCAACTAATTTTAGCAAAATCCTTAACATAGTACATTACTATACTATGAATATTAGCTTGGCCTTATTTTAATTGAATTTGTAAATTGTGCTGTATTCACTATACTAAATAACCTTATATGGTATTTTTGATACTTTTTTTCACTTGCAAAGTAAATATAAACACTTGAATTAGAGTTTGAAGGAGTTGAACCATTCTGTCATGATTATTGAAATATGACACATCTATGCTTGTTAAGTTTTCTAATGGTTCTGGCAAGTTTGGAAAAGATCCGGAATCTATGGTGATATTTGGGTCCTAAAATGTATTAGAAAATTCCGGAAGGTTCCGGTTCGATCCGGATTCATCCGAAATGGTCATATGAAAATTACAAGCCAAAGTTACCTATAGAGCATTCCGGATTAGTCTAGAAGGTTCCGGATGATTTGTTATGGGCGCCTTATATTTGGTATGCATGACCCACCCTGAACATGAAGAATTTCTAAGATGAATTAGAGCAGAGATGGTAAAAAGTGTATGGGAAATGTAGGTGTAGAAAGTGTAGGTGTAGAAAGTGTAGGTGTAGAAAGTGTAGGTGTAGAAAGTGTATCACATGATTCGTGACTCGTGAGGAGAAACATACATACACAAATAAAAAAAATACAGTGACTTTTCGACTATATTAATTATAGTAAATTTTAGTTTACAACTCTCTAGAAATAACTGCAAAGGATTTAAGTATATGGTTCATAAAAATTCCAGTAGCATACAATTTCTGTAGTAATGAAAAAAAAAAGTGTGAAGCTCATGTGATAGTCACGCATATGTGTAGTTTTCAATTTGTTTAGAGGTGTAAGTAAAAAACACATCAGGTACATTTTTGCTACACTTTTTACCATCCCTGATTTAGAAGTTTCTAGTAAAGAAACTTAAGGAACTTAATAACTTAAATTAAAGCTAAAGTTCTGAATATAAATATGGGTGGTTTAGTTTGTTTATTTTGTGTTTGTTTTATTTTGTTTTTATAGTAATTAATCTACAAGTAATATAAGTTTTATTGGTATAATGTCTACGGTAAGATTGCTGAGATTACAACACTAACCTCCTCTTTTTCACCCTACTAATTAAGTAATAGTTGCACAGTAGCAAATATTTGGCACTAAAGACACTCCTCAGAGTCTGGAAACCCATTTAAGACGATACTTATTTTTTCTACAAAAGCTTTCCTGATCCTGTGAACCAAAATATTCTAGTTGTTTGTGGTGATGACATTATGATTCAAATCATAAATTCAATTGCGAGTGTCAAAGAGTTGCTTACCAATAGTATTTATTTTGCTCTGACCCCAACCTGTACACCCACTGTAACATCCAATTACTTTCCAATTTATTTCAATCATCTCCCCACTTCTCGACGATTGATAATCCTTTGCTTCCTGTTCTCATGAGGACAGTTAATAGAATGCCTTGAGCTGCGTTTGTCCTGTAAATGCGCTACATAATTCATGGGTGTAGTAATAGCTAAGAAGAGCAGTTAAAACACAAGTAAGTAGCTCATCACTATCTTTAACAGCCGCCTGTAATTTATAAATCCACCAGAATTTATCGCACCAGCGCAAGTTTATTCTATTAAAAATTTATCAACTCAAAAAACCACAAAGGAAATCAATTCAATAGCCAAAGTCATTATTGAACTTTGGATAATAATCGTCAACAATTCTAAGGATTTAAACCGACTCCTTGTTTCCCACCACTTGATCAGGGAATCAGTTCTCAAACTCCATCACTTAATTGTAACTTTACCAGGGAACCACTTCAAAAACTTTATCACCCATTTGTAAATTCCAGAAAGTGTCTAAACTTACTTATGATTTTTTGAAGTGTCATGGTTTCAAAGAAATAGATTATGAAATATTAGTAGTGATATGATCTGTATTGTTGGATTATTCCTTGTCATAATCTTCATCAACACTGCCAGTAACCGTCTCAACAGAGGGGGGCATCGCAGAAACATTAGTCGTTCTGACTAAGAAATTTCTAGTAATCTATAACCAGTCTTGATGACTTCATTGTTGTGCTTCTCTGAATTTAACTCAGTGATGTATTTTATTAGGGAATTAAACCTTCAGTTTCATCAGTAAGTACAGCACTCACTTATTCACCACCCAACTCGTATACTGCAAATTCAACTCTATTGTCGTTTTTGGGTTTTGAAGGTTCCTTAAATGCATCAGAACTGTCATTTCCGTTAAAACTAAACGTTTTCACTAACACCCTGAAGTCAATTCGAGGTTTTAACAAGAAGGAACCCATTAACCTTCTTAAAACATCACACTCCGTCTATCCCAAATTAGCGAACAAACTGCCAAATCAGGGCACGCATACGTTCCACCGTGGTGGTATAATCCTTAAATAACACCAACTTTTAAGTGATCCAACAGTTTCCCACACTGAATCTATTAAAGATAGTAAGTACCATCCTTAAATTGAGGGGGGGGGGACTGACAAAAAAAAAAAGAAGGGATGACCTTTTCATTATAAGAACCCCCTCCCCTCAAGTTTCCCAGAATCAAAATTACTCAACCAAGAATTCACTCCATAATTTTCCAAATGAGTATTGATTTAACCACATCCACCGAAAAACCGATTAAAAAGTCTGGCAAAAAATTGACCTGTCTTATAGATGGCACTATCAGTTCCATAGCCGTTCATTCGTTGTTTATTGGTTGTTTGTTCTGTAAAAAACAAATCACATTACCTGAGGAAAAAAAAGGTATGGTTTAGAATAATCTTCATTTAGCAAAAGTTCTTCTTTTTGTGCTATTTCTAAATTACTAACAGATAACCAGGACAATATGTTGCTTCAGACTTACTCCACTTGATGACCGATTCTTGCATCCAAGCGGGGGTTGATTTGGAACTCTTTTTTGAAACTTGTGATCAAGCAAATGGGTTTCTCATCGAGCCAGGCGAGTGTGACAAATGTGGCCCGGATTCACAATGGGGGGTTATAGTTTACTTCGCGGTAAATGTAGAAGTTACCAAGATCAGAGGCCATTATTTGCCTAACTGTCGTCCAAAGACCGTTTCTTTTAAATGTCAATTCGATAAGTTATTCAAAGTGGGACTCCCTGAAGAAGACACCGCCACAAAAGCGTTCTTATTGATGGAAATGACCAGTGACAATGAAGATATGAAACGGCAAGCAATTTCGTTATTAGGTTTGGATACTGAATTGGCGTTCTGTGGTTCTAGCAAGCCAACTGCATCTCATACCATCGATATTGACAATCTTTACCTCAAGAGAATCCAAGATATTAGCACCGAATGGGACGCTAGTGAGTTATCACAGACATTTTTGAATTTTGGCGAGCAGCTTAAATTATATGCCGGGACAGAAAATAATCATAAAAGACGTCGTTTGGATGATGAATGATTGTTCTGGAACATTACAGGGTTTTTTAAAACTATAGTTAAAATATGCGTTTTTCTTTTTCAATTTATTTATTTTTCATGCAGTGAGTGTTTTTCATTTTTCCTTTCGATCTGTAAATACTCACTCACTCACATTGTACATTCATTCAGTTAAAATGAACATCGAGAACAATTCCATCGCTAACAGCACTTGGTAGGTAGTTCCCTAGCATCTTCCAAATTAAAGCTGTCCATCTGCTGAATCGACACTGTGGAAAACAAGGTTAATAGGGTATTACCTTTTTTTTTTTTCTTCTGCGTGTTCGAATGTAGCCATGATTTGAGGATTTACATGGGGGCCTTAATTCCAAACATTTGATAATGAAGAAAGAAACAGGAAAAAGAGAGGAAGAAAAAAAAAATATCAATAAGGTCAAAACTACTTAATCTTTTGCGAAGTTAAAATCCACAGTAATGAAAGTGATCACCTTACATCCACAGTAATGAAAGTGATCACCTTACATCCACATCTATTGGAAAATTAGAGTGATCCAGAACCCGAGCCCCAACAACATACTGTTTAAACGCATATTGTCCACCCCACCCATACTTTCAATTATTGTCGCTGCTGAATCTCCGGAAGTGGTATCCTGAGAATTTGATTTGGTGGATATAGATATTTCAGTTTGTGAGCTTGATCCAGTGGAACCAGGTGTTTGTTGCGATGGTGAAATTGTTTCTGTAGATGGAGGCGACACAATGGATAATGTTGAGTCTATCAGAGGAGTTGAGTCGGTTGATCTGGTTGATCTGGTTGGTACTGATTTTGCTGTTGGTACTGATGTTGCTGTTGGTGAAGCTGATGTGGTTGGTGAAATTGATACGGTTGAATCTGTTGAACCCGATGTTCCAGTTGACGGGTTTTTGTCGGTTGAGTCTGTTGATTCTGCTGTATTGGATGTTTCAGTTGGTGTATTTGACACGGTTGAACCTGTTGAGATAGATGTTTCAGTTGGAGGGATCGATCCAGTTGATGTGGTTGAATCCGTTGGCGCAGCTGTTCCAGTAGGTGGTATGCTAGATACGGTCGAATCTGTTGGATTCAAAGTTCCTGTTGATGTGGTTGAATCCGTTGGTGCAGCTGTTCCAGTAGGTGGTATGCTAGATACGGTCGAATCTGTTGGATTCAAAGTTCCTGTTGATGATGTGCTAGATGATGGCAAATCAGTTGGTGAGCTGGATGGTGGGAAATCAGTTGTTGATGTTGACTCTGTTGAACCTGTGGTTGCGGTTGGCAACTTCGATGAAGGTGAAATTGAGCCTGTTGAACCTGATGTTTCAGTTGGAGGGACTGTTTCACTAGAGGAAGTTGAACTTGTTGATGCAGTAGAGTCTGTGGAGCCTGTAGTCTCAGTTGGTGCAGTAGATCCTGTTGGACCTGTAGTTTCAGTTGGTGAACTTGATGTTGTTGAGCCTGTTGAATCTGTTGAATCTGTGGAATCTGTTGGCAAAGGTGTGCCTGTTGACCCTGATGTTTCAGTAGGTAAGCTTGATGTGGTTGAATTTGTTGGTGGGATTGATGTTGGTCCAGAAGTCTCAGTTGGCCCGCTAGATGTGGTTGAGTCTGTTGGTGGGATTGATGTTGGTCCAGAAGTATCAGTTGGCCCGCTAGATGTGGTTGAATTTGTTGGTGGGATTGATGTTGGTCCAGAAGTATCAGTTGGCCCGCTTGATGAGGTTGTTGTTGAGTTCAGTGAGCCTGATGTTTCAGTTGGGAGAATTGATGATGTGGATGATGTTTCAGTAGGCGAATCTGTTGTGGTGGACGGGCCGGACGTGGTATTGGTTGGCAAAATCGTACTTGTTGAGCTTGTCAGCGGAGATTCTGAAGAAGTGGTGGTGTCGTTTGCAACACATACATTGGCAGATTCATTGTAGTATAGTTGCATCGACTCTTCCGTATTTCCCATAAAACAGAACGGAATGGTACTATCAGTGTAAGTGATCAGGTGAAGCTTGCCAGCAATGTATGTTTCAGGTACAGTGCCATTGTAACAAAGATTGGGGTATTCGGTACAATTGACATCAGCATAACCATATTGAGGCTCGATTAAAAATCCGGTACTCGTGAAACCTAACGGGCAGTCTCGGAGAGTTCTCGTGCTTGACGTCTCAGTAGAGAATACAAGAGTTCCGTTGATAAAGAACTGCAAATCTTGAGCCCCGCTATCTATTACTTTTAATTCATAACTATCCATGCCTGAAGTGTAATCTATGGTATAATTTAAAGGATTTTCTGGAAAGACTTGCAAAGAATAAGGATTTCCATAGCCAACCAGGGATGCCAATCCAAATTGTAGGTATGGATATATATTCCACACCCACCTACCACGCAGTGGTATACCCCAACAATAAGAATAAATGGAAACCTGGGAATTTTGGGTGTTCATATCTATATTGAATACTTGGGTTGCTCTCTGAATCGGAAAACTACCATTGATAGCTTTTGGGTTATTATCCTGCACGCCTTGAGAGGTGCTAAATTCAAACACTAAACCATCAGAAGTCAATTCAGGGAGTTCATAAGGACCTGCGTATCCTTGATACTCCACTGGTTTCCAAAAATCCATTACATCTGGAACTTGTCCAGTGGTGAAATCAATGTTCAAATTATCAGCACCATTAATACCGTATTCCCAGAATACTTCGCCAATGACAGAAGAATAAAAATAGAAACTCAACAATAAAAATTCTAACAGCAGCATATTTATTTCCTTTAGGTCAACTAACAACGAGAATTGTACTGGTTCTGTATTTGTCTGAATTAGTCAGTAAGCGCAGAATCAATAACCTTAGTGGAATATTTTTTTTTTCTGAGTTATGCGGTTTATATGACATGATATAAATACCCCTCAGAATCAATAATAGCAATACTAGTTTTTCTCTCTGGTTTGTCATTTGCTCAAAGGAAAAGTGTACAGTACACATAAGTGTTTGTCACAAGAAATCCGAAGCAGCATTTTGTTTTGGGCAGCTTAATTTTGAAACATTGACGGAGCAATCATTGCTAACACACACACCGCTTGAGTTTTATCTAGACGTCTTTGTTATTTTTTTGCAATTCCGTATATTCGGAACAACTAGTTGGTCAAAAGATTTTGTGGCCCAACATATACTCAGGATCTTTAATGTTAATAATTAGCAATGAGTGAGTGCACCACGGCTGCAGCAAAAACCGTTATGTATCGGCTTCCTTTTGGCCCGTGATGTATTTTTTTATTTTTTTATTTTAGTTTTTGGGCATTTAAATAATCTCTGCAAAGTCTATTTCATAGTTTCAACCCTATAATTTGTACTAATTCATAAATACTATTATATAAAAACTCATGGTTAGTTATAGCTGATTCCATAATGAAGGTCCTAGAGCTCGAGTTTGATGTAAACAATGCATGAAAAGGACTGAGCGCATGCACACCAACATCCTGCGGGGCTATTATTATGAGCCAATGGTAGAGGTGAGGTAACTTGAAGTTTCTGTTTTATGGAAGATTACAAGCCAACTGGTTGTAGAGTCATTATAATATTAACTAGTCTAGCTTTCATGTGGCAGCTATGCTAATCTTCTTGGTTTTTTTTGTTTTTTTTTTGAACACATTTTTCTGCCAGTTTGAAATATACTTACTCTCTACTATTCAAAGATAAATAAAACGTAGGTAGATAGATTGAAGATTAATGAAAACAAAAACAAAAACGAATGTCAATAAGGTCAAAACAAACAACACTAAGTAATTTATTGTGGAGGCAAAATCCACACACAGTAATGAAAGTGATCACCTTACATCCAGATCTATTGGAAAATTAGAGCGATCCAGAACCCGAGCCCCAACAACATACTGTTTAAACGCATATTGTCCACCCCACCCATACTTTCAATTATTGTAGCTGCTGAATCTCCGGAAGTGGTATCCTGAGAATTTGATTCGGTGGATATAGATATTTCAGTTTGTGAGCTTGATCCAGTGGAACCAGGTGTTTGTTGCGATGGTGAAATTGTTTCTGTAGATGGAGGCGACACAATGGATAATGTTGAGTCTATCAGAGGAGTTGAGTCGGTTGATCTGGTTGATCTGGTTGGTACTGATGTTGCTGTTGGTGAAGCTGATGTTGCTGGTGAAATTGATACGGTTGAATCTGTTGAGCCCGATGTTCCAGTTGACGGGTTTTTGTCGGTTGAGTCTGTTGATTCTGCTGTACTGGATGTTTCAGTTGGTGGATTTGACACGGTTGAACTTGTTGAGATAGATGTTTCAGTTGGAGGGATCGATCCAGTTGATATGGTTGAATCCGTTGGCGCAGCTGTTCCAGTAGGTGGTATGCTAGATACGGTCGAATCTGTTGGATTCAAAGTTCCTGTTGATGTGCTAGATGATGGCAAATCAGTTGGTGAGCTGGATGGTGGGAAATCAGTTGTTGATGTTGACTCTGTTGAACCTGTAGTTGCGGTTGGCAACTTCGATGAAGGTGAAATTGAGCCTGTTGAACCTGATGTTTCAGTTGGAGGGACTGTTTCACTAGAGGAAGTTGAACTTGTTGATGCAGTAGAGTCTGTGGAGCCTGTAGTCTCAGTTGGTGCAGTAGATCCTGTTGGACCTGTAGTTTCAGTTGGTGAACTTGATGTTGTTGAGCCTGTTGAATCTGTTGAATCTGTGGAATCTGTTGGCAAAGGTGTGCCTGTTGACCCTGATGTTTCAGTAGGTAAGCTTGATGTGGTTGAATTTGTTGGTGGGATTGATGTTGGTCCAGAAGTCTCAGTTGGCCCGCTAGATGTGGTTGAGTCTGTTGGTGGGATTGATGTTGGTCCAGAAGTATCAGTTGGCCCGCTAGATGTGGTTGAGTTTGTTGGTGGGATTGAGGTTGGTCCAGAGGTTGCAGTTGGCCCGCTCGATGTGGTTGAGTCTGTTGGTGGGATTGATGTTGACCCAGAAGTCTCAGTTGGCCCGCTTGATGAGGTTGTTGTTGAGTTCAGTGAGCCTGATGTTTCAGTTGGGAGAATTGATGATGTGGATGATGTTTCAGTAGGCGAATCTGTTGTGGTGGACGGGCCGGACGTGGTATTGGTTGGCAAAATCGTACTTGTTGAGCTTGTCAGCGGAGATTCCGAAGAAGTGGTGGTGTCGTTTGCAACACATATATTGGCAGACTCATTGTAGTATAGTTGCATCGACTCTTCTGTATCGCCCATAAAACAGAACGGAATGGTACTATCAGTGTAAGTGATCAGGTGAAGCTTAGCAGCGGTGTATGTTTCAGGCAAAGTACCATTGTAACAAAGATCAGGGTATTGGGTGCAATCCATATCAGCATAACTATATCGAGGCCCGATCGTAATTCCGGTACTCATAAAACCTAATGGGCAATCTTTGAGAAATCTTGGGGATGATGTCTCAGTAGAGAATACAAGAGTTCCATCGATAAAGAATTTCAAATCGTCAGCCCCACTATCTATCACTTTCAATTCAAAAGTATTCATGCCCGAAGTTAAATCTATAGAATAATTCAAAGGATTTGCTGGATAATTCTGTGTGTAATAAGGATTTCCATAGCCAACCAGGGATACTAATCCATGTTGCAGGTCTGGATATATATTCCACAACCACCTACCACGCACTGGTGTACTCCAACAATTAGCATATATAATAACATACGCGTTCTGGCTGTTGATGTCAATATTGTATACTTGTGTTCCTCTCTGAATCGGAAAACTACCATTCATAGCTGCTTGATCACCCAGCCAATAGCTTTGAGAGGTGCTCATCTCAAACAATAAACCATCAGAAGTCAATTCAGGGAGCTTATAAGAACCTGAATTGTCCTCATGGTTCACTGGTTTCCAAAAATCCATCACATCTGGAACTTGGCCAGTGGTGAAATCAATGTCTAAATTATCAACACCATTAATACCGTATTCCCAGAATACTTCACCAATGACAGATGAATAAAGATGAAAACTCAATAATAAAAAATCTAATAGTAACATTTTTCTTCTAACAAAACAACTAATGAGGATTGAACTTGTATCTATCCAAATCAACAAATATGTGGAGTGTTGATGACTAGCAGATTATCTTTCTCTCTGGATTATGCGGTTTATATAACAATGTAATATATATAATATATATACACAACAATAGCAAAACTATTTTCCTATTTGGTTTGTCATTTGCTCAACGGAAAAGTGTACAGTACACACAAGTGTTTGTCACAAGAGATCCGAAGCAAAGAGATTCGAAACAGCATTTTGGGCAGCTTCTTTTTGAAACATTGACTGAAGCAAGCAAGCTTTGCTGCAGATGAAAGGATAGTTAGTGTACTTTAGATTTTCAACATTCACTGTGGATTCTATCTAGATGTTTTTTTTTTTGTTTTTTTTGGCAATGCAGAATATTCTTAATTGGTCAAAAAGGTTTTATGGCCTCAACATGGACTCAGGATCCTTAACGTTAGTAATTAGCAGTGAAGTGAGTGCAGCAAAAACCGTTATTTAATTGCTTCCTTTTGTCCCGTGATTTTTTTTTTGGTTTTAAATAATATTTGCAAAGTCTATCACGTATTTTCAACCCTATAATATCTACTAGTTTATAAATCCTTTGATATAAAAAATCCATGCTCAGTTGTAGCTGATCCCGAATTGACAGTTTCAGAGATTGTGTTTGACAAATACAATGCAATGCATCCTCCCAAGGCTCCTATTATGTAGTTTGCTTTTTGGTTTTTGGTGTGATATGTCAATTTCTAAAGACCTCAATAATGGAAATATCGGAAATAATAACTTGAGTTAGTGAATATATATATATATACATACAAAAGCCCATACAACAAGCATTATCATACTGATGACTGCGATTCATCTAGCTGCAGCCGTAATAAATCCTTCTCTTCCATGCAACTGCCAGTACACACGCTCCCACTCTGATAGGGGATAGAAATTATCAGTTACGCCGCCAAGGTGAAATAGACTTTTGCTGACTAGTTGGTAATTTGAAATATATTCTACAATACAAAGATGAACGAGACGTAGAAACGAAGAAAAAAAAAAAAAATTCTTTTAAAATTTTTATCATGCTACATAAACAAGAGAATATAAGAAAGAAGAATATAAAATATAATAAAAAAAAGAATAGAAAGGAGAATAGAAAGAAGGAAGAAAAAGCAAACAAAGAAAAAAAACAACAACTCATAATAAAGAAATATTACGCTATAAATAGTAATGAAATATCAGCAACCAACATACATATGACAGTAATATATAAAAAAAAATTACCACTTCTAAATAAAGTGCCACAACAGGAATAAATAAAAATAAACCTATTGGCTACCAGACGAACCATTCATGGTGGCGGTTTCGGCGCCTTGAGCGGCCTCGCTGAGCAGAGCATCAACATTACTCTTAGCTTCATCAACGGTGCGGGTTATGCCAACCTTCAAACTTCCAATGTATGGGGCAACTTTTGGCTTGACAGAGGTTTCATAAGTCTTGTTAAGCAATTGCAACCCTTCGTTAGATAGTTGGTAAGAAGTTTTTGCCGCGGCCTGGAGTTTCTCACTTGGGGTGGAAGGCGATTCATTTTCTGGCAAATTTGCAGAGTAAGTTTTCATAACGTGGTCTTGGATGTGGGAGATCTCATTGGTGGCAATTGGAACGGTTTTCTTGTAAGCGGATGAAGTCAAATTGTAAAGACGAGAGATTTCATCATCAGGGCCTTGTTGCTGGGAAGCAGCAGATGCATCTTGTTCGCCTTCTGGCAAATACGAATCAATCAAGGTTTCTAACTTATTGTTCAAAGGCTTGATGATTCCCCCAACGTGGTTCGAGACATTTGGTCTAATTTGTTGTTCGTAAGCGTGTAATTTGGCATTGACGTCGTTGAGAACAATCGATGGGTTCAAGTTGGAAGCTGCAGCACGGGCCTTTTCTGGGATTTTCTTTGGATGAACATCTTGTAAATGGAGGCTCCTCAATGAAGGGAGGATGGCATCGACGTTATCCAAAACAAGAGAATTGAAAAATTCATCTGATTTAACAAGGATGGTCTTGATCAACGCCACAGACATCATCAAACTGGTAACGTAAGTGAATAAAGGCATTACATGGTCGGAGATGGCGCGAACAAGGGCAGACGAGCTGATAATCGTGGCGATATCAACAAGGATAGGATAAGACTTCAAATGGGCCGCGGTTTTGGAATCAGCGGTAAATGGTTTTTGTTCGGATGACATTGGGAAGGACAAGACAAAGCAGGAAAAAGATTAGCGGTGGTGGTAGTAGAAGGATGCTTGCTTTCTCAAAGGGGCAGAGGGCAACCAGGGTTATTGTACACTACTATGATAGTCACCAAGAAAACACTAATGGGGGAAATAGTGAAATGGAATATTATGAAATATATTGATTGAACAAGGAGACTGACTAAATAAACAAGGAGAATTTTTCAGGAGTGTGAAAAAAAAAAAAAAAAAAAAGGGCTATCCATTCTTATTATACCTCCCGCTATCATGTGCAAAAATCGGGGAAAGCAGGTGGTTTGCTGTGTCACATGCCGCGATGAGATGAGATGGGCGCGCGGTGCGGTTAGTGCCGCAGCGCATGTGTCACCACTGCCAACTGCTCTTACAAACAAACCACTGGACATATAATATTGATATCACAACTTTCCATGATGATGATGATGATGATGATGATGATTATTATTATTATTATTATTATTAGTAGTAGTAGTAGTAGTACTCAAAATCCCATTCTCTTGGTCACATAACTCTGGGCTAACACCCCTAACGAAAGTGCCAACCCGTCTTTAACCCATTCTCTCACCCAGTCTGCTGGCTCCACCCCGTCATCCCCCGCTTCCTTTTGTGATTCCACACTATTAGTCGTCAACCATTGGGCCCACTTGGTTGGGAACGATTGGGATTTGGTAACAATCGAGAACTTGTGTTCCAAGTCTTTAACAGTAATCAAGAATTGGAAACTGTCGGTGGTTGATTCGTCGATTTTCACAATCTCCTCAAAACTCAGAGTGTAAGTTTGTGCAGATTTATCTTGAATGATCGGCAAAATCGTTAAAAAGATATGGGAGACTCTAGTACTGTTGGTATCATTATTTTCTTCTTGGTCGGCCTTGGCTTGCTGTTCCTCTTTTTCTTTCTTCTTCACTTGCATCAATGATTTGATTCCTTCATCGATATTGGCGAACGCCAATTTCTCTGCGTCCAACGAGGACCCTTTAAAGAAATCAATGGTCTTTGGTTTAAGATCAAGGTCACCATTAGTAAGTTTGGCCAAGTCCAAAATATTGAGTAGTTTGGAAAAATTCTTGGAGTTGATGATTTCTAAATCAATTGATCCTTCAACTTGCCCTATCACTTTTGAGAATTTGTTATAAATCAAGTAATCAATGTAGTTGAAGTTCTTTAATGCGTCATTTATTATAAAGATCTTCAAAGTTTCATCATGGTGATTCATGGTCTTGGTGGTCGAGATGATTTGTTCATTGATACTGGTGACAAACGAGCTGAATAACCCGCCCACTTTATTGATAGTTTCACTTTGGTCACCAATAGACTTATTGGTAGTATTAATGATTGATTCGCGCCCTGCTTTCAACATTTCTGGTAACTTTTCGTAATCCTGGGGATCCAACAAGCTCAAGTCTTTGAGCTGGTCATTGGCCACTTTACTGATGTCCAGAACGGTTTCTTGGGCAGTTTTGCTGATATCTCCAACGACATGGGAAGCAGACCCCCAAATAGAATTGAGATGCTTTTGGCCAGAGTTCCCCCACCATCCAGAAATCGATGAGATTGGATCAGGAATGGAGCTTTCATGATTATAGTCCTCTTCCTGTCCTGCATCAGCTTGTAATACTTTGCTCTCAGGCTCTGGGATCACTTGGCTGTCTTTGGCAGCAGTAGGGGCAGGCGAGCTGTCTTTTGTGTCATCTTTGGCATTCTTGGCTGGTTTCAAGTTGGCGGCGTTGCTTTCTTGAGCCAACTCGTCAAGAAAGTTCAAGATGTCTGCATTGTCGCCTGGGGATTCGGCAGTTGGTTTTTGGTCTTGCGGAAGAGAATCTAAGAAATCCAAGACTTCTTCTTCTGCTTCTTTGGACATTGTGGTGGCAAAATGAAGGAAATACTCGGGGAGTTCGGTTCAGTTCAGCCTCCCCATCGTTGCTGAATGTGAACACGTTTGCGATTTTTGTTTGGCGTGGCCGGCTTTATTGCAGGGTAACATCGTAATCAAAACAACAACAGCAACAACAACAGCACTGCAGGCAGCGTTAGTATTTTTATTGTTATTTACAGGCAATCGCCGATCCCATTGAGGTTGGAAACACTGTATTTTCGAGAATACGATCTTCCTGCGATTACGAGTTTCTGTTATTATAACTTACCCATTACGCGTGGTGCACTTATTCATTCATTCATGAGTGAGTGAGTGGTGTTGGCCGGTTCCAGAGTCACACTGAGACACTTCTCGTGTTTTTTTTTTTGGGGGGGTTTTAGTTTTGACTTGAACAACCATTATTATTATTATTGCTCCTTATTTGCAATTGCCACTTTCTTTCTTTCATTCCTCCTCTCTGTCTTTGTCAACTAACCTTCTTTTGTTGTTACAAAATCTCCCTTTTTTTTTTTTCTCGAACGTTGAAAGGATCAAACTTTGCTGTTGCAGATCTCCCTCTCACTCCCCTTCGCTCGTCTAATTTGTAGTGTTATAAATATCCATCACATCCGGCCGTTGACTCCCTATAACTGAATAATAAGGTCCCACTTTATCCGAACGCCTCGTTAGCTCCTTAAACCATGTCATTTGTGAGTGAATTTCTTTTTTTGACAGATGTTTGATTGATTGATTGATTGCCACTTGCCTTGCTGTGCCCCATCCAGGGGTCTTCTTCTGTTTGCATTTCTAGTCTAGATGATTGATTGTCTTTTGTTGTCCTGTTTTAAACTAACTTTCTAGAAACACTATCAAGTCCCAGGTGGTCCGTACCGCAAAATGACCTTCGATCCTCGTTTCAACAATCGTTACGACAATCTTTATGCTAATAGAGGCTTGGAAGATGATTATCGTGAAGGATACCTCTACACAGATAATGACATTGATTCATACGCCAACAATTTCTCCTCTAACATGGGTAACTTGGCCCATTCAAATTACATGAGTCCTAGAGCCTACCGTGCCCAACTACGCGCTGGCCAGGAGTTCAGCCCCGAATCCAACTTCCAAAACCCGTTATATTTGCCTCCTTGGATGCGTACCCCATTGCATCATCCTTTTGAAGGCTCCAATGGTGAGTTGATTTCCCCAGAAGTGTCTTATCATGAACGTAAAAACTTGATGCGTAATTTCAGATCGTTTGACGAAGATGGCAATGGAAGAATCACCCCAAGAGAACTTCGTGATAAACTCCTCAACTCCGACGGTACCCCATTTGAACCTAGCACCATCCGTTTGCTCTTTGAATTATTCGATGCCGATGGCTCCAATTCCATCGAACTTCCGGAATTCTACGGTCTTATGAAATCATTGCAATTCTGGAACCAGAAATTCAAAGAGGCTGACGTTGATGCATCAGGAACCATTAACTTCACCGAATATTTGAGACTTTTGCGTTATTTTGGTTACACTTTCAATACCCAAACTTGCGCGTACATCTTCAAGAAATTTGCCCGTTTTGACCGTCTTCATAGAAGAACTAGAACCAAATTGGTGCTTAAATTCGACAGATTTTTCGAATGTTTCATGTACTTGACCTTCCTCTACAACAAGTACAGTTATGATGGTCAAGGTATGGATATTGATTATTATTTGGCTTCTAGTTTTGATAACATTCATGGAGGAATGATTGGTGCTGGAATGGGTTCTGGAATGGGTGCCGGAATGGGTCCTGGAATGGGTTCTGGAATGGGTTCTGGGATGGGTCCTGGGATGCAAGAAGGTATTATAGCTCCTGGTCCTATGGCTCCTGGTCCTATGGCTCCTGGTCCTGGATTCTAGATCTCTTGAGTTAATCTATCATGTCCTCATTTAATATTATGTTTATCAATTTTTTTTTTGATGCTCTGCTGCTTTTCGTTCGCGATGTTTTGTTTTGTTTTATTATTATGATTTTGTTTTGTATTCTAAAAATTTATGACATACAGCACTGAAATGACAACAGTGTTGTCAGTAATACTATACATACGTTGTTTTTTTTTTTTTTTTTTTTTTTTTTTTTTTTTTTTTTTTTTTTTTGTATCTTTCTTCTATTTTTAACTGCGTATAGAATTTCTCTAATTATCAATATAATAATGTACATCTAGCTAATTATTGAAGATTTCTCTTCTACGATGATCCTTCAATGGCATGTCTCTTCTGATTTTTTTGACATTATCCAAATCGATATCCGCAACGATTATTTCCGGTTCATCATTATTCAAGTTGATATCACTAGCTTCGGCAACCACGGTCCCCCATGGATCGATAATGATAGAATGACCATAACTTATTCTTTTTTGTTCATTGGCATTAACCGCTTGACACTTGACCACTTTTGTAGGATCACTAGCATCATCATCTTCAATAGAAACATCGTGAACTCCCTTTTGACCAGGCATGATCACATAACTTTGGGAATCGATGGCCCTGGCCCTCCCCAATAAATGCCAATGGGCTGCCCCGGTCTTCACGGTAAAAGCACTAGGATAAGTCAAGATTTCTGCCCCCATATCACGTAGTTTCACCGCCAATTCCGGGAACCGAATATCGTAACAGATCCCGAGCCCCAATTTGCCAATTGGAGTATCGAACGGCGCCACCACTTGATTCCCTGGCTCGACCGAGTTGGATTCTTGAAGAATTGGGCCTTGAGGAATATTGATATCGAAAAGATGGATCTTTTGGTACTCACGGGTGATGTTTCCGGTGCTATTGATATAAATTAACAAGTTTTTCACCCGTTTGTGGGGGTCATCAGGAGATTTCCACGCTGGTTCGTGAATCCCCACCACCACGTCCAACGCTTTCCCTTGGGAATGAAGTTCTTTTAATCTGCTCTGGATCCCGGTAACGAACACTGAAGTTTCCATTGGACGGGCAATCTTGAGTGAATGGGCAGCATTTTTTGCAATATAGTCACTGGCTTCTGGAAGGAAGAGCACTTTGGCGTTGAGGTTCACCGCTTTGGTGATGAGTTTGAGCACCTGTTTCAAGTTGGTAGATAAAGACGAAGTAGATGAGAGTTGACCGGCAGCCACCAAGACCATTTTTGCAAATTGTTAATATTGGAATATAATTATTATTGGAAATACAATTGGGAAGATTCAGAAGATTCAGATGATTCACACAAAAAGATTAAATGATGCCATAATCATAATTTTGATATCAGGGTTACGCTGCACCAAAATTTCCCCAATTTACAATTTGAATTTTTATTTTTATTTTTTCTCTGTATCGTAAACTAATCTCCGACGAGACGTGATTGTCATTCATCATTTACCAACTGAGCAGTCAATCAATGGGGAAAGTGTCGATATATACCCTTCCCGCCGAGGTATTGGTCGAGGTGTTTGGCTATCTCGATACCCATACTCTTGAAACGGTAGCCTCAATTTCTCGGTACTTGGATGACATCATCAACAACGACTATATCTGGAGAATTCTCTTCATCAAGAAACTCATCAAGGACGATGATCTTATAGCCCTTGATGCTTTGCCTGGTAAACGCAAATCCCTCAAGCATCAAACAACTATGAATACCGATAATATTGTCGAGAGGAACTCCAGAATCATCACCAGCTTCCCCAGTTTGTCACTATCGTGGCATTGGAAGACCGAGTTTATGGTACGGTTCACTTATATCAAGAAATTAATGAATATCAACAAGAATAAAAAAGTCAGTAACCCTAAGGATCTCAAGAAAAGCCATTTCCGCAAGCTCAACCCTTATTTGTTAACTACCGTGTACAAAGTGCACTCGAATTATCTCATTGATGATTTAGTATGTGATTTTGGCAGTGACAAACTTATATTATACAGCCACAAGACTCATAATTTAAACTTTCTATCCCTTAAACAAGGGAAGAAAATATATCAAGTGGATTCGCATATTAGTCGGGACGTGTTGGCCGAGCATTCTCTTAACCAGGTCCATTATGCCACGGTTGAAAAAATCACCAAGAATCTCATCATGATCGGGAATTCCAACGGTTTGATCTTTATGAAATTATTCACCAACGATTTTGCCCTAAGCAGTCCTCTGAACCTGAAGTTTTTCAATAAACATACATGGAGTGATGAACATGTACCTTCGGTGGACCACCAACGATTGGCACAGAAGAAGCTTTTTATCAGTAGCATCGTATTGAATCCATTGTTGAACTCCAGCGTTGGCAGTTTTGGTAAAGGTTCTTTGGATGTGCTATCCGGTGACCTCTTGGGCCAAGTTTATGGTTGGAATTATATTACAAAAGCAGTACTTTTCAAGATCGATATTAATGAATCTTTGAACGATCAAGACATCCAAAATCTTGATCGTAATATCAGGTTCCCGGTCCTCAAGATTGCCACCAATTTCAAAGAATTCGTGGTGGTAGAATCTATTAACCAAAACTTCTTTATCATCAAATTCGACGGTGCACATTTCACCTCACATTCCATTAAACACATTAGATTGGACCAAGAAGTTACTCAGAATGCCATGATTCTCCATGAGATTTTCAATGCCAATTCTGTCCACCTTGTCAATGAAATCAATCCAGTATTTCTTGGGAAAATCGTTAACCCTCGTTCTTTACTGGCCAAATCATATATGGAGGTTGATTATGCCAATGAAAAGATTGTATACAGTTGGAAAAACAAAATTAATCTTTTAGATTTCGACGGATACAAATCGGCGGTAGTAAATACCTCGCTTAAAGATGATCCGGTCGATCCTCAACTGGCAGAAGAATACGTGATGCAAACCAAAATCATCAATAATTTATCCACCAGACGGTCGGACGGTAACAAGCTTGCTGGTAATGATTCTTCACTCCATGTGGCGCTTTTCTCTTCTGGGAAAGTGGTGGTCCACGCCACGGCTAATAGTGATCAAGAAAACAAGAATGTCGTTGTTTTCAAAGTGATTCCGTCGTTTTTAAGTGATCTCTGCGATGGCGATCCTTATTCATTATACCATCTCCATCCTATCCTCAAATTCGACTGTAATAGCGGGGTACTTTTGCTCTGTTCTTATAATGGCTGGATGGCAATTGTTAACATCCTCAATGGGTGTATATTAAAAATTATCGAGCATCAAATTCCGAAAACTTTAACTAATACCACTCCGTATAATATCGAGTTCCACCGACAACAAGCCATGGACCCTGGAGCGATTAATGTCGCTCCTTCACGAGATCCGGTGGTAGCCACTAATAATTTCACGTTGGTACCGGTGACTGCGGTCGAATTAGCCCCGGTGCCGGCATTTTCAGCAGAAGGACTGGATGAAGGATATTCACTCCCGCCGATTTTACTTCGAGGGTTGATAGTGCTTGATAACATTGTCCAGTATTTCCATATCTCCTTTGAAAACTCTTTGTTCGTTCGGAACACTTTGGGGTTGACCGAAGAAGAGTTGTTGTTATCGAAACAACTCAAGAAGAAACAAACGAAACAATCATCACGGTTACAAACTTGGGAGAAAATCCGGGGAGAAATGGACGAGTTTGAGAATGATAATTATGAATCAGTAGTGCAAGGGAAGTTGTTCGATAAGTACAATGGGGTTCATGATTTGGATGATGAAGAAGAATTAATGTTGGCGTTAGCAATGAGTGAGAGTGTGGTGAAGCAGGCAGCATCAGAACAGGATAAATCGTTGAAACAAGCACTTGAATTGTCGAAAATTGAAGAGGGAATAATGGAGAATAATGATGATGACGAGGAGGAGGAGGAGGAGGAGGAGTTTGATGATGATCTTAGAAGAGCTTTGGAATTGTCAGCATTGGAATCTAAGGGGCCACAAAATGATGATGATGAAATGGAATTTTCAATCACATTAGATGGGGAAGATGAAATGGACGATGATCTACGAATGGCATTGGAGTTATCGGCGTTAGAATCTCAGAAACAGGGAAGTAATAATAATAATAATAATCATAGTAATAGTAATAGTAATGGTACATCAGGAGATTTAGCAGATGATATGGATGAAGATCTTCGCAAGGCATTGGAGTTATCGGCATTGGAGTCCCAAGCCCCACAATATAACGGTGGTAGTGGGATACAATTCAGGAGAGCATCCGGACAAGGTTTGGATACCACACGGGAGGAAGAAGATGAATTTTTCGGGTTGAGTAAAGAAAAGTTCAAGTTTTTTGATAATGATGATTTGGAAAATGGCGAGCAAGATGATGGTGATGATGATGATGATGGCGACGACAAAGGGAAACAGACCATTGATAAAGGGAAGCTGGCGAATGGTGATGATGATGATTTGTTAGATGAGGATATGAAGCTCGCGATAAAGTTGTCTAAATTGGAATACCAGGGATTAAAATCGGTACATGAGAGTAATGTTGGGTCGTCTTCTTCGATGTTTTGATATGCAAAGCATTAAAGGTGTCATTTCAGAAATCAAGTATAATAATTGGTAATGCTTACCTAACTCTTGATACAACAATATTTGGAAATACGATTGGGTGGATCTATCTACTGGAATCAACATAATTTCCGGAGCCCCCTTTGGCTCGTTGTTCCCATTAGGAGAATGGTTTTTTTTTGTTTTTGTTTTTGTTTGACCACATAAAAGAATGTATCTGGCAAGATTATTGTGCATATTGGTATCATCGGTGGCAGTTCATCTTTTAATTCTTTTAGATACTTTCAGAGATGAACCATCATTCTCAGGGTTGTATTCTAAATAACAAGAACTAACAGCTCAAAATAAACAACAAATAAGAAAACAAGGAGGTTACAAAAGTTCAAAATATAAATTTACGTGAAATGACTTCCATATCGAATATATTAAGGTATTTATATATTGTAAGAAAGAAAAGAAAAACAAAACAAAACGATGAAAAAAGAAAGGTCCCACCTAGTGTTATCTTCAATGAAGAACAACAAATAATCCATCCCCTGGGCTACTCTTTCTAATAATGGAATGTCCCATTATTAGAACACAAAGCATACCCCAGTCCTTTCCTTTCTTGAAAAAAAAAACATAGTGGTTAAAAGATTTCTCTCATACTCTATATGCTATATAATACTAGAATGAATAACCAGTGACTCAAAGTTAGTATCTCTGTCAGTAAAATCAACCCAACTAATTGGTGGATCAAAAAAAAAAAAAAAAGGCCTTAAACAGAGTCGATTCCTTTTGTTTATTATCTTCCAAAATAATGTCTGCTTCTCCGAAACATCTATGAAGCTTTATGGGATAACAGCAGTATCATCACAATCACCGAATTGCCTCAATAGAGCTCGTAATGAAAGGGAAGCCACAACATACATAAGTAAATACCTTCAAAACAAAACCCAAACACAATTAATATTAGACCAACAATTGAAGAAACAATCATCTCAATTGCAAGAACATCAAACACATAGAATTCAAAAACTCAACAATTAGAAACTTCTCGCACCGATTTTATTGGCGATCTGTCTGAGTTCTGCTAGACGCCGGGAATGAGATAAAATGCAAAGAATTGGGAACGAGAGAACAAGGAGACCGAAAAATAATAATCGAATTTGCTACCTTGTGTTTTACACTATTTAGCAGTATTATCAAACACCTGCAGTCACCAGTCGTGTAATTTACACAATAAATAGAGGTTGCAAATGGCTTGACGGTCCAGAATGACGGGATTATTGGCAGCAAACTACGGTAACCACAAAGAGCTTCCTATAGGTATACACCACACCGCACAAGCACACCAAAAAAAAAAGGGTATGTGTAGCTAGCCTTGTCTTTTGCAAAGAACAGGAACTGGCCCATGCTGTGATACTACTCTTTCTAACAAAATTTCTTCAACCCCAATGATGTAGGCACAAAGGTATTTCACCAATTCTATCATTCTAGTGTAAAAGACTTCTGCCATATCATGGGCCTCGAAAACTTTCATATAAAAATCTAACGCTGATACCTAACGAGCATAGAGTACTGGTAGTAAAGATAACTCATGAGGTTTTTACAACAACAATAAAACAATAACTTCCAGGAGGCCAGACGAATCACAATAATAACTCATAGCAATTGGATCCAAAGGCTGTAGATTATTATTAGCCAAAATAATTCTGATGCTTGAAATGGCCACCAATTTTCTTTTTTTTTTTTTTTTGGATCGTTCCATCCTTTTAGCTATCAATCAAATATTCAAATAAACCTCATTTGGAGACCTTCTATTATGCACTCCCCCATCCTCCCCCTATTTCCATTACAATCAAACAAGACTCCATTCAAAGAAAGATAAAGGAAGTGACCCACCAATTACAACCCCTAGAAGTTCTTTGAGAAAGTATTTATTTCTCAACGTAGAGCTCTTCTAGACACTTCTTTAAATCCAGTGAAGAATCGCTGCTATGGAAGCTCTTTCTCAACTTGCCTGCACCAGATCCTCCCAAAAAATCTCTCCGCAAAGTGTGCCTACCTCACTTCCGAAAGGTTCAACTAGTGCTGCTATTTACAACTACGACGAAGAGTTTTCGGTTGATTGGAAACCCCTTCCTGATGATTATTTTGATAATTTGATAGAAACATTTCCATCATACTGCAATCAAAATGTAGCATCGTCGATTTTCTGTCTTGGCAGTATTACTAAAGTCGAAAACCGTTCCACGAGCTTATGGAATGATACAGAAGAGGAAATTTGGAGACATTGTGATAAGAAGGGGCCCAGCATTGTGTTACAGTTTTGGAATTTGATCTTGCTCGAAGTTGTGGCGATTGTTCACGGTCTTGGTGAGACAGTTTATTGTCGCCATGAAAAATCTATTATGGGGCCTGAAAATTTGACAGTGAGTCCTGTTAAATCTATCATGCTCGGAAGCCTTGAGTATGATAATTTTGACCCGTTCTTCTCCATTGTATTAAAATCATACGGACTACATGAATTGATTTGCAATGGCACTCTTCAAAGTGGCTCGTTAACTCGTCAAGTTATCATCAGTATGTTGAACGGATCAACAGATTCTTTCATCCTTTCGGATTATTTCACCAATATTGTTTTCATGTTGAAAGATAATCTGGGTTTGGAAGCCCGGGCTAAAGAGATCCGGGCTTCCAATAATAGAATATGGAAAGAGGTTGAAACAAAAAGCAGACGAATGGCAGAGCTTGAGTGGGAAATTATGGAAGAAAAGTTCATGAAGAAAAAACATGGGCTACTGGAAAAAATAGCTAAGATAAAAAAGTTGAAAAATGACGCTAACGAATTGGCTCAGCAACGTCTTGCAATTTCAATTAAGATATCTTACAGAATCTTCAAAAATGATGATATGAAATGCCCAATAAATATGGTATTAGCCAGTTTAATTCACCATCGTAATAACTACACAGATGATCAAGTTGAAAATGTGCAATTGAAAACAGAGAGATTAAGAGGGATTTTGAGCAACAACGCAAGAGGTAGTTACAATGAAGAGTGCACAAATTTGCAAAGTGATAATCCTCATTTTTTATACATCATTTCGATGACTGTTGGTGCGTGCTATAGGTTCTTTCCTGATTTTCCTAAGATAAGTGCTCCTTGTGAGAGAATTGTGATGAAAGTTTATGATCCTGATTTCATTCAAGATTATAAAAAGATATCTAGAACTGGAAGACCGGGTCTGGTGGATAGAAGGTGTATGGAAGCTGCTGCCCAGAAGTTCGACAAAGAAATCATGACCTATCGCACTATATTTGATCATAATTTACTGTGCACTTCGAAAGAAGACATTATTCTCGCCCCCAAGATTATATACCATGGGGATGTAATTCTTTGGGACAACAATGATTTGAAATTTGGGGGACTTGCAATATTTATGACAGAGATTCCGAAAGGTGACAAAGTCACGAAAAAACTGATTGATTTTGGGTTTCATCAATTGCGACTATTATCTGACCTAGGAATATATCCTGCATATTTCTTAAGAAAAAATTATATACTAACCCCAGATGAGAAAGTTGTGTGGGTTGGTTATGGTAAAACGAGCTTACTCTCAGATTTGGAAACAAATACCCAAAGATTTGATCTGATATTCGATAGTGAAGTGTGAAGATTTAAATTTGCTGTTCAGCTTCTTTTACTGTGACAGTTTAATAAGTGAGGGATATTTGTCTACCGAGGTTCTGATGATTGAGAACTGAGCTGATTGGAGCGTTATTTGCTTATATCAATGAGCTTCTATGCATTGCAATAAATTATATATTGGTTTATATCAATACAATGAAGATGTCAATTATTGCCAGGCGCAATTGTAAGCTATTACTTGAATGAAATTATTTTTCTCCAAAGGAATCAATCCTAAAAGGTATTGCCGTCATTTTCTACACGTTTCACACCAGCCTCTACCCGTAACAGGATAAAATATATCAATACAGTGCTATGTACTCATTTTAGCAGCCTCCTACCCGAATTCTGGCTCAGGGAAAGTTTCCAAAAACCCTCTGTCATGTTGAGTTTAAAGTAATTATTTATTTGCAAATGCACATGGCACTCTCACACCATAGACGCCTCGGGGTGCATACGATATGGAAAATCATTATTAATAAGAATTCTTACAACTATTCAGGTTTAAATTATTCATATTGTCTTCGCTCGGAAATGAGGTTTAGATTGATGAGGAAAAACGTTCCATAAATCATTTCCAGTTGCTTTGCAATCTACTGAAGCCATTTATGCAGGGTAATCTCACTGGGTCAAGAAATAAGTGCCGTCAAGATGGAACATGTAGCGACAAAGCTTTTTGAGGCATTGCGATAAACATTTCGTCATTGGTTAGAAACATGAAGGGTATTTCGTTACATACAGCATCATAGAGGATATATGTCTTACAGTATTGCTAGTGCTAAAATCATCATTATCAATGGATTAACTATTGAAAGCTTGCATTTTGAAATCTTTGTCAAGATCTTTGAATTATGTGCTGGGGTATATTCTAAGAGTATTGCGAGAATGTGGGACAAATAGATGTTAGTTCTTCTAATCATCCCTACACAGAGTTGTCAGATTCGCTTTAACTTCACTCAATATCGATTAGCAGCTACTATGAGTTACACTGAAAAGGATGTAAAATTGTGAGATGAAAAATCGAATTCTTGCGAAGGCTTTCATAATACAAGAAATACACCAGGGACATAGAAGCCAGTTTGTTAGTTGTTAGCTGCAAGGTGGAAGGTGGAAGTTGCTGTGGATCCCCATTAAATGGTGCTCGTCGCTCATGATTTGCAACATTTCAATGGATTATGTTTACGGTATGTCTGCTGGACTATCTGTGAACATGTATATATTGCACTTGCAAGTATGGTTTACTTAATATGCCAGGCTTTCTGGAGCAGCTGAAGCTTGCTGATTGTGTGCAATAATAAGTTTGAAGGTTGAGAATTGTTTTTATGGGAGGCTGAAATAAGTTGAAAAAACTGAAAAACTTGGCGGTAACATAATATCCAATTAATGTTTTACATAGAGTTGGTTTCGAGGACTAATGAAGATTGCGAATAATGCTTAGTTGGTTGGCACCACAATATTTTAGGGAACGCAATCTATTTTTGCTGCAGTTTTGTCTATATTCTATGATTCTATTCATAATTAACTCTGCAAGTGGAAGCTCCTTACTCAAAAAGGTTCTTGTAATCCCACCATCTCTGCACTTTCCGGTTTCCAATTATTGTTATCCCATCAGGACGGTATACCTGACTGTGGGTGTGGCACCCCATCGTGTCAAACCCTTCTCCTCATCTTTCATTAAAGTTCCAGTTTCCTTCCCTGAATTTGCTCTTGTTTAACAAGCCATTCCATGATAATCCAAGAACAAGACCAGTAAATGATTTGATGTCAATATGAGCGACCAAGCTTACGAACAGAGAATAGCGTCTGCAATAAATGAGATAAAATCCAAAATCAGAAATTCACAAGGTCTATCATTAGACCTTGGTGACATTCTTGATGATCAAAGCTTAAGAGCTGATGTTGTTTTAGATATGAAACGAGAAGCATGTAATGAGAGAGAAAGAAATGGCCCAAATCCCACCGACCTCGCATCGCTGCTATGGAAGCTCTTTCTCAACTTGCCTGCGCCAGATCCTCCAAAGAAATCTCTCTACGTGGATTATGTGCCTACCACACTTCCCAAAGGTTCAATTAGTGCTGCTATTTACAGCTACTACGGTGAGTTTTCGGTTGATTGGCAACCCTTTCCTGATGATTTTTTTGATAATTTGATAGAAAAATTTTCATCATACTGCAATCAAAATGTAGCATCGTCGATTTTTCATCAGGGGAGTGTTCGTGAAGTCGATCATCGTTACGAGGGCTTATTCTATGACACTATAGGGGAGTCATGGACTGACAATAAGTTTACCGAGAGCACTGTTTCACGTAAGTTTGATGCATTGATGTCAAATAAACTTAAGCTTATCCTTGATAGTTTTAACGAAAAGGTTTATTTTTGGACTGAAGTATCCGTGAAGGGACCAGAAAATTTTTCACTACGTCCGGATATCTCAGTTTTCCCTGTCTTCAATGGAGTCCAAGGTGAAGCATGCATGTTTTTTGAACTAAAGAAGTACGGGCTACAGAAACACATTCGTAATGATGTTCTTACAGATCTGTCGCTAGTTCGCCAGGTGGTTGTTAATATGTTGAACAGTACTAATGATGTTTGTGTGCTTACCGATTACTTTGTTCATATTATTTTCATGCTAGCAGATCCTGATCAGGACGCTTTGAAAAAAGGAAAGGAGCCAAACTCCGCAAAGCGGAAAGAACTTCAAGAGATGAATGACAGAATAGCAGAAATCGAAGCACTTCTTAACGAAACCAATGGTCACAAATTCAAGGTATTCAATTCAAGAAGAAGGTATTTAGAAAAGGAAAAAGAGGGGCTTGAAAAAAAGGCTGGGGCCCTCAAGCAACAACTTATGGAAGTTCCAATCCCTATTTTCTACAAGATTGTAGAAAATTCAAATAAGACAATCAATTTGATTTTGGGAAGTTTGATACACCACTGTGTGAATTACACTGCTGATCAAAAAAATAGTGCAAGAGATAAGTCCGAAAAATACAAGCTGATATTCATGAAGAAGAACGGCTCGGCACAAAATGTCAAGAACAGAAATTCAAGGTTCCCCTTCGGAGTAACTATTAGATCAATAGGATCTGCGGGTGAAACAATTTCCGGAAATACTCGTGGTCATTACGCCAGTGATATCAAGGAGTTACAAGATGGTAGCTCCCACTTGTCGTTTGTGGCATCTATAAACACCGCTGCTTGCCAGAAAATTTTCCCACAGTTGCCTAAGATAAAAACCAGGAGTGAGAAAATTATCATAAAAGTGTATGACGCGGATTTTCTACTGCAGTATGCCAGAACTCGAGAAATTAGAAAACTAGGGTTTTCTTATGAAGATATTTTGAGCATTGCTGCTGAGCAATACACCAACGAGGTTTGCTCATATAGGCAGATTGAAGCCTACAATAACAATTGCAAGTCACAAGCCAATACTATTTTTAGCCCAAAAATTGTGTTTTGTGGCACACGGGTTAGCTTGTTCGACAAGGCCTCCATCAAGTTTGGTGGACCTGCAATATTTATGACAGAGATTCCTGGAGGCGGTAAAATCACCGAGAAACTGATGGAGTTTGGAATTAATCAATTGAAGTTATTGTCGGGTTTAGGTATCAATCACGGTGATATTAAAAGAGAAAATTTCATTGTTACTCCAGACGAAAGAGTTGCTTGGATAGACTATGGTATGGTGAATGAATCTTCAACTTTGGAAGGAAATATCCAAAAATTTGTCGAGATATGCAATGAGTACATATGAGTACATATGAGTATTGAGCGGTTCGGTGTTTTGTTCTCTCACTTTTGGTGTTGTCTTTCGACTTGCTTGGTTTGCCACTTATGTTTTTGTATCGGTTCGGCATGAAGGGCTGGATACTTGCTTGCTATCAATCAACAGCTGAGATTTTGTGGTTTTTTTATACGATACTTGCTTATCTGTTTTCGTCACAATGTATCCAGCTATGCTATATTATTTTTCATTTTTTTCATTTTTTTTTCTATTTTGCTACCTCCGCTTGAGTTGCTGCCATATAATTACTTACTAATGTGTTTATTTGGGTTTTATTAATGTTGTTTTCTATCAATTCCTATCTTCGCTATCTTGTTTCTTGCTCATCATTTTTCTAATGTCTTGTCTTGTCTGGGTTTGTTGTCACGATAATGCTGCTATAGAAGGAGCACTACGCTCTCCGGATTTTCTTTTTTCATTTGCATCTGAATACCAAGTCGTGTTATGTTGGCTATATAATTATAATGCCTTGGGGTGTCGTAAACTGTAATTTGCACTTATGGGATATAAAAGATAATCAGAAAATTTTAATCCACTATATATTATACGAGAAAGTAGTCTCATACCCAAATTCTGACCCAGGGAAAGTTTCCAAAAACGCTGTGTCATGTTGAGTTTGAAGTAATTATTTGTTGGTATACCAATATATGGTGTGAGAGCGTCATGTACATTTATGGGGGTATCTGTTTCTTAGCATTATTTATTTAGGAGGGGGTTTATTATTATTTTATATTAACCTTAAGACGAGGGAGGAGATTATTTTGTATTATTATTATTATTAGATACTATAGAATAATTGTAATTATAGTGAAAGAAGAGAGAGTTTAAATGGAGGGGTATGCTTACCACTTTACACCCGGAGGGTGCACACACCATAGACGCCTCGGGGTGCATAGGATATAGAAAATCATTATTCTTACAACTATTCAGGTTTGAAATATTCGTATTCTCTTCGCTCGGAAATGAGGTTTAGATTGATGAGGAAAAACGTTCCATAAATCATTTCCAGTTGCTTTACAATCAACAAACGCCATTTGGCCAGGGAAATCCTGCTGGGTGTACTATCGTACATACTACGAATATGACCACCCCAGTTTACATTTTATCGTGTTAAATTATTTTATTGTTTATTATTATTTGTCTTCCTTATTGTTATTAGAAGACAAGAATGAATCCCACTATTATTAGTCATTTAATACATTTACCTTCTTTGATTTATTACTGTTAATTCAGCCTAATAACAAGTTGTTGAATACGAGCCACTTGTTTGAGTTGTGTGTTCTATCAGATAGTTAAAGAGACCAAGTGCGGTGATAACAACTGATCTTCTTATCACGTATCTAACGAGAGATAGAGTGAAGATAAGTATCGATATAGAATTAAGAAGTCAACTCTTCCTTCCTTTCCATTTCTGTTGTCATTTCACCGTCTCACGTGAAACTGGAAATAAAAAAACAAAAAACAAAAACAAAGCTCATCGCCCTCAGAGGTTTTTTCCAATCAACAAAACAACCCATTTATGGAGAGGGTTTTTTTTTTTTTTTTTTTATCCTATTACTCTATTATAATGACTCCAATAGACGTCATAACCCATCCTGATACTATGGAAGTCCCCGTGAAGTCAACCAACCCTTCCATTGGAATAAAAAAATCCAGAAAACCTAAGCTTAAATATCGTCCAGAAACAACGTCAACCCTTGATTTGAATACCATCGACTTTTCTCAGCCGTTGATGCCCCAAATGACAAATGATGAGTTTCTTAATAACCTCTATTTTCTCAATTATGCCCTCTCCGAGTGTCGAAAAATCGTCTGTGTAAGTGGTGCTGGAATGTCAGTGGCCGCTGGGATTCCCGATTTCCGATCATCCAATGGGTTATTCCAAGGAGGAATCTCGGTGGAAAAAAAGAAACAAACAGGTGATACTACAACTGATGAAGATAATCGAAGGTACCCAAAGCGAGATCCATCATTGAACCTGCGGGGCTCCTCATCGTCCAAACAATTGTTCACTTCTAATGTGTATTCCGACTCCTCACTTACCCCATTATTCCATAACTTGATCTTGAATTTACATAAGATCATCTCCCAAACCCAGCCCACAAAGTTCCACAATTTTTTGAATGATTTATCTGAAAATGGCAGACTTCTTAGACTATATACCCAAAACATTGATTGTTTAGATACCGATCTCCCGCATCTTTCTACGGTCACTCCTCTTCACAACTGCTTGAAACAATGCTATCCCAAAACCATCCAACTTCACGGGAGTCTAATGACCATGTGCTGTTCTAAATGCCAATGGATCAGTAATATGACCCCTTCGGTGTTCCTGAATCCCAAACCCGTGGAGTGTCCCGAATGCCGAGAACTTAATTCCGTGAGATCAATAGTGGGCAAACGAACCCAAACTTCGGGAATCATTAGGCCACGGTTTGTGCTCTATAATGAGTTCCATCCCGATGGTGAGATCATTGGAAAGATCACTGAACATGATTTAAAGAAAAACAAACCCGATTGTTTGGTGGTGGTGGGTACATCATTGAAAATCCCGGGGGTGAGGCGCTTAGTAAAAGAAATGACTAAAGTGGTGAAACTGCAAGCTGGAGGGTGTGTGATTTGGGTCAATTTGGAAAAACCATCGAGTGCCGATCTTCAATTCATGAAGGAATTGGATTTGGTGGTGGTGGGTGATTGTCAAAAAGTACCGGAATTGATGGAAAAGTTGAAACGTGAAGAGGTATACCAAACTGCGGTGAATAAAAGAAAGTTAAAGAATTTTAATAATAAAATCACCAAACCTGGGAGGGAGATACAAGGTAAGATCATCCAGGATCGTCTGGGTAAGCTTGTGAATCTTGTTAATGGGGCCATTGCTGGGGAGGACGATGAAAACACAGTGAAGCAAAAGAGGAATAAGAAACTTCCTTATTTATGAGGGTATAGCTTTTAATTGTATTATTGATGGATCATCACGCACTTTCTCATAAATTGAGGTTATGCTTTAAGTTCGTTGCTGACGATATTTTGAATTCGTCTTTTTTTTTGAAAAAAAGGGAAGCTTGTTTTATATGAGCTGTTGCAAATGATGCTTATTTTCTACAAAAAGTTCAAACGGACGCCGATATTCTAACTTTGAACTGATTCTCTACGAACAGTTGAGACTAAGGTTTCTCACTAATCAAGAGTTTAAACGCAAGTTTATATGCCGTAGAGTGTATAAATTTGCGTATTATCTAAAAAGAAAAATTCAGAATGGATAATGTAACAAAGAGAAAGAAAAGTTCCTAATTCATGAAAGAAAAAAGATTGAGAGTAAAGGGAGGAAATGTGAGTTGATTCTCATTCAATGCTGTAATTTTTTAATGATAAGTATACGCACACAGGAATTCCGAAATAGATGGAAGGAAGCAATGAGAAAGAAATTTCCTTAGTGAATCTTGCAAGTTTTCTTGAGGTAGGAAGAAAACACGAAACAAATTGCAAGAAGAAATTCTATTATTCTACGTGAAAAGTTTTAACATTCTGGAAAAGGAAACTTCTATCGAGCAGTTTAGCACTATAGAAAACAGACTTCTGTTAAAACATTCTTGTTTCCATCTACTATCTTGAAAGCTAAATATCTTGGGAAGAAAAAACTCAAGCCAAAAAAAACAAAAACTATATTGGCCCATTCTTTTCGATGTTGTGAGCATTTTCTCTCTCACCCACAAATGGCATTGCGTAGCATTAGAAATATGTGGTGGAGACCCCCGCCCCCCCCCCCCTCCTTCTTGATTCATTCCAGTACAAATAAATACCTCAAAAAAGCCATGATTTTCACATCAACATATACTGTTAGAAAAATGATGAGCAAGAAACAAGATAGCGAAGATAGGAATTGATAGAAAACAACATTAATAAAACCCAAATAAACACATTAGTAAGTAATTATATGGCAGCAACTCAAGCGGAGGTAGCAAAATAGAAAAAAAAAATGAAAAAAATGAAAAATAATATAGCATAGCTGGATACATTGTGACGAAAACAGATAAGCAAGTATCGTATAAAAAAACCACAAAATCTCAGCTGTTGATTGATAGCAAGCAAGTATCCAGCCCTTCATGCCGAACCGATACAAAAACATAAGTGGCAAACCAAGCAAGTCGAAAGACAACACCAAAAGTGAGAGAACAAAACACCGAACCGCTCAATACTCATATGTACTCATATGTACTCATTGCATATCTCGACAAATTTTTGGATATTTCCTTCCAAAGTTGAAGATTCATTCACCATACCATAGTCTATCCAAGCAACTCTTTCGTCTGGAGTAACAATGAAATTTTCTCTTTTAATATCACCGTGATTGATACCTAAACCCGACAATAACTTCAATTGATTAATTCCAAACTCCATCAGTTTCTCGGTGATTTTACCGCCTCCAGGAATCTCTGTCATAAATATTGCAGGTCCACCAAACTTGATGGAGGCCTTGTCGAACAAGCTAACCCGTGTGCCACAAAACACAATTTTTGGGCTAAAAATAGTATTGGCTTGTGACTTGCAATTGTTATTGTAGGCTTCAATCTGCCTATATGAGCAAACCTCGTTGGTGTATTGCTCAGCAGCAATGCTCAAAATATCTTCATAAGAAAACCCTAGTTTTCTAATTTCTCGAGTTCTGGCATACTGCAGTAGAAAATCCGCGTCATACACTTTTATGATAATTTTCTCACTCCTGGTTTTCATCTTAGGCAACTGTGGGAAAATTTTCTGGCAAGCAGCGGTGTTTATAGATGCCACAAACGACAAGTGGGAGCTACCATCTTGTAACTCCTTGATATCACTGGCGTAATGACCACGGGTATTTCCGGAAATTGCTTCACCCGCAGATCCTATTGATCTAATAGTTACTCCGAAGGGGAACCTTGAATTTCTGTTCTTGACATTTTGTGCCGAGCCGTTCTTTTTCATGAATATCAGCTTGTATTTTTCGGACTTATCTCTTGCACTATTTTTTTGATCAGCAGTGTAATTCACACAGTGGTGTATCAAACTTCCCAAAATCAAATTGATTTTCTTATTTGAATTTTCTACAATCTTGTAGAAAATAGGGATTGGAACTTCCATAAGTTGTTGCTTGAGGGCCCCAGCCTTTTTTTCAAGCCCCTCTTTTTCCTTTTCTAAATACCTTCTTCTTGAATTGAATACCTTGAATTTGTGACCATTGGTTTCGTTAAGAAGTGCTTCGATTTCTGCTATTCTGTCATTCATCTCTTGAAGTTCTTTCCGCTTTGCGGAGTTTGGCTCCTTTCCTTTTTTCAAAGCGTCCTGATCAGGATCTGCTAGCATGAAAATAATATGAACAAAGTAATCGGTAAGTATGTAGAAATCATTAGCACCGTTCAACATGTTAACCACCACCTGGCGAACTAAGGAGCTATTAGCAAGAGCATTATCCTCAATTAATTTTCGCAACCCAAGCCTTTTGCCTTCAATTATGATGGATGCAGGACCATTCTCATCAGCATCACGTTCATTTGGAAAAACACAAATGTCTGGGCGTAAAGATAGATTTTCTTGCCCCATAATAGTTCTTTGACCACGGCAATAAACTGTGTCACCAAGACTGTTAAGGATCTTCACCACTTTGAGCAACGTCAAATGCCAAAGCTGTAACACAATGCTGGCCTCCTTCTTATCACAATGCATCCAAATATCCTTCCCTGTACTACTTGTTAAGTCCAGGTAAAGTTCATCGACTTCACGAACACTCCCCTGATGAAAAATTGACGTTGATAAATTTTGATTACAATGTAATGAAAATGTTTCTATCAAATTATCAAAATAATCATCAGGAAGGGGTTGCCAGTCAACCGAAAACTCTTCGTAGTATTTGTAAATAGCAGCACTAATTGAACCTTTGGGAAGTGAGGTAGGCACACAGTCCACGTAGAGAGATTTCTTGGGAGGATCTGGCGCAGGCAAGTTGAGAAAGAGCTTCCATAGCAGCGATGCGAGGTCGGTGGGATTCGGGCCATTTTTACGTCTCTCAAGAAATGCTTCCACTTTCATATCTGAAACAACATCAGCTCTTAAGTTTTGGTCATCAAGAATGCCACCAAGGTCTAATGATAGACTTTGTGAATTTCTGATTTTGGATTTTATCTCATTTATTGCAGACGCTATTCTCTGTTCGTAAGCTTGGTCGCTCATATTGACATCAAATCATCTACTGGTATTGTTCTTGGATTATCATGGAATGGCTTGTTAAACAAGAGCAAATTCAGGGAAGGAAACTGGAACTTTAATGAAAGATGAGGAGAAGGGTTTGATACGATGGGGTGCCACACCCACAGTCAGGTATACCGTCCTGGTGGTATAACAATAATTTATTCCTATTGGAAACCAGAAAGTCCAGAGATGGTGGGATTACAAGAACCTTTTTGAGTAATGGGCTTCCACTTGCAGAGTTAAATATAAATAGCATCATAGAATATAGACAAAACTGCAACAAAAATAGATTGCGTTCCCCAAAATATTGTGGTGCCAACCAACTAAGCATTATTCGCAATCTTCATTAGTCCTCGAAACCAACTCTATGTAAAACATTAATTGGATATTATGTTACCGCCAAGCTTTTCAGTTTTTTCAACTTATTTCAGCCTCCCATAAAAACAATTCTTAACCTTCAAACTTATTATTGTCATACAATCAGCAAGCTTCAGCTGCTCCAGAAAGCCTGGCATATTAAGTAAACCATACTTGCAAGTGCAATATATACATGTTCACAGATAGTCCAGCAGACATACCGTAAACATAATCCATTGAAATGTTGCAAATCATGAGCGACGAGCACCATTTAATGGGGATCCACAGCAACTTCCACCTTCCACCTTGCAGCTAACAACTAACAAACTGGCTTCTATGTCCCTGGTGTATTTCTTGTATTATGAAAGCCTTCGCAAGAATTCGATTTTTCATCTCACAATTTTACATCCTTTTCAGTGTAACCCATAGTAGCTGCTAATCAATATTGAGTGAAGTTAAAGCGAATCTGACAACTCTGTGTAGGGATGATTAGAAGAACTAACATCTATTTGTCCCACATTCTCGCAATACTCTTAGAATATACCCCAGCACATAATTCAAAGATCTTGACAAAGATTTCAAAATGCAAGCTTTCAATATTTAATCCATTGATAATGATGATTGTAGCACTAGCAATACTGTAAGACATATATCCTCTATGATGCTGTATGTAACGAAATACCCTTCATGTTTCTTACCAATGACGAAATGTTTATCGCAATGCCTCTTTTATTTCCAGTTTCACGTGAGACGGTGAAATGACAACAGAAATGGAAAGGAAGGAAGAGTTGACTTCTTAATCCTATATCGATACTTATCTTCACTCTATCTCTCGTTAGATACGTGATAAGAAGATCAGTTGTTATCACCGTACTTGGTCTCTTTAACTATCTGATAGAACACACAACTCAAACAAGTGGCTCGTATTCAACAACTTGTTATTAGGCTGAATTAACAGTAATAAATCAAAGAAGGTAAATGTATTAAATGACTAATAATAGTGGGATTCATTCTTGTCTTCTAATAACAATAAGGAAGACAAATAATAATAAACAATAAAATAATTTAACACGATAAAATGTAAACTGGGGTGATCATATTCGTCGATAGTACAGTTTTTCCTATTACTTAATTGGGATGCACCAATGCTACGGGTGATAAACATTAAAATAATAATAAAGATATATTATACATTTTTTACACAAAATAATACACAAACAACCTGAAGTACTGAAGAAAAAAGAAAAGAGATTAGGTGAATTACACCATTCAATGGCTATCGATCACCGTGGTAGACAAGGTCACCATCTGTACTGTGGTGGTAGATGATGCACTTGTCAAGTATGTTATACTGGTAGGAACCAATTGCTGGAGTCCCGCTACCCCCGTCACTTGTTGGATTCCTGACCCTTGCTCGACAGCATTGGACTGTTGGGCAGCCACCACCTGGGTGGCCACTGGGGCAGCAGCAGCAGTAACGTATTCAGTGATGGTCGGAATAGCAGCTTCGGCTGTGGCGGTTGCACCGGCAGTAGCAGCAGTAGCAACCCCAGTAGCAGCAGCACCAGCAGCAGCAGCAGAACTTTTCGATGCTGCGGCAGCTGAGGATCTATGCTTCAATAAGTATTCTCCTCCAAGAGCAACCCCAGCACCAGCAGCAGCAGCAGCTCCGGCATGCTTCCAATTGATTTTGGACAATCCAGAGGTCAATCCAGAGAGTAAACTTGGGTCTCTTTTCACGATCTCCGTGTCATTGGAATTTTTATCGGCTTCCTGCTTATAGTAGTATATTGGTGATGCATTTATCTGAGCTATTGAGGAGAGACAAGCAATGACACAAATTGTTTTACCAGAAAACATAATTGCTATTATAGTTATTTTATAGTTATTTTATAGTTATATATGGTTTTTATGGAATACTTCGAAACTTGGAGTAATGGGGAAACTTTGACGCAAAAGAAAAAACAAAAAAAAAAAGATCATGGATTTCTCAGTCTTTTTAAGATGATCAAAGTTTGGCGACGCCGTTGAGTCTTGTAATTTATAAGAATGTAACCATACTCAATGCCGCATTTTACTCCGTTTTGAATAGTTCATGGATACTCATGGCTGTATTTTCATAAAAACTGAAGGAATAAAATTGACCGCTCATTCCGATGCTCAAATACTAAAATACGGGAGAGGGGGTGGGGGGTGGGGGGACGCTGCGTGCATGGATGTATAATAAATCGTAGGCTTGTGAGTAGAATGTACCACAAATAATATGTTATTATTACTATTATTATTATTACTATTATTATTATTATTATTATTATTATTATTATTATTATTATTATTATTATTATTATCATAATTATTATATAGTGCCTAGCTTATATTTCATTGTTTGAATGTCAGCACTGAGTCGGGAATTCTATTTCCTGAATCATCATTATCATCACTGAGATAAAAGCTTGTTTTACCACTTTTTCAAGTCTCGATTATTGGTCGAGGACATAAATGTATAAAAGATCGTATGTTTGGTTTGAGACCGTTAGAACAATATCAGTATAATCAAATAATACCATTCTAAAAGGTAATAAAGAAGTGACCCACCAATTCCAGCCCCTAGAAGATCTTTGAGAAAGTATTCATTTTTCTCAACGTAGAGCTCTTCTAGACACTTCTTTAAGCCCACTGAAGGGTATTCCCAATAATATGACCATCTGTAGGGAATTACTTCCCCAAATGATGTCTTTACCTTTCTTTAATTTATATTGGGACTGACGATCACCAAAACGCAAGGTTTCAAACTGTCTCTGTCAGGTATATATATAATATACAGTACTAATAAGAAAATACTTTCACAACATCCATTAAACTTCAAGCCACATGACAAATACATATCCATAGTATGTGTGTATATATATATATACGCAATTATTCCACACTCCCTGCTCAAATCCATCCTCGATGCTGCCCACCTTCCCTTATCTCAAGATCATCCGGGTACGACCTCCATGTAATGGTTTTGGTTACGTCTTTAAAACGTAACGTGATAGTTGTAATGGTTTGGTTGGGTAACATAGTAGTTAAAGTATATTAAAGAAGAATAAAAACTAAAAGGAATAGATGAAGTAAGCTTTTTATAGGTGAGAAAAAGAAAGTAAGACTTACCTAAAAAGGAACTCAAAGGGAAATAAAAAGGTAGTCGGAGATAAGGAGGTTGTCCGAGATAAGGAATGGAGTTAAATAAAGAAGAGAGAAGAAAAGATAAGAACAATAAAAAGAAAGAAAGAGAAAGAAAAGTAAAAAAGTGTCTAGATCATTACAATAGTTAATGTATATTAAAGTAGAATAAATTAAAAGAATAGGTGAAATAAACCCTATTTATAGGTGAAATGGGACAACAAGATGAAAAGAGTAAAAGGTAAATAAAACTTTCGGAGATAAGAAATGATAGAGAGACAGTGATTGGTGGAATAATGGAATGGAGTTAATAAGAAAAGAAAAGTAGATCAGCACGTAGATCATTACAATATATATAATACAGCACAATTTGATACTCACTGGTTGTTAACAAGAGATTAACACGAACCGGTAATATTCATTTGGTATACCACAAAATGTTTCTTACACAGTCTCCACTAAGAAAGACACCTGTGCATCATTTGCCTTGATAATAACATCCTTTGAGTAACACTGCTGGTTTGCCTAGGCCAAGATTGATCTAGATCGATGTACATTCTGCATTTTTTCATCATTTTTTCAATCAATTCTTGAGGAATATCTGAATAATATTCATTCAAGTAGATTTATTGGATACTTCTTGTAATTTCTTCAGCTTACAGATAAACTCTAGCGATAATGAAGATCATGCTGCTCCTCATATACAAATACAATGAGTGCGGGAAGGATGCTGTCTAATCTATAGCTTGGGCCGACATTTGCCTAATCGGCTTATACTGGTGATTTTCTTTTATTGGTTTTACAATAGCTTATTCTTGAAGTGTCTTTTCTTCAATTGACAAAAAACCCTTGCATATTCCTTACACCCAGAATCGAAATTGTTCTTGGATTAAGACCTGCTATTGTCTATTGTTTGCGTCCCAATCGAAAAATGTTCACCCAGTGAAGCATTTCTTAGTCCATCGAAAGTGTTGTTTAGAATAAGTTATTGTAACATGTCTATCATCTTAATTATCTCTATCAACCAACTCCCCAGTTCTCAAATTTATCTCATTCAGAGACCTTCTATTATCTAATCTCTCCTTTTTATTCCATCTTTTGATGAATTCGTCAGCTCCATCCTTTGACACCACATAAAGTCTCACAATCCAGTCAATGATTGGGATTTGCGGGGTTTGTAGAGTGATCAATTCATTAATGGTTTTCTTCTTTCCCGCCTTGATGAGACCCCCGCTAATGGTTTCCATGTAAACCTGGACGTTTTTAATCGACAATTCAGGATGGTTGGCAAAATTTTCTGGAGCAGACATGTAAGGAATGCTCAACATTTCAACGATACTAGACAATTCACCAACTTTGTCAATGTAGCAATTATACTCCAAGCTTGGAAACTCAATGATCCCATCGAAAATAAACTGCGACTCAATGTCAAACTTATCCTCTAACCTAAACTTCTTGTAATTGTCACCAGAATCCTTGGTGAATACTAAACTCATCCCACGTACCTTCATTGCTTCGAGGAAAGTCTTGTATTCTTTTTCATTCTTTTCTTCACGTTCTCTGGCTTCATTAATTTTATCATCCGCCTGTTTGAGAATCAATTTCATTTCCTTGTCCTCTGGCAGAAGTTTCAACCCAAATTCAACGGCGTCATGGGCTTCTTGATATTTTTGAATCTTTAAAAACGCTTTCGCCATTCTAAAATACGCTTTGACCAATGCTGGGTCCAACTGAAGCGCTTTCTGACAATCATTGATACATTTTCTATAATTCTTTAGCACCAAATTACATTGAGCTCTATTCAAATACAACTTGGAGTCGATATCTTTTATCCCACACTTGACGTCTATTCCCTTGGTGTAAAATTCAATGGCATTATGGTACAGCTTTTCCCGGTAATGTTCATTCCCCTGGTTTCTAAAGTTTGTTGCCACTTCATCTGGCTCACCTTCATAGGCAAGAGCCTTCAACGCCTCAAGAGCCTCGTTATCACCATCTTGATCGTCGTATTTTGTCATGAAGAACGGAGTTTTGTTCAATTCTGCCACAAGTGCGTCCATATCCTTACTCTTATCTTGTTGAAGCTGGGGTGGTAGTTGGGGATCTAATTTCCCAGATGATTTCTTAGAGGCCAGTTGGCCCGGAAGCATAGGAGCTGGCATCGTCTATGTGTGTTATTATCTAAGGGTATGTATAATGTATATCTTTAATATTGATCTCTTGTGGAGGATGAAAAATCGTTCAAATCAACTTTTTTTTTTTTTTTGGGCATCGCATCATTCCGGGTAAAAAAAAAAACAAGAAAGCGAAGGATTTTGAAAGGATCAAAGATAACAAGACAATCAATCAAAATGACACAATTTTGTCTTAATAATGATCCTGGAAGGGAGATATAATGAGGAGATCGAAAAATTGTATGTCGTTTTGAAACAACTGAGTAGTAATGATAGTGTCGAGGATTCCTGGGGGAAATTACACACATTGGAATTGCTCACCCGAGACACCATGAAGTATTGTTTGATCAGAAAGGGCTTTGAGAATAAAGATGGAGACAAATGTTACGCTTCGGAAGTTACAATAAGTTACTCTAGGTCTTACTGTGAGCCAATAATGCATTTCAGGTTTTATGACACCAGTCTCCCCGATACACCGATTAATGAAATAGAGAGTGTTCTTGAAAAGAAACTTCTAAATACTGAAGAATTCACAGGATTTCAAAGATCTTCGCAACATCCAAGACATGTCATAAATCCTGATATTCATGGGCTCGCTGATCCAGAAGTTCTGGATATTGATGATGTTTTGGAAGGCAATGATGAGGTACCACAAAACAATACCATGGACCATATTTTCATCTATTTGACCCTAGACTATCATACGGTGCTTGACCACCTGATATGGTTTTTCTTACATCCTTGTGCCACGAGAGATATTGTACCCAAGAATTCCCAAAACTATTTGATCGCATGGTTCACAGTATACGGGAAACTCATTGATTTCAAGGTTGATCAGCTGGAGATAAAAAAGGTTTTGACCATCTGATAACCGACGTGAAACCAACGAAAAAGCCAAAAAAAAAACCTCCAAAAAAAAGCACAAGGAATAGAAAATCATGAATCAGTAGAGCTAATTTAAAAAGTATTCTATAATCCAGGGCCTGTAGGAACATCTAGGTGATGATTTCTTTATGAAATTTGTAGAGAGTTAAAACTGGAAATTGATAGAAATTGACGACATTAATTCAAAGAAATCGACAATATTCTACTGTAAATGACTAACAAACTTAGAGAGAAGCCCAGCTTTATCTGTTTTGAAAATAGTGAGACTTGAGTTGGACACTGTATCTCAGATTAGATAGTGCATATTATCGATAATATTCAGTGATATTGGTCGTTTCCATTTTTAAACTGTTTTTATTTACTGTATCTATATATATGGCAGTACCATTATTACACTATATCACTTTTATATATATATATATATTTGTTAAACTGGCTGATTGAAATGTCGGTGGTTATACCGGCAAATATTCTCACGTGCAGAGTCACGCCCTCACCACGACGCGGTTGTTTTTTCTTTTCATCTTGTTTTAATAATTAATCTTTTCATTTCAATCTTGTTGTTTCGTTTACGCTTGTTCCTCACACCCTTTTTCTGATTATTCTTCTGTTTATTTTCTTCATTGGGAAAACATCAAACACAACCATGGCCTCGGAAGATAATATCAACTATTTTTACAATTCAATAGCATCGTCGGGTCTTGATAACTCCATCGACGTCAACGATGTCGCAAATATCACCAGGGATACTCAGTTAATTCTGGCGTTTGAAGAAATCTTATTCAGAAACAAGGAAGGTCATCCCTTGGACGCGGTTAATTCATGTCAAAGATGCCGGAAGTTGAAGAAAAAATGTACCAAACACAAACCAAAATGCTTGAATTGCTTCAAAACCAACTACGAGTGTATTTACGTCGAAAAGACCAAGGACGGTAGAATTGTCACTTCGACTAGTGGCAATAAATACGTTAATAAACTCGCACCAAGTCAAACAATTATAAATGATACGATTTCTCATGTTGGAAATCTCGGGGATTTGGGTCCAGTCGTCCAAAGAAACCATAATCGAGGCATCTTAACCAATATGACAATTCCCCAAGGCACGTATCCCAAGCGTACCGGGCTTAAAGACTCTACCCTTGGAGATAATATTAGCATTGAACCCGTCCATCGAAGCTTTGAAGATGGGGTACAAACTTTCAGAACTTCTAGATCCAATCCTATCGCTAAATCGCCAACCCAAAGAGGTATGACCAACGGAATGGGCGTGATGAAAGGTGATATATCTTCTGCTATTAGATCGGTGAATTCAACAATATTCTCCCCATCAATGTCTTATAAACCAGAATTTTCTCCAGCTCTTGGAGCAGCCCCGCGTCAACATATTGCCCACCCTTTTATGGTATCGCCGCAACCACCATTGCAAAACCAACATCATCAACAAAAAATTATTTATCAACAACAACACCAACAGCAACAACAGCGACAGCATTATCAGCAGCAAAAACCACCACAGCTCGCCCCAAACGTTGGTAGGTCAATGGGCTCAGCAGCGATAGGTCAGCCGCCGCCAATTGTTCTTCAAGCTAACCAGCAAGCAGTAGACTCATCGCAAGGCCCAGCTTCTTTCTACGCGTATCCTTACGGTGATGTGGTGATTGATTGCTTTCCTAGTCCGTTTGAAATTTTCCACAAGAAAAAACAGGATTCGCTAACCAAAGATTATCCAGGTAATGATGGTTTACACGATGATGGTCTGGAAAGTGATTATGGAGAGGATAGGGGTCTTGAAGATTTCGAGGCTGAAGAGGAAGTCGGCGAATATTTTTCGAAACCGGGTGAACATGAACATATTGATCCTTTTTTATTCGATAGTATTTCTACATGATAATGAGTGTACGCTTTTCATCTTCTTGTCGGCTATATTAAATAGTTTTTGATTAACTTTTGTTGAATGGATTTCAGGTATTTTTTTTTTTTCCAAATTGGCTGTAAGCTACTATTATGAGGGAATTAAAACTAGTGAAGCAATACCTGATCAATCAAGTATTTGCATCACTTTCTGTACCGACAGTTTCACTCCAATAGGTATGATATAGACCGAAACCACAAAGTATCTTCTGTATACACTCTTTCCAATTGAATGGTTGTGTTGCTAACTTTTTGAAGATTATTATAATGATAATGTTCTGTATATCCATCAAGACTATCTTTCTTTAGTATTAATTAGTATAATACGAAGGATATACGATTCAATGGTGGGAATTTGGCTACACATGAAGACTATGGGAATCTATGGTATTCTAACAAAAACAAATATTTTGGATAGCCAAGTTCTTTGAAATCATTGCACTCTTTCTCTCATGTATATCGTACTTGATTATAGTGACCAGCAAACCGAGTTTTCTTGTGGATGTTCCTACAGAAGCAAGCAGTACTGGACTTACTTTTAGGAACCAAGCTCTCAGACATTATAGCTACTGGAACTTCTTTTATATATCATCGTCTATCCCATTGTGTCTACCTATATCGCAATATATAGCAACTTTTATCGTTGAGACCTCTCATTATTATAATAGAGAAAACCAATTTTATTTTGGTGAAAAACCCTTTTTTTTTGTTGATGAAAATATTGAAGTTAATAATATTAAAAAAATGTTTTTTTTATTTTTTTGATTAATTTTAAAACAATTTTTGTTTTCTTTCTTTTATTTTTGTGTTGATCAACTGGTCAGTTCTCTGAAGTAATAATAAAAACCAAATTGTTACACCCATGTATTCCAATTAGCCAGATTTTTGCTTCCAAGTCGGGAAAGTTTGCGTTGATAGCGTAAATAGCATTTGATCATTTTCATTATTGGCTCAGCATGGATTGGGGCAATCAAATTTTTCCCTTTTAATTCAATTGGGATATTCAATAGTAACCATAAATGTACAGATAAAGGGTGTTTGATGAGGAAGTGGGTCATTTTAATTTTATTTTGTTTTTCTTTTCATTCATGTTGATGATTATCAGCGATGGTTGTGTGACCGCAATATCCACATTTGTCGTGTTGGAAATAAAATTATTCAATTCCCAAATTGTGAACATGGGTAGCCAGGGCTTGAATTCTGGTATTTCAACCTTTTACTAGTAAACCAGTACCTACTCAAGTACATGTCTCAATGAAAAACTTTGATTTCTCTGTATTGATAAGTAAACTAGTAAAAGGTTGATCGAATTGAATTGGTGTTTAATAAGGGTAATTAGCATAATTACCATCCGAAATGTATTTTTAAGTGCTCATCATTAACAGAAACTTCAAAAATAGCAACCGTTGGAAGTTTTCGGTATAAATTGAGCAAGTAGTGCTTCAATCTCTAAATAAGCGGGATTGTAATATAAGCCTGGTCTCATGTTAATCGATGGATTGAGAGTCTGATATCATAATCCAATCTATTAATGGTTGCATCGGATGAAATAAAATAAATTGTTAAAGTAAGTATAAATACTATGTAAAGGTTTAAGGGTGTCCTCTAAAATAAGAATAATAAAATGGAAAAACGAGAAAGATCACTCTATTAACGTAGTTCGATCTTCTCTTAGAACTATTGGATAGTTCTAAAAAGTAATAGAAGATAATAGAAGATAATAGAAGATAGTAGAAGGTAATAATAATAAAAGATAATACAAGATAATAAAACAAGAGCATGACATATGTTACAATAACAGAGCGTTTTTGGAAACTTTCCCTGGGTCAGAATTTGGGTAGGAGACTACTTTCTCGTACAATATATAGTGGATTAAAATTTTCTGATTATCTTTTATATCCCATAAGTGCAAATTACAGTTTACGACACCCCAAGGCATTATAATTATATAGCCAACATAACACGACTTGGTATTCAGATGCAAATGAAAAAAGAAAATCCGGAGAGCGTAGTGCTCCTTCTATAGCAGCATTATCGTGACAACAAACCCAGACAAGACAAGACATTAGAAAAATGATGAGCAAGAAACAAGATAGCGAAGATAGGAATTGATAGAAAACAACATTAATAAAACCCAAATAAACACATTAGTAAGTAATTATATGGCAGCAACTCAAGCGGAGGTAGCAAAATAGAAAAAAAAAATGAAAAAAATGAAAAATAATATAGCATAGCTGGATACATTGTGACGAAAACAGATAAGCAAGTATCGTATAAAAAAACCACAAAATCTCAGCTATTGGATAGTTCTAAAAAGTAATAGAAGATAATAGAAGATAATAGAAGATAGTAGAAGGTAATAATAATAAAAGATAATACAAGATAATAAAACAAGAGCATGACATATGTTACAATAACACAGCGTTTTTGGAAACTTTCCCTGGGTCAGAATTTGGGTATGAGACTACTTTCTCGTATAATATATAGTGGATTAAAATTTTCTGATTATCTTTTATATCCCATAAGTGCAAATTACAGTTTACGACACCCCAAGGCATTATAATTATATAGCCAACATAACACGACTTGGTATTCAGATGCAAATGAAAAAAGAAAATCCGGAGAGCGTAGTGCTCCTTCTATAGCAGCATTATCGTGACAACAAACCCAGACAAGACAAGACATTAGAAAAATGATGAGCAAGAAACAAGATAGCGAAGATAGGAATTGATAGAAAACAACATTAATAAAACCCAAATAAACACATTAGTAAGTAATTATATGGCAGCAACTCAAGCGGAGGTAGCAAAATAGAAAAAAAAAATGAAAAAAATGAAAAATAATATAGCATAGCTGGATACATTGTGACGAAAACAGATAAGCAAGTATCGTATAAAAAAACCACAAAATCTCAGCTGTTGATTGATAGCAAGCAAGTATCCAGCCCTTCATGCCGAACCGATACAAAAACATAAGTGGCAAACCAAGCAAGTCGAAAGACAACACCAAAAGTGAGAGAACAAAACACCGAACCGCTCAATACTCATATGTACTCATATGTACTCATTGCATATCTCGACAAATTTTTGGATATTTCCTTCCAAAGTTGAAGATTCATTCACCATACCATAGTCTATCCAAGCAACTCTTTCGTCTGGAGTAACAATGAAATTTTCTCTTTTAATATCACCGTGATTGATACCTAAACCCGACAATAACTTCAATTGATTAATTCCAAACTCCATCAGTTTCTCGGTGATTTTACCGCCTCCAGGAATCTCTGTCATAAATATTGCAGGTCCACCAAACTTGATGGAGGCCTTGTCGAACAAGCTAACCCGTGTGCCACAAAACACAATTTTTGGGCTAAAAATAGTATTGGCTTGTGACTTGCAATTGTTATTGTAGGCTTCAATCTGCCTATATGAGCAAACCTCGTTGGTGTATTGCTCAGCAGCAATGCTCAAAATATCTTCATAAGAAAACCCTAGTTTTCTAATTTCTCGAGTTCTGGCATACTGCAGTAGAAAATCCGCGTCATACACTTTTATGATAATTTTCTCACTCCTGGTTTTTATCTTAGGCAACTGTGGGAAAATTTTCTGGCAAGCAGCGGTGTTTATAGATGCCACAAACGACAAGTGGGAGCTACCATCTTGTAACTCCTTGATATCACTGGCGTAATGACCACGAGTATTTCCGGAAATTGTTTCACCCGCAGATCCTATTGATCTAATAGTTACTCCGAAGGGGAACCTTGAATTTCTGTTCTTGACATTTTGTGCCGAGCCGTTCTTCTTCATGAATATCAGCTTGTATTTTTCGGACTTATCTCTTGCACTATTTTTTTGATCAGCAGTGTAATTCACACAGTGGTGTATCAAACTTCCCAAAATCAAATTGATTGTCTTATTTGAATTTTCTACAATCTTGTAGAAAATAGGGATTGGAACTTCCATAAGTTGTTGCTTGAGGGCCCCAGCCTTTTTTTCAAGCCCCTCTTTTTCCTTTTCTAAATACCTTCTTCTTGAATTGAATACCTTGAATTTGTGACCATTGGTTTCGTTAAGAAGTGCTTCGATTTCTGCTATTCTGTCATTCATCTCTTGAAGTTCTTTCCGCTTTGCGGAGTTCGGCTCCTTTCCTTTTTTCAAAGCGTCCTGATCAGGATCTGCTAGCATGAAAATAATATGAACAAAGTAATCGGTAAGCACACAAACATCATTAGTACTGTTCAACATATTAACAACCACCTGGCGAACTAGCGACAGATCTGTAAGAACATCATTACGAATGTGTTTCTGTAGCCCGTACTTCTTTAGTTCAAAAAACATGCATGCTTCACCTTGGACTCCATTGAAGACAGGGAAAACTGAGATATCCGGACGTAGTGAAAAATTTTCTGGTCCCTTCACGGATACTTCAGTCCAAAAATAAACCTTTTCGTTAAAACTACCAAGGATAAGCTTAAGTTTATTTGACATCAATGCATCAAACTTAAGTGAAACAGTGCTCTCAGTAAACTTATTGTCAGTCCATGACTTCCCTCGAGTGTCAGAGAATAAGTCCGCGTAAATATCATCGACTTCACGAACACTCCCCTGATGAAAAATCGACGATGCTACATTTTGATTGCAGTATGATGAAAATTTTTCTATCAAATTATCAAAAAAATCATCAGGAAAGGGTTGCCAATCAACCGAAAACTCACCGTAGTAGCTGTAAATAGCAGCACTAATTGAACCTTTGGGAAGTGTGGTAGGCACATAATCCACGTAGAGAGATTTCTTTGGAGGATCTGGCGCAGGCAAGTTGAGAAAGAGCTTCCATAGCAGCGATGCGAGGTCGGTGGGATTTGGGCCATTTCTTTCTCTCTCATTACATGCTTCTCGTTTCATATCTAAAACAACATCAGCTCTTAAGCTTTGATCATCAAGAATGTCACCAAGGTCTAATGATAGACCTTGTGAATTTCTGATTTTGGATTTTATCTCATTTATTGCAGACGCTATTCTCTGTTCGTAAGCTTGGTCGCTCATATTGACATCAAATCATTTACTGGTCTTGTTCTTGGATTATCATGGAATGGCTTGTTAAACAAGAGCAAATTCAGGGAAGGAAACTGGAACTTTAATGAAAGATGAGGAGAAGGGTTTGACACGATGGGGTGCCACACCCACAGTCAGGTATACCGTCCTGGTGGTATAACAATAATTTATTCCTATTGGAAACCAGAAAGTCCAGAGATGGTGGGATTACAAGAACCTTTTTGAGTAATGGGCTTCCACTTGCAGAGTTAAATATAAATAGCATCATAGAATATAGACAAAACTGCAACAAAAATAGATTGCGTTCCCCAAAATATTGTGGTGCCAACCAACTAAGCATTATTCGCAATCTTCATTAGTCCTCGAAACCAACTCTATGTAAAACATTAATTGGATATTATGTTACCGCCAAGTTTTTCAGTTTTTTCAACTTATTTCAGCCTCCCATAAAAACAATTCTCAACCTTCAAACTCATAATTGCACACAATCAGCAAGCTTCAGCTGCTCCAGAAAGCCTGGCATATTAAGTAAACCATACTTGCAAGTGCAGTATATACATGTTCACAGATAATCCAGCAGACATACCGTAAACATGATCCATTGAAATGTTGCAAATCATGAGCGACGAGCACCATTTAATGGGGATCCACAGCAACTTCCACCTTCCACCTTGCAGCTAACAACTAACAAACTGGCTTCTATGTCCCTGGTGTATTTCTTGTATTATGAAAGCCTTCGCAAGCATTCGATTTTTCATCTCACAATTTTACATCCTTTTCAGTGTTACCCATAGTAGCTGCTAATCGATATTGGGTGGAGTTAAAGCGAATCTGACAACTATGTGTAGGGATGATTAGAAGAACTAACATCTATTTGTCCCACATTCTCGCAATACTCTTAGAATATACCCCAGCACATAATTCAAAGATCTTGACAAAGATTTCAAAATGCAAGCTTTCAATATTTAATCCATTGATAATGATGATTGTAGCACTAGCAATACTGTAAGACATATATCCTCTATGATGCTGTATGTAACGAAATACCCTTCATGTTTCTTACCAATGACGAAATGTTTATCGCAATGCCTCAAAAAGCTTTGTCGCTACATGTTCCATCTTGACGTCACTTTTTTCTTGACCCAGTGAGATTACCCTGCATAAATGGCGGGACGGTGAAAAATAAATTTTTTCAAAAAAATTGTTTGATCCACTTTGCACCTTAGTTTCCGACAAGGCTTTCTTCAAAATGTCAAACCTTTTGGAAACCGTTCTCAAAACTGATTGTAGTTTTTTTGTAACGAATTCGCCTCCATTGTCTTATATACACACCAATTGTTGTATTTTATGGTACCAATTTTGATTCGAAAATTTACAGATCGAATATTTAGTAGTTACTCTCTCTATCTATAGATATATCTGTTATAGAAACCTCAAGTACTCATACTTGAGTCCTTAACTCATGCTTTAATAGATATATATATTATTTGCAACATCCATAGGAGTTGCTGCGACTTGATGTGAGGAAGTAATTCTCTGCAAATGGTTCGATCACTGGAAGTATCCTTCTAATGAGGTTTAAAGAAGTGTCTAGAAGTGCTCTACGTTGAGAAATACTTCTTTTTCTCAAAGACCTTTTAGGGGTAGGAATTGGTGGGTCACTTCTTGATTACCTTTTTAGAATGGAGTTATTTTTGACTGTGAAATAATTATCATCACCATCAAATAACACCTTTATCCCATTTTTTTTTTTTTTTTTTTTCATATAAACATATAAATACAATCGCAATTATTGTGATTTTATAAATTACCTACTGAAGTTAATTCATCAATAGGATAGATTGCGTATCAACTATCAACTAATGCTTTAGAAAGCTTTACCAATATGGATATATAACTAAACAAACAAATGAAGAAGAATGAAGCTCCATTAACATCTACAAATGATAAAGGTAATAATATTACTCAACAGAAATTAATTAATTGACATTGATTAAGGGAGATATTATTAAAATTATTTGAATTTATTACATAAATTAGGATATGTAATATTTATTACATAATTTCTGTTTTGAGTACTATTGTATTTAACTTGGGTATAAGTTATTAATAATGAGTCACTAATAAAAAAATATTTGTTTGGACCATATCTTGAACTATTAAAATATAAAATTCTTAATATTAAGAATTATTATTTATATAATTGAAGACACCACACTATAACAGAATATTATAAAATGGTATTCTTCATCTTCTTCTTCTCAAAGTCATGATTTCAACATGATGATATTATTCAAGAGACGCAATAATAACCCATATATAATACAAAAAAAAAAAAAGGTCTTCTTGAAGATACATCCTAACTTACAATTGAGGCCCCTCTTGCCTTGTCTTTCCTTTCCTTTCTAGATAATATACCATGAACTGTGTGTATTTCATCATCAAGAGAATTCATGTTTATCCAACCATTAAGGGAGAATGTATTAATTCATCAAGAGAATTCAAATCGTTTCTGTCTGTCAAACCATTTGGGAGAGTGCAATTATCCAGCAGGACAATCCTAATATCTGTCAAACCATCAGAGAAATCATTTTCTAAACCACACCGACGATTTGATTTCTAAAACCACTTCAAATGTCATTCAATTTAGTAGACAAAAAACAAAAAACAAAAAACAAAAAACAAAAAACAAAAGCCATAAGAAACAAAACAAAAAAACAAAAAAAAAGGAAGAGTGAATGAAGTATTGCTCTTTGAATCATCATCATCATCATCATCATCCGAAATTCCTAATCCATCATCGATGATCCAATTCTTATAATATATTATGGATGATTCAATTTCCCAAAACATTATAAAGTGATTCATTTCCTTGAAAACAACAAACAACAAACAAACAACAAACAAACAACAAACAAACAAACAAACAAACAAACAAACAAACAAACAAACAATACACCCCACCCCTCCTTCACTTCATTGCAGATTATCTATCCCCCGATCGATTATATCTTACTGATTATCTATCTCTCCAAAAAAAAAAAATTTTTTTTTTTTTTTTAACCCATTCATATTACGAATCATTCAATTTCTAAACTGTTCATTATCAAAAAAAAAAACTCAATTTTTTTTAAGCCGTTCATTACTATTGATCCAATCTATAAATAAACCATTCATTACCAACAACTCAATGTATAATAATAATAATAATAATAATGTATTTCACCTTCTCATCTTTAAAGTGCACGGGATGGTATTCTTATTGGAAGTTTTATTCTTGTTGAAAGTGGATGATATTCTTATTGAAAAGTGTTATTTTGATATTCTCATTGGAAGTAAGTAAGTGTATGAGGGGTATTTTTCATATAAATAATAATTTAATGATGATGATGGTTCAATTACAGAGGGGGAGGGGGAGGAGGATTGGTTTAGACTATTCATTCATTATCAACAACTCAATTTTTTTATACCATCCGATTTCTAAACCATTCATTACAAATCACCCCAATATATATAAACCATTCGGATTCAGTTCAATGTAATATTTATTACCCAATAACACCCAAATCGAAATTCTTTTTCCCTTCTTCACAACAAATTATCCCCGAAAAAACTATCCTTACCACCACCACCACCACCACCGGTTTGTTCCAAACTCCCCCCGTTCAAAATATTCAAAAGCCGGTCCTCTTTCTCATTCTTCCCCAATAATCCTCGCCCATCGTTCTTTTGAGAATCTTTCAACATTTCCCCCGTCAACTGTTGCATGAATGTGTCGCTGCTCACAATGGTATTCGAACCAATCACCAACCTGATCCCTTTGGCCTTGTATTTCTCATTGAGAAGCCCAATGACCCGTGATTCTTCATAAGTGATCCCACCAATGACGTGCACCACAATATCTTGGAACTTCTCATTGGCGATGCTCGAGGTGGAATAATTGATATGATTAATTCCTGAATCGACGGCTGCTGCCCCGTTATTATTATTGCCATTATTATTCTTGGAATATGGGTTGAGTACCGGGTACAGCAGCCCTTGGAGACGTTTGGTGAGGACATTATGAAGGATATGAAGTAATCGAGGCCGGTGTTGCATGTAAATACTGGTATTGTTGGCATCCTCATAATCAAAACTATCATCGATCGCATCGTTATTACCGCCGTGCTTGTTGGGATTGGAAAAGTCTCCCAATTTTTTAAGCGACGAAATCAAGTTATTGGTGTTTTTAGATGGGGTGAAGATCGATAAATTAGAATTCGTTGGGGTATTAACATTAGTAGAATTATTAAAATTGAAACCTGGAGCCTGGGAGGTGGAGGAAGATAAAGAAGCAGAAAAGGTTTCCTCATTATTATTATTATTATTATTGTTGTTGTTGTTGTACAAACGTTTGTTGTACCCGGCATATTTCAACACAAAGTCAATGAGTTGGATCTTGGTGGCATTCACTTGTTGTTGTTTCAAAATATCCACAAGCAATGATAATTGGTTTTGTTTGTAAGTTTCGTAACGTAACGCGTACACCATCACGAGCTTGACTTTGAAATTCTCTTGGATGTTGAACATCCCAGTATTGGTTTTTTTGAATTTCCCATTGACGAGAATGCTCCGGACATTGTTGAAATCCTCGGCATGCTGGGAGAAATCGTGTTCTCCTCCGACGCTAAGGTACTGTTCGACTTCACTGACTTCCCAAAGATTGTTTTTCCCGATTTTATTATTCAATTCCGTGGTGATGGTGATATGTTTGTTGACATTATGTGACAATTTCTTGAACTCGGGGTAGTCTTGCAAGAAATTCTTGAGATCGTCCAACGAGTTCAAACTGTTCGAGCTGTTGGTTTTCAGTTTATAAACGTTGACGAGGGCCGAGATCTTATCAGATAAATCGGCAAAGTTCAAATACATTGACTCGGCAAAGAATTTGTCGTTTTCCACATTGAGGATGATCTTTGTGAGTTCAATGTCGTCGTCGTGTTTTGTCGTCGTGGTCGTCGTTGTGGTCGATGGCGACTCGGTTTTCATGTACTGGGTCAAATCGACAATGTTTTTATCGATCCCCAAATATTCATGGATCATCGATTGATAAGTCCAAGGAGTCAACAACGGGGTCAATGGGTCGTTTTTCCGGTCCAAGATTAGCAATAATGGCTTGGTATCGGATTTTGGGAACCCGTTGAAGATGCTGAACGCGTTGGAATTGTGGTTGGTCAATTCGTAAAACACTTCATTGGCGGTGCGGAGCGCGAGTTTCGAATTGCTTTCGAACCGGATGATCGGTTTCATTTTCAATGATAATAGTATTGATAATAACTGATTGGACGACAATGCCGACGACGACGACGACAACAACAGCAACGCATTACTATCATCATCACCACCATTCATTGACACCAATGGCCTCAGTTGAAACAAACTCGAGTTGACAATTAGATAGTCCCAGAAGATCTCTTGGATATGCAGGATCAATTCCAAATCATCGCTCTCGGCGATTTTCTCTAACTGGGATTTTTTAAGGAAATTCGAAAAAAACACATTATACCGTTTATATTTCGGGAATTTCAACTCGTCGCAAAGGTAATTGATCGACTGGGCGCTGGGGCCAACAAACACAATACAATTGAGGTGGCGCAATTTGTCACGATTGGCAATATTCGAGAGTTTGTCAATGAGGAAAATGTTATTGTTGAGAAGTTCCGATTGTGAGGAGATGATCAGGATGATCGATGCGGTGTGGTCGTCTAGTAAAAGCACGTTGATGTTGTTCCCGGGGAGATTGCCCTGTTGCGATTGCGACACGCTGAGGATATGGTTGATGTAGAAGTGACCGATTTTAAGAAGATCCATGATGATGATGATAAAAAAAAAAAAAAAAATAATAATAATTTTGAAGCAGCGGTGTTGAGCTACTAATGGGGAGTGGAAAGTAAGAGAGAGAGAGAGAGAGAGAGAGAGAGAGAGAGAGAGAGAGAGAGAGGCGGTATGTTTTGTTGTAGTGTGTTTTTATCATTTCTGGTGATTTGTTGGTTACCCGGTGGTGATGATCATCTCAATTACCCATGGCCATTCATTAAATGGTTCAATTTATTCTACAATATACTACTATTAAAATAAACACAATCATCACAAAGCCTAATTATATATATAAATATAGTGATGAAAAATAAAACAATTGATCCAAAAAAAAACAAAAAACATTAACATCGCTGAAAAAAACAAAACACACAAGAAAAAAAAAACAACCAAATAACCTATCATTCCAAAATCAAATTGAAATCATGAAACGTCTTTCTAATATCTAACAAAGAACTCGAGTTAGAATTAGTCATCTTCACCCCATTGTCTTTAGTCTCTCCACCAAATTCGTTCCATTTATTCTTAAAGATCCCCAGCTTATTCTTATTATGATCCTCCTCGGCATTGCCGAACCCACAACTTGGGTACATGATATTCTCCACAAGATTGTCCACGGAAATATCATTCAAACTTAATTCTTGCATCTCCTGCCCCTTCGTATGGTCAAGAATAAGGTCTTTTCTAATCCCAGATGATGATGATAATTCTGGGGGGTTCATTCCATGGTTGATTTCCCGATCAGTCCATTCGGATAATGGATCCAATTCGAGGGTTTTATCAGATGATATTTTGCTTCCATGGTCAATGGTGATCGATGATTTACCATCAAAAATCTTATCAACCAGAACATGTTCCTTATCACCATTTTTGGAAACCCTCTTGATAAATAACGAATGTTTGTTAAGGTTGTTATTATTACTATCCAAAGAATTACCTCGTTGACGATTTTCAGTAAATAACGAGTGTTTGTTATGGATTTGACTTTTACCATCCAAAGAATTGCCGCGTTGTCGATTTTCAACGATACCATTACTACTTCCTTGACTCATCTTCACTGAATCCCGATTTGAGAAAAGTGAGCCTGAAGAAACCGAATCTGATGGGGTCATTTTCACCCCGGAAGAAAACAACGAGTCCAGACGTTCTCGACCCCCGCGAGGACTGGTGGTGTAACTTGAGACTTCGTCGTCGTCATCATTATCAACAACAGCACTACTGATGGATGGATCATCATTATCGGGGGTAATAATAATACAATCTTCAGGGTTGTTATATTTGTCATTAGGATTATTGTTATAATTTCCACCAAGATTATTGTGATAATTATTATTAGCATGCTCCGGAGGACACAACTCACAAACTTGCTGCTGGATTTGATGGAACCATTTGCGGTAAAACCCACCAGATGATGATTTGCCATCGCCACTATGAGAAGAATCAAACTCATAATTCTTTACCAACACCACGAGGACTTTGATGATGAGTTTGAGGGAATCTTGATATAGCGCGCCTTTATACTTATAATGCTCCTTGGTGACCTTTAAAAGGAGAGAGATTTGGAAAAACCCATGTTTAAGCACGTCAAATGGCACAAGCTTGAAACCGTTTTTAAACGACGATGCCGAAGATTGCCGCTTCACCGATGATTCAACGATCGAATCAAGGGATTTGAAAAATTTCGATAATTGGAACTCCGATGGCCCATTGCTGGAGAAAAAATCGTCGATTTGTTGGTTCAACAACGAGGTGCAGAATGGGGTGGAGGAACATACTTTGAAATTGATGTTGGGACCCTCGCCAGAAAATTGATTGGTCATCACCGACGAGATGAATTCCTGTTCCACCGACTTGACATTGATCAATCCTTTTTGCTGTTGTTTTCTGTTGGTATATGATGATGATGATGATGATGATGATGAGGCGGTGGTTGTATCGGAATTGATGGAATATTTCCGACGTTTCACAGGTTTTTGCTCGTCATTGTCTTCGTCATTATTATTATTATTATTATCGGTGTGGTCTTTTTGTTGCCAATCTTCAAAAAGCCCACTGGAATTGTGGAAATCGTTGTTGATATAATCAATCAAGATACAATATGATAAGAATTCTCGAATCACCGTACCAAGGTGTACCATCCAAGTATCGCTTTCTTTGGCCACTTTGAATTTCGTCAATTTATAAAAAATTAGGGATTTGACATATAGGTAAATCATACTGGATTGGATGGCCGCCAAGGGGAATGACGATTCTTCGACAGTTGGAAGGTAATTGGTACCACTACCACTACCACTACTGGGCTTTTTGGCAAAATGGTTTTTCCAATTTTGAATTTCTCCAGTGGGGATCTCATGGAAAAGATTATGATCCACGAGTTTTTTCTTCCATTGATCTAATTGATCATTCAATTCTTGGAGTTTCCTCGGGGATAATAAGAAAAGCTCGTTTTCCCAGTTTGGCCGGTTATTGCCAGCATTCTTGTTTTTGATTTCTGTATCATTACCATTATGATTGGTGAGGCGGTAACTTTCATGGTTGAACAACACCATTTGGTTAACGATTTTGAAAAATTCCACGAGTTGGCACATTGGCTCAAGGTGGGGGTTGAGATTTAGTACGCTGGTGAGTTCGGGGATTTTATTGTAATAACTGGCGCCGTAATGGGTTTTCATAAAGTGGTTATTTCTGTAGTCACCGGTTTGCAAAATGAGCATGCTATTCAAGACATAGAGCCCCCAATACACTCTGAGTTTCAAGTTTTGGGTGGTATAATCATCATCGGCAGAAGCAGAAGCAGAAGCAGAAGCGGAAGCAGAAGAGGGGTCTACCGGTTGGAAAGCGGAGTTGATGACTTGTTGTTCATGGTTGACAATATTGGTGGTAAAGGTATCGGAGAATTTGTGGGGGTCGAACTTGACGATACTCGAGGCGTTTTTGTTGATGGCAAGAATGTTGATGAGATAATTGTTGATGATCGATGATAGTTTGACGAGGAATGAGACGTTGGTGGTGCTTCTGGATAAAAACTCATCTTTGAAGTTTCCGGGGCAAAGATTGTTGAAGGTGTGGTTATTATCGTAACAAAGTGAAAGGTAAAAAAATAGTACCAAAGTTTGGAGTAATTCCAAATTACAATCGTTGAAGACGTGGACTTTTGTGAGAATGAGTTTTTTGAGCAACGCGTAGTCATAATTGAGTTTGAAAAATTTCAGGCCATTGGTGGTTGTGGTGGTGGTGGATCTTGAGACATTTGGAGGATTATGGAGCAGGAGGATTGAGTAATTGATGTTGCCAATATAGATGATCAATAGTAATTGGATTTTGAAGTAGACTGAGGTTTCATTGATGGAGATGTTATTGTTTTTATCATCATGATGAAGATTGCCAAGCAGGAGGGAGTTATAGTGGAGGACCAAATGTTTGAGTTGGTTTTTGAATTTCTGGTAATTGGTGAAGAATTCGAATTCGTTCATGATGCAAAGGAAGTTTTTGTTGATATGATTGAAGTAATTTTCAATGAGTTTGTTGATGATGATGATGTTTTTATTGTTGACGGTTAGGTAGCTACTGGTGTGGTTATTTTTTGTGGTCAAGAGGAATAATTTGAAAAGAATGGAGTCTAATATTAGGGAGACCGAGTTTTTCTCGACGAAATCGTCATTATTATTATTATTATTATGATTATTATTATGATTATTATTATTATTATTATTGTTGTTGTTGTTGTTACAATGTGAATGGTTGTGAGTGGATGGTTGATAATCATCATCAATGAGAAATTGTTGGAAAAGATTGGTCATGTTGTAATTGAAGAGGTTCTTGCCTATGGAGATACCGTTGGCCACAACGTTATTGAAATGGTTGTTAGTTTTTTGTGAGGTTGTGGTTAGATTAGTATTATTGGTATTATTAGTGGTTATGCCAGACTTATTATTGATGGAACCTAGCAATTTATCCAATTCTTCATGGTTATCGAGCAGGGACAAGAAATTTGAATTTGAATCATTGTTGTCGTCATTCGAGGTAATTTCTTGTTTGATGAAACTGACCAATTTGAGGTTTTCATTTTGTAAGAAGATGAGGTATTGTTCGAGGTTTTCGGTGTAACCTTTGGGGAATGAGCGTCTGGTCAATTTGTCGCTGGTTTTGCAATAAAAGCCGATTTTCGAGCAATTGGAGCAACTGGGTAAGCTACCGTCACACTTGATTTTTTTGATACGGCAGCGGTCGCAGGCCTGGGAGATTCTGCTGGAGCCATTTTTAGGATTTTTGATGAGTTTCTGGGGCATGGTGTATGGTGAATGGTGATTGGTGATTGAGGGAGTAAGAGAGAAAGAAAGAAAGAAAGAAAGAAAGAAAGAAAGAAAGAAAGAAAGAAAGAAAGAAAGAAAGAATTTTCCCTGGGGGAGGAAAGGAAGAGAGAGGCACAGCACAGCGAGCGGTGAGAGAGTGACACTTGTGTGTAAGTGTTCCTATGTAGGTGGCGGTGGGACGTTTGTGGGGTAATCCGGGGTAAACAATCAAAATAAGGGCGATTGTGCCCTGGGGGTGCATGGTGGGACGGGGATAAGGGGGTATTAGAGGTCGTGGAGGGGTGTCCCAGCGGCACTCTATCACATTATAATTCTGTGAGACGGCTGGGCGTGGGACAGTGGGTCAATCAATGGGTGGTTGATCGATTGATTGGTTGATTGATTGGTATTTAATGGTTGATGGTTGGTAGATAGAATAGATAGAATAGATGGTAGATAGATATAATACAAATACAGTGGTCACAGGGTCAGTCAGTCAGTCACCATGACAGCATCTTCACACAAGAAGATACCGATCAGTAAGGACCCTAATAATAGTAATAGTAATAGTAATAGTAATAGTAATAGTAATAGTAATAGTAATAGTAATAACAACAACAACAACAACAACAGCGATAACAATTACGGATGATCAGGTGATTGGATGGTATTACACCCCCTCTTGCCACCCTTACACCATCGATTACCTAATCAACAACACCCGCACCCCGGTTGGATTACATAAGCGATGACACCGGCGAAACCACAAACCATCGTCGTCACCCGGCCTCAGGAGCCAAAACTCCCACAGCCAAAACAACAAAAAATGTGTTTTCTTTTTCTCACCACCGATTTTTCACCGTCCACCACTATCTTCAATCAATCAATCAATCAATCAATCGATCAACCCCTTATCACCATGAACCCAGCCATCTCTAACCTCGTCCTCATGCTTGTCATGATGCAAGTCTCCAAGCGTCTCGACTGGGAAAACCCTTCGACCATCTTGTACGTCAGAATCTTGTACGTCAGTGCCACCGTCATCACCCTCTCCATCTACTTGATCACCCGCCAAATCATCATCAACAAAAACGACCAAACCACCTTGAAATACCTCGACGAACCAAACAAGCTCTCCGGCGAAACCGAAAAGAAATTGGTCACCACCACCGTCAAGCAGTACGACATTGGCCAAATCAACCAATGCATCAAAGGGGTGTTCACCGGGTTGGCCATGACTGGCTTCATGCACTTGTACATGAAGTACACCAACCCATTGTTGATGCAAAGTTTGTCTCCTCTCAAAGGTGCTGTTGAAGCCAACATCGTCAAGATCCACTTGTTTGGTAAGCAGCCAATCAACGACTTGGCCAGACCTTTCAAGGCCGCCTCATTGTTTGGTGCTTTGGACCCAAATGCTTCTACCGACAAGCACTCGATTGAAAAAGCCGAAGTCAGTGGTAAAGGTGGTGTTAAAGAAGAATGATTGATATATATTATATTATTATAACTGTTATAACTATTATTACTATTACTATTACTATTATTTTTTTTTAAAAAAAAGAAAAAAACGAAAGAAAAAAAGAACCCTTCTACATTTGATGATTTGTGATTGATTAATTAATTGATTGATTGATTAATATGCGTTGTAATCATCCGTACATTTTGATTCCCACCTTTTTTGGTGGGTGGGTGGTGAGCTAACACCCACACACCAGATAGCAGTAGAAGGGGAGAAGAAAAAACTCACCTACATTTTGTTAACACATAATATTAATATACTATATACTATATACTATATAATATATTTATATATATGCATATTATATTCATTCATCATGGACTCCTCAGTTTGGAAAGATGAACCAGACCTCCCAGATATCCTTCCCCTGGTCGTCCCATCCCTCCCCAATACCCTTGATGACACTTTTTATAAAGAAAGCCCCAACTTCTCCAATGATCCTCAAGCAGACGATTTATTAATGGACCAATTGAAACTTCATTCCGCCTCGGCAAAACTCTCGTCTACCGTGATCACCCAACACGATCTCGCCAAAGACGACGCCATTTATAAATCATCGACCATCACCACCAACGGTGACATCCCATTACTCTCAGACTCCGCCGCCATGGTCCTGACAATCAACGATGAAAAAATATTCGACTTCAACCAATTCTCCGATCCCAAATCGTTCATCCGCTATAGTTATCGCGATATCCCCAAGTTCTTGAAATTGATTTTCGACACCGTCAATTCCGAGACCAGTTCCAACAACAAGAACCCGTTGGTCCCGGCAATCATTGTGTTTCAAATGTTACGATACAGTTACTTCAAAAAGAAAAACCTCAGGCTATCCAACAATTTCTTTGAATTGTTCATCAACAGAATTTATATGATCATTGAGGATGATAGTAAAGGAAATAATACTCCCATGGTTGTCAACAAGGAACACTTTGACAATAATAATAATAATAATAATAATAATTATGACGACAACGACGACAGCCAAGAATTCGTTGGCAATTCTAGCAGCTCCCCTAACACCCCTAACCTCAATGGCAAGCAACAATCCAAACGCCAACTTTTACAATCCAAAGTCCGCAAAAAGAACGATATCGTGTTGATTGCTTATTGGATCTCCGTGATAAACCACCTATATTATTACCTCTTACGCCAAGAAGGCTTCTTCACCAAAAACCCGTTGTTTCTAAAAAAAATCGTCACCGTGTTACAAGACCTTATCAACGAGTTTCTTGCTGGGATCACCAACCGATTAGTCGACCTTTTAGACGATTGCGTCATTGATTATTCATCGATCCCTAACCTTCAAAAAGGATTACTCTTCCAAAACGACTGGAATTTCTTCAAACGTGATAACTCCGGTGGTGTAGGTGGCGGGTCCGGCAACACCTTCCAAGAGATTCTCGATACGTTGTACCCTCCTAATTTGAAGCAACAACTCCAACCGTCGCCAATGAAGTTTCTTCAAGTGCTCGAGGCCATCATTTATGTGTTCAAATTATACAACATTTCCTCGATCTTGCTCAAGAATTTGCTATCAAGGGTGCTTCTGTGGATCCACGGGTCGGTGTTCAATCGAATCTTGGCCAATCGTAATAAACGGGGGAAGAACTACTTGACCAGGACCTTTGCCATCCAATTGCGATTGAATCTTAGCGTCATTGAAGACTGGGTCCGGAGTATTCTGAAAAACCTTCAGCAAGAAGATATCGAGTTGAATCCCGATGGTAAAACTAATGAAGAGTATTATCTTGATGATGATGAATTGAAGATGATTATTAGAGATTATCCCGATGATCTTATTGATTTCAAGTTTGATTTGTCGAATATTTCGAGATTTGATACTAATGTGAGGTTTTATAATAAAGAAGAGGAGGAAAAGAAAAAGAAAAAGAAGATTGAGGAGGAGGAGGAAAAGAAGAAAAAGAAGAAGATTGAGGAGGAGGAGGAAAAGAAGAAAAAGAAGAAAAATGATGGAAACCCAGGTAATATTGAAACTCCAAATGACGAGAAAAATAAAGATATTCCAACCCCAAATGACGAGAAAAATAAAGATATTCCAACCCCAAATGATCTACAAATTCATAATGATCAAGTACTCAAAAATATCGACCCAACCCCAATGATCAACCTCGACGAAGACGATGAAGACAACTCTTATAGAACTGCTAAAATCGATATCAGTTCCACTCCGTTACCTTTCATCTCCAACTTTTATTATGGTTCAATCAACAAAATCTTCAAATACCACTTCCAAGTGCTCTACAACCTCCTAGAATTTCTTCAAGTGGGGACCACTTATGTCGATGCATTAGTTCGGTCGATCGAAGATAAAAAACTTTCTCCTAAACAGACCGAAGATTCGATCAATACCGCGTTCATCGAATTTTTGGACCAAGATATCATCTTCCTCAATCATAAACAAGTCCACTATATCGTGAAGAATTACAAGTATGAAGTCGACGAGCCGCACTTTGGGAAAAAAATCACCAAATGTCTTGCAAACCTTGGCAAACGGGTGAATCTCGGACAACTTTCCACTAACCGGTACCTCAAATCGATCAATTACTTATCCCCGGCCGCCACCACCCGTAACCGGATCTATGGGGTGGGAGTACTTTCCATCGATGATGATCTTGTGTATCTTAATCTTTTAGCCGGACGGGATTTCCCAATTTGTTTGCCAACCCGTCAAGAACTCATTAGTAAATACGGGGCTGGGATGAGGGGTAATAATCGGGAAACCCTCGTGGCCAACCAACCGTATTTGACAATTGAGGTACGGGATATGGTGGATTCTATCCGTGATCAGCACGATTATGGTAATTTTGCCAATTCCGAAGATGATGAAGATGATGAAGATGATGAGTATTTCAATGATGGAGATGATGATAATATGACTCGACCACGTATGATGAGAGATAATGACAGGGATTTGGATTTGGATGCGGCCACCGGGATGTATCATAGTAGTATTTTTGGTGCCGCGGCAGCAGGGGCAGAAAAGAGAAACAACACCATGTTTGATAATAATAATAATAATAATGATGATGATGGGTTTGGTATGACTAGACCAGAAAGCAGTGTTGCGAAAACTTGGGAGTTGAATGGACATGCCACAAAAGCGAAATCAAAAGATAAGATCGAGCATGAGGAGATAGAATATAATCCGTGGTGATGAGAGATAATCTATGTGTGTGTTTTAGTTGTTTTAGAATATTAATTTGTCATGGTGGACTTATATTAGAGCTCATGGGGAAAGTTGGAGTATTCATTGATGATGATTGGATTTTTTTTTCATTTGTTTTTTTTCTTCGTTCAAGTGATGGAACTTTGACTTAGAAGTGGACTATGGGGAATTTTGATCTAGAAGGAGGAATTGATGATTTTGATTTGATTTGATTTGATTTGGAAGTGGAATACGTGATAGAACTATAATGATTTGCTCTAGAAGTGGAATAAAATTAACGTGATTGGTATTTGAGTTTGAGTGGAGTATAATAATGTATTATTATGAAGGACTCTTCCTTTTCTCTTTTTTTTTTTTTGAGATGGTGGAATATGATGATCCAATTAGGAAGTGGAATATGATGATGATTATGATGATTATGATGATGATTCGAGTGGGAGAAGTGATATATGATATGATCTTAATTAATTTGATGTTGGTATTTATCGTTTGAGAAAATGGGATATCCACATCCTTCTTGGTATTGTGATTTTTCATTTCATTGGAAGTGACCATGTGTGCCGTCGGTGGTATTATTAAGTATTCTCTAGAACTTGAATTGTATTTTGATGTTGACAATAGAAGTTTATTTGATGTTCTCATTAGAAATGTATTTATTGATGTTCTCATTAGAAATGTATTTATTGATACTCTCATTAGAAATGTATTTCACGTTCTCATTGAAAGTGCATGGTATTCTTATTGGAAGTGTTATCCTTATTGAAAAGTGTGTATTTTGATATTCTCATTAGAAGTAAGTGTATGGGGGTATTTGATTGTCAAAGAAGCAGTTTTCAAATGATTTATATCTTGATTTCAAGCAATAATTGGTTGTACAACTACTTTGCAAACTTGAAGAAAAGAGGAAGAGAAGCTTAATAAAGGACCATCCATGCCCTTATAGCACACACAAAAGCAGATCAATGATTAACATCCAACAACAACAACAACAACAACAACAACAACAACAACAACAACAACAACAACAACAACAACATTATTGTCTCGCTAATTGGGAATTGGTTTAGACAATATTATATAATCATATCATCCTCAATGTATATGTACGATATGTGTTTAAATCAACACCCCACCCACCAATACCGGATGATAACATTTACTCGCAATGGCACATAGGTGCCCAATTCATTCATGATATAATGCTTTTTTTAAAAAAATTATCATTATTGGATGAATTATCCTTTTAATGATATGATATTTAATATGACTAGCCATCATCCTTGCTCGTTCACCATCCTCACTCACAATCATCCTTACTCACCATCATCTTTACTCGCGATCATCCTTACTCACAACCATCTTTACTCGCTCACCATCATCATCCTTACTCGCCATCATCCTTACTCGCCATCATCCTTATTCACCATCATCCTTATTCACCATCATCCTTATTCACCATCATCCTTCAAAAATGGTAAATGATTACAATATGCGGTCCTACGTCGAATTGATTGATGGTCTCTGGTATATTTTAATTATTTTTTCGTTCGCTGCTACTGCTATCTATTAATTCCAAAAAAAAAAAAAGAAACATGGTTGTGATGATGATGATTGATCCATGAGAAAGTTTTGTAATATTTGTTTCTGGTTATATTTCATGATATATACAATTGAAAAAATTCTACTGTCTGTCAGTCAGTCTGCCAGTAGTAGTAGTAGTACAGTACAGACCTAACCTCCTAACATTGATGGGCTCGATGATATCCAAAGGGGGCTCATGATGATGTTGAATACATCCACTACTTTTGATAGCTTTTGACGATTGATTAATAGCTGCTGCTACTACTACTACTACTACTACTACTACTACTACTACTACTACTACTACTACTACTACTACTACTATTACTACAACTACTACTACTACTATCATGTATATAGAATCATCAAGACTCACAACTAAATTCCTGTTTATATATTATTAAAAGTTTCTTATTTTATACTTTTTATTATCGTTACATTATTTTAATATCTAAAAAAAAAAAAAAAAAATATGTAGCATATCCTATCCAGCACAAAAGCCAATACATTTCATAATAATCTTGCTTGTTTTTGTTAATGAATTGAACACCACCATTTGTTTATTTATTTATTTATTAGAATCACAAAGTCAACAAAGAAGGATAAAAATTACAATTTCAATTTCAATTCACAACCTTTCTGCCTTTTGTTTTCCAGTCTCCTGTTAATCAATGAAATATTATGAGAATTACAAATTCAATAAAGAAGTATGAAAATTACTAATTCAACTCCTATAGAAAGTTAGATATATTATTAGAAAAACCAATGAAGCGCAAATCAAGATATCGAGAGAGAGAGAGAGAGAGAGATAGTGGGGGGAGGCACATCACGATGAAGACCGATTGTCTCTTTAGACCATTGAACGAATGATGCTTGTGCTTAGTCAATATCAATCAATGTCCTGGAACCTACCCAGTGATTAGTTACAGTGGGGTTACGCAAAACTGGTGGTGTATAATAAGAATAAGAATATCACCAGCTTTAGATTCTCCTCGGGCTAAGTATAAAAGAGCTGTCATGAACGGAAGAAGGTATTAATTCAGAGATTATAAATATAAAAGAGCTGTCATTTTTCATGAGCTGAAGAAGGTATTACTTCACAGGATAGAATGATCCCCATTATATCTGAACGGTCAGCTCTTCTTTAAGAAGCAGAATAAACCACAAAACAATTAACCAACTGACCGACCCAAACAATTAACCATCTTTGCAATGGATACTTTATCTAATCCTTTCCACCTCAGCATCTAATAATTTCTCAATATCCGAAAATTAGTTCTATATGGTACAGACCACACTATATAGAACCTGGCGCAAGAACACAACAAAAAAAAAAAAAAAACTTATGAGAACACACAAAATTAAGAACGCAAATCATTATTATTATTATTCTTCTTCTTCTTCTTCTTTGGACATACACGCGACATCGGGACTATTCTGTAATTCTTCTATCGTTTTTGTGTCAAGCTTCCCAGAGTATTTGTAGTATCGAGTGATGTTGCTGTTGCTTGATGTTGTAGAAAGATCATAATCGTAAACACTACATGGAGAAGTGTCAACTATATTCTTCTCCTGAGCCACTACTCCATTATTGCTATTATTATTATTATCACCCTTATTTTGGGACTCTTCGATCCCCGTCACTTGGACAAACCCTAATCTCTGGTTCACTGATGACCAAAGCATGTTGTTGGCACGTCTGAGATAGTTGATATCTTTGGTAAGGTACACATTATATGAAAGGTCTGTCGTTCTCTTGGCAAAATTTATCATAGATCCCGGTTCAAAATTGTTGATATTATTATTATTATCATCATAAGCATTGCCACCATGATGATGATTATTATCTAAGCGTTGTATATGAACTGACGTTGGTTGTATCTCATCCCCTGGCATTTGTGATTGTAATCTGGGAATATAAAGGCCATGCACCACCACGGTACAAGCCACTAGAGTTAGCCTCCAAAGATTCATTATTTGAATAAGATATAATGTATCATTTTATAACTCATGATCAAAAAAATTTTTTTTGAGAGAATATCCATTAGTTTTTGTACTACTACTGCTAATAACAATAATAATAATAATAAACGGCATCAAAATTCCATTTGACATTTATTTGACGTGGGTATCCGTGCCGGTGGGTGGGTGGGTGGGTGGGTGGGCGTGCGTGTGTCCTTCTCGGAAACGGCTGTTTTTGTGTGGTCAAAAAAAAAAAAAAGAAAAATTGAAAATTTCCTAAAAGAATATCAAAAGATAGAAATAAATAAATAAATAAATAAATGAATTAATAAATAAATAAATAAATAAACCCAATAATAACATAATATATTCAATACCATCGGACAAAAAATAGAAAATACATGGATTTCAACTTCTCACAAGTAGTGGGTCTCATCGAGACCCTCTACTCCAATACTTTGGCAGCGGGTCAAGTGGTCCAAGTGCAATCCCAACTCCAACAATTTCAAAAACATCAAGGGTCATTACAAGTGGCAGATCAACTCCTCGATCCTCGCAATAACTACAGCTTGGAATGCCAATTCTTCGGGGCATTGACCTATACTGTTCAACTAAATCAAATATTCTCCACTTGGGGCGCTGTGGTTGATGACGAATCGGACATTGATGATGATGAGACCCTCAAAGGTGCCACCGGCACTGATGACACAAGAAATATGGTTGATCAATTGACATTGAGACAATTATCCCATTTGAATAACCTCCTAACTCAACATTTCGTCCATCGTCAACCAAACCTCTTTGTGATCAAGAAAGTGTTCAGCAATTTATCGTTGGTCTACTGCCACAATTTCCACAATTGGACCAATCCATTATTAAGTTTCTTGGGGACTCAAGACGACCCGTCAATATCATCACTAAGACTATCGGTGGCAAACATCGAACACCATCTCCAAGCCAGCTTGGCGGGACTGGCGCAAAAACTCCAGCTTGTCCTACTTTTCTCCCAAATCATTATTGAAGATATCTTGAAAAATAACACCATGAGCGATCATTTAGATCAACAACTACATACCTGTTTACGGAAAGAGGTATTTGTGGTCACGGAATTTTTTGTCAACTATTCCATGAATTTGGTCATTGAAAAACTTAATAATAATAATAATAACAATAACAATAACAATAATAATAACAATAACAATAATAATAATAATACTCCAAAACTATCGAACGACAATAATCAATTGTTGGCTGACGCAGTTAGATGTTACACTGCTTGGACTTCATACATTTCGTTTTCTTATTTAAACTCCACGGAAAAATTTATCATCGATCCAACGTTAAATCTTCTCATCAAGTTTTTGTTATGCCACCAAACTTCGGATCAATTGATCAATGATTCCGACTCGATTTTCGTGGTGATTGAATTCCTTACCAACTTGCTAGAGACAAACGCCAATTTACTCAATAATTCGTTCAAACAAACCATCAACGACCTAATTTTTAAAGACTGGGGGATGAACTATCTCAATTTCCTCAATGGATCAGGCGATGACGATCTCATCGAAAACGAGAAATCAGTACAGGATTTCGCCAAACTCGTAATATCGTACTTTGAATTGGATATGGTACGAATCAGCAAGTTGTTGGTGGATGATAGCTGTTCGTATATTTTCCAGGCTCTCATGAAATTAACGGCATTCCCAGGAACCCCTATTCTCGATGAAGAGATCTCCAGAGATTTCATTGAATTCTGGTTGGAGACGTCTGATACCTTGATTGATGATACTGACAGTTTGTTGATTTTGTTAAAGACCACGGAAAATTTGCAACTATTCAAAAAAAATTTCAAAACGTTATTAGAATTACTTGGTAAAACCTATTGGACCAAAGTTCAACTACCATTAGCTAACCAGACGTCGATGAAAATGATTAAAGGACAATACAAGGATGAATATTTCTCTTACAGAAGAGACGTGGGTGATTTATTCGATTCCATGTATGTGATTATCAAAGATTCAATTTTCAAGTTCTTGTTCGATAATATCATCAATAATCTCAATGTTACCAGCTTGACTTTACAAAATGCCTCAGAAGTCGAAGCGTCAGTGTTTTTAATCAATTGCATGTGTTCCAATTTCTCCGAGGGAAATGTCCCTGATGAAATCTTTGGTATGTTGGTACATTTGTTCAGTTTCCACAGAAACGAGGAGATCAATTTCCTTAAAATCGGATTGATTACCAATAATAGTTACTTGATGAATACCACGGTATCATTTCTTAGTTCCATCAATTTTTTTTACAAGAGTGAACAAGGATTGGGATTCTTGAATGAAATCTTGGATTACTTGTTCAATTTATTATCATTATCCATCCAATCAAAAGAACTCCCTGGAAAATTTCAGTTTATTGTTGCCAGAGCCATTGCCTCGATCTGCAGTCAATGCCGAACTTTCTTGGCGTCGTCATTGTTTAAATTTGAACCTTTATTATTCAACGTGATCAATTCCATTGACTTCAAAGCATTTACTAGGGAGAAAGTCATTAACTCCGTGAGTTTTATAATTCAAGGGATTAAAAACCCCCAAACCCAAGGAGAATATATTGTCAAATTGCTTCAACTTATTAATGACCAATCGACAAAAATTTTTCTGGAAATCAAGAGTGGCAGGGTCAACAATAACCATGATTTGAATATTTTATTGGATTACTTAGTGTCGCTCCTTGATTGTGTATTACAAATCGCCAGAGGAATGCAATTACCAGAAGAATCGGTGATTTTCTATAACGATGAAGAACGACAATTGGTGGATAATTTTTGGATCGCTGATAATTTGGGGATTCATTCGATGATTTTGCAAATCATTTCGGGATTTTCTTTGGACCCCGAGTTGACCAACATATTTATCACCAACCATAATAATGGTGAATCATTGGGGGTCACTGATGGATCGGTGAAAATCAATTATCATAATCTCGTTACTGAGAAATGTTGTGAGATTTTTAGGGCCGGATTATGTGAAGATATCAATGGACCGTTTGTGTTTGCTGATAATCAAATCATTATTGATTATGTATTATCCAAATTCGAAGATACCAAAAATAGAATTGATGTGGATAAACCACACTCTTCGATGACATTGTCAATTGGGTATTTATTTGGTCTTTTAGAGACTTTTGTGAGTGCCAATTATCGGAAATTATCGAAAGAAGCGGTGACCAATTGTATTATTACAATATTTGTGATGAATCCTCAATTACTCAACCTGGATGTCGATTTATTTACCAATGCGTTACAATTCCTCAATAAGGTCATTGAAAAAAAACCGGATTTGTTATTTTACATCTCCGATAACCTGGCCAACTATTTCGCCACCATTTTGGAATCGTGTATGGTGGTCCTCAAACAATCTAATGAGAAATTTGTCATTAAGACCGTGGTGAAATTCTGGTGCAATCTCATAACCCTTAGAGCCGGTACTCGGGAGAATCAAGAATACATCACCAGAATCTTCATCGATGAACAATTTGGTCAAAAACTTACTAATGTCACGTTTTCGGCGTTATTAAAATCCACGAGATCGAATTATGAGATCTATTGTGATATTGTCAGGAACATGATTGGCAAGTATCCTTTGCAATTCAAACAATGGGCCAATAACGCGTTGATTTTAATTAATAACCAAAGGGTTTCCAATGGAAAAAAAGCGTTACCAGACATTAGGCAATTAATTCTGAAGTTGTATTTGACTAAAGGTACCCGGAAGGTGAATATGGTGATTAAAGACTTTTGGTTAGCCGCGAATGGCCTCATGGATATATAATTAGGGAAGAAAGGGGCTCTTGATAAATATATATTATATATTCTTAATAATTGTGTAGCTTAGCTTATATGCGTTAATTAACGGGGCAAAAATATCCACAGAAAAAGACTGTCGTTGGCCAGTATCAGAATATCATAGTACAGTTCCAAATAGCTATCCTCAATATGGGTGATGTTTACTATCTGTAGTGATTTATGTACTTTGTAGTAATCTATTTAGTGTATTATTTTCTTTCTTTATTAATTCCCTTCTTTATCTCCGTTATTTTTTTTTTTTTTTTTTTTATCCTTATTATTCTTTATTCTCTTATTTCCCTTTTTCTCTAGTTTATTCCCTTATTTCCTTTTGCTATCTTTTCTCACTACAAATAGGGCTTATTTCCTTTATTCTTTTAGATTATCCTTCTTTAATATATACTTACTTAAACTACCATGTTTCGTTCTGTAATTCCTATCTGAACTTAACTAAACAATTTACACTATCAGTAATATTTTTCAATCCATGACTTGCTGTTATATCTTAATCTCTCACTTTTTCCTTTTGTTAGTCTCTAATCATCTACCTTTTAATGTATGCTGGTTACTTTCAGCATTTCTTTGTTCTATGCCGTCTTTTTGTAGCTCTTCCACATCATAATAATGTCGTCGTCTCGATCTTCATCCTCATCCTCATCCTCGTCTTCATCCTCGTCTTCATCTTCGTCTTTTCGACCATCCGAATAACTATCAAATCAATCAAATCTTCGCATTGGAGTGATGGAATACAGCTTGTTTTATCTTATCACCTTAATCCATCTTAATTCCCACATGACCTTTTATCTTGTCTCTGGTATCCGCGTTCGTGAACACCTGCACCAAAGGGTTCTATGGCAATCCATTTTCCAACATCGTACCCTAATTTTCAAGACCCAGAAGTCTACAATTAAAAAAAATTGAATAGTTCATCCCTTAACTTTGACTTACTGTAGAACAAGCCAACAAGAACTGGGTTAGTTGGTCTTGGCTACCAGTCCTCACACGTTTGTTTGGGGTCACCAGAATGTCATGTTGTTTGTTTGTTATGTCTTTTTAAGGATTTTCCTCATTAATTAAAATCAACACCAAGTTATATAATTATAAATTTATAAGATCTTAATAAATGAATGGAAATTATATTTGCAACAAAACACAAAAAAAAAAAATGATGCATGCATGCTGGTTTGCTTGGGAAATTCGCTTCATATTATTAAATTCAACCACATCCAAAAAAAAAACACAAGGATACTACTATAAATAAATTGGATTATATCTTCCAATAATAAACCTAGAGGTTTAAGAATGAAATGACGCTCAAACAAGCATACTCTACAGAATACTATAGAGTGCAATATGCGTTCAAAGATTCGATGATTCACACGAAAATCTGAAATTCCTTTGAGTGCAAATATCAGGTTCTGTTGCAACAATTTCCCCACTGGATGATAGGATTTTGATATTTTCTAGGAGACGGATGATCTCATTGTTTTGGATACCGTAATTGCCAAACTAAGGGTTTTTCATTTTCTTCAGAAAGACAGGGATGAAAAAAAAAAAAAAAACCAGGCAAGGGAGGAGGATGATGAAGGATTGTTGGATGCTGTCATGAATTTATAACATTTGGTGCTTATTTATGGATCTGAATATCAGGCAAAATTGACTTCATGAATATATTACACTGTCTTCGAGCTCTGGCTAACATGTTATCGATATTTCTGAGCAACAATTAACCATGCTTTATTCGGGAAGCACTTATCTTAACGTTGTTATTTTTATTACTGTGCATCCTTTCGTAATATATGTAGTGGATAAAAATTTTCTGGTTATCTTTTATATACCATAAGTGCAAATTACGGTTTACGACACCCGAGGTATTATAATTTTATAGAAAAGAACATTAATAAAACCCAAATAAACACATTAGCAAGTAATTATATGGCAGCAATTCAAACAGAGGTAGAAAAAAATCAAAAATAATATAGCATAGCTGGATACATTGTGACGAAAACAGATAAGCAAGTATCGTATAAAAAAACCACAAAATCTAAGCTGTTGATTGATAGCAAGCAAGTAGCCAACCCTTCAAGCCGAGCAGAAACAAAAACATAAGTGGCAAACCAAGCAAGTCGAAAGACAACACCAAAAGTGAGAGAACAAAACACTGAACCGTTCAATATTCAAGAGTCCTCACTGCATATCTCGACAAATTTTAGGATATTTCCTTCCAAAGTTGAAGATCCATTCACCCTACCATAGTCTATCCAGGCAACTCTTTCGTCTGGAGTAACTATGAAATTCGCTCTTCTGATATCTCCATGATTAATCCCCAAACCCGACAATAACTTCAATTGATTAATTCCGAACTCTATCAGTTTCTTGGTGATTCTACCACCTCCAGTGATCTCTGTCATGAATATTGCATGCCCTCCAAATTTTATGCAAGATTTATCCCAAAAGATAACATTATCTCCACAGTAAATGACTTGTGGAGCAAATATCTTATCAGCTTCCGACCTGCACTTCTTATTGTACTTGGTTATCAAGCTATATGCATGAATTTCGCTCATGAAATTCTCTTCTGCAAGTTTCAATAGCATTGGATAAGACCATCCCATTTTTCTCATTTCTCTAGTTTGGCTATAATCTTTAATGAAGTCCTGATCATAAACTTTCAACACAAGACGCTTGCTATCTGTATCCATCCTGGGCAACCTGGGAAAGAATTCATAGCACCTAGTGGTATTTATTGCGACAACAAACGATAAATGAGAGTCACCACCCTGCAACTCCGCTATATCATTTGCGTAGTTACCCCAGCTGTTTCCACTCATTTCCTTGTGCACAAGTTTTATTGGTTTGCTCACGCTTTTATGGGAGCTTCTACTTCCAATCTTGATATTCTCTACCAAGCTTTTCTTCTTCATGAATACCAGCTTGTATTTTTTTGTTTTATCTATGGCACTGCTTTTTTGATTAGCACTGTAATTTACACAATGATGTATCAAACTTGCCAAAATTAAATTGATTTTCTTATCAGAGTTTTCCAAAATCTTGTAGAAAATAGGGATTGGAACTTCCATAAGTTGTTGCTTGAGGGCCCCAGCCCTTTTTTCAAGCTTTGCTTTTTCCTTTTCTAAATTTCTTCTTCTTGAATTGAATACCTTGAATTTGTCACCATTGGTTTCTTTAAGAAGTGTTTCCATTTCTGCGATTCTGTCATTCATCTCTTGAAACTCTTTTTGCTTTGTGGAGTTTGGGTTCCCTTTTGGTTTGGAATCTTCGTGATCAGGATCTTCTAGCATGAAAATAATACTAACAACGTAATCGGTAAGTATGCAGAAATCAATAGCACCGTTCAACATGTCAACCACCACCTGGCGAACTAAGGAGCTATCAGTAAGAGCATCATCCTTAATTAATTTTCTCAACCCAAGCCTTTTGCCTTCAATTATGATGGATGCAGGACCATTCTCATCAGCATCACGTTGATTTGCAAAAACACAAATGTCTGGGCGTAAAGATAGATTTTCTTGCCCCATAATAGTTCTTTGAACACGGCAATAAACTGTGTCACCAAGACCGTAAAGGATCGTCACAACTTTCGGCAATATCAAATTCCAAAGCAGTAACACAATGCTGGCCTCCTTCTTATCACAATGCATCCAAAAATCCTTTCCTGTACTACTTGTTAAATCCAGGTAAAGTTCATCGACTTCACGAACACTCCCCTGATGAAAAATTGACGTTGATAAATTTTGATTACAATGTAATGAAAATGTTTCTATCAAATTATCAAAATAATCATCAGGAAAGGGTTTCCAATCAACCGAAAACTCTTCGTAGTATTTGTAAATAGCAGCACTAGTTGAACCTTTCGGAAGTGAGGTAGGCACACTTTGCTTGTGGAGAGATTTTTTGAGCGGATCTGGTGCAGGCAAGTTGAGAAAGAGCTTCCATAGCAGCGATGCGAGGTCTGTGGGATTTGGGCCATTTCTTTCTCTCTCAAGATATGCTTCCACTTTCATTTTTCCAATAACACCAGCTCTTAAGTTTTGGTCATCAATAATGCCACCAAGGTCTAATAATAGACCTTGTGAATTTCTGATTTTGGATTTTATCTCATTTATTGCAGACGCTTTTCTCTGCTCATAAGTTTGGTCGCTCATATTGACATCAAAACATTTGCCGGTCTTGCTCTTGGATTATCAAAAAAAATCTTTGTTTTTTGAAAAAGCTGTAGACAAAAAGCAAGAATTTAGATAGGCTGAGGACTGACGAGATAAAGAAATCTTGTGGGCATTTGCGGAGAAGAGATTTATATAATGGGGTGCTGCACCCGTATTAAGACATGCCATCTTGGTGGTGTAACAATACACTTTTTTGTATCGGTGTGGACCAGCGAATAATAGAGTTATTCCTTATACTATAACAACTGGCGTCGTTTTAGATATATTATTAATATTAAAATAAAGAATGGTTACAAGACTTTTTTTTTTCTCACTCAATCATGATAAGGAGTAAAAGTAATCAGTCGTAAACAGAAGATAACAAAATAAAATGTGCATATCGTATACGATAATACTCTATAGAGATGGTGGGATTACAAGAATAATTTAGAAACATAAGCTCCCACTTGTCGAGTTTAATATAAATAGCATAATCAATTTCCTTCACAAACAATCAACCAACAAATCGTAGCTTTATTCACAATATTTGTTAGTCCTGAAAACCAATTTGATAGAAGGATATGATGATACTGCTCCTCATCAGGGACGTTTCTTATATCTTTAATTTCCTCGCTTGATCCAAACCACTATCAAAATGATATTCAAAATTCAAAATTAATATCGCAGGCAACAAGTACGGTTGAAAAATCGAATTACCCCATCACCGGGCTTATTTGTGAACTCATTGCGTATTTTTGGAAATCTACTATTGGTGATATTCTAATTTCTCAAATTCTATTTTTGAAAGACACATAAAAGATCAGGCAATTATACTTTGACCAGCAATATGAACTGCAAAATTATCAAAAGTGGTATGCTGAAGATGAATTGATCTAAGATTGACAGATGTGTTGAATCTCTAGAGATCAATATTATTTTGTTCTAAGACTGATCATTTGGATCTAAAATGCTCTGCGTAAAGTGAGTGCTAGAAGATTGTTCAACTAGTGATTTGTAGTAATTCGTAATAAAGATTTGAATTTAAGGTACTTGCACCCAAACCAACTGCTTCATACGTCGAAACAAGCCATCAGTAATCGCTCAACCGTCCCATCTGACTACGGCCAGTTTGGGTGATACCAAAGTGGCCTAAAAATATTCATATGCCCAATATCCCGTGATATGCATTATAAAAGTAATTCTAATATCCTGTAATTTATATTTCAAACTAATAATAATGCATATTTCACTATACTGTAGTATACCACTAGTATATATAATAAATGTCAAATTCGACATGTGGTTACGAGGCCCTGCACCTTCACCTTTTTTTTTGTTCCTTTTTTCTTCTCTCCTATCCAATTAGAGGTGATTTAAACACCATCACTTTTGTAATTTATCTTGCTAATTGTCATTATTATATTTCTTCTCAATTGTGTTTCCGGTGGTGCCATTTTGTTATCCACTTAGCCAATTTTCTACCCCTTTTTTCAGTGTTGAGCCACTGGTTATATTTCGCCTGCGAAAATCTTCGAGATTTTTGTAATGAATGCCAACATTCTATTGATATTTGATATTTTTTACATATTATATTAAAAACCCTCCGGCCTTACTAAACTATTGCATTTAGTTCTATTTCTTTCAGCTCATTTCATTTGCTTTTTTTTTGCTCTCTCTCATTGCCATGAAATTTCCACTGGATCCCAACGATGAGAATCCTCTCGTGAATCCCAGCATCAACTTGGCAGATCAGGAATTCACCAATACTTCATCATCTATTCATAAGATCAAGCACCAGAAGTCTGAGACGTCATCGACATCTACGGCGTCGACGACAACAACAACAATCCAAGAGACATACCATTTCCCCAAGAGGGTAAAACCCGTTCCGGTGCTCTCGTACTTGAGTGATACCCAAATCAGCGCGGTATCTGGCGCCCTTTCGGGATTTCTTGCCGGGGTATCAGTGTGCCCATTGGACGTTGCCAAAACTAGACTTCAAGCTCAAGGAGTAATGCGAATGGATAGTAATAATAACAGCCCAACATCGTTGAAGTATAGGGGTATATTTGGAACATTGGGGAAGATCTTTGCCGAAGAAGGGGTTCGTGGACTTTATCGAGGATTGGTCCCAATCACCATTGGATACTTACCCAATTGGATGATTTATTTCACAGTATACGAGAAGGCTAAAGTGTTTTATCCTACTTTAGTGAAACTGACCCTTGGATACGACTTGGAGAATGGTGATAATAAGCATTCGATGTTGAAATATTTCTGTTATTCGATTAGTGCTATCACTGCCGGAGGGGTGGCCACTACTATTACCAATCCAATATGGGTGGTAAAGACAAGATTAATGCTCCAAACATCTAATGGTCAAAATGTGTACCAAGGAGGAGCAGCACAGAATTATTATTCCGGGACGTTGGACGCATGTCGAAAAATGTATAAAAGCGAAGGGATTAAAGTGTTTTATTCGGGGCTCGTACCGTCTTTGTTTGGATTGTTTCATGTGGCCATTCATTTCCCAGTATACGAATATATCAAGAAATTACTCCATTGTGAGAACCAGTCGGGATACTTGCAGAATAACAAGTACCGAATCTTGAATAATAATGACCGTGAGGCCAAGGAAGAAAGATTTTATTTTTTCTTGAAATTGATTCTTGCTAGCTCGTTATCTAAGATGTGTGCCTCCACTTTAACTTATCCTCATGAAGTGCTTCGAACTAGACTACAAATCGGTGATGCTCCGTCGTCATCGTCATCCACAGTAAATAATCCTTCTACGTCTCGTCACAAGTCGAGGATAGTGCGGTTGTCTGCGGAAATTTATAAAACACAAGGAATCAAGGGGTTTTATTCTGGGTACTGTACCAACTTAACCCGAACGGTGCCTTCGTCTGCCGTAACTTTAGTATCGTTTGAATTTATCAAATTGTACCTTGAGAAAATCAATTGCGCTGGGCAATTCGATTAACTTTTGACGATATTGAAAAATATATTCAATTTTCTTTTGCATCGGTGTTGCATTTTTTATAATATATATAATCCTTTTTTTTTTTTTAATCATCACTACTGGGCTCTTTTTTTCTTTTTTTTCTCTCTCTCTCTGTGTTATAGATAGCATTAATAAGGATACATATTAGTAATTTAGAGGATACTATTCATAATTTTAACGGTGCTAATAGAAAAAGATGAGTATTTCCAGGGCTATTATAAATTTCTATTTTTTTTCATGAAATGGTGTACTAATATTTCAGTTGATACCCGATATGCTTTAATATCAATTTTTCATAATTCTTTGTAGGTGGTCAATATGCTCTTTTATTCTGTATCCACTCCTTGGCAATATTATAGTTAACTTGAATATATCCGTTGTTCTCCATTAATCGATTTTTATCTTTCTCGTTTCTAGGAAGTTTTATGGTTGGTTAAGGTTCTACTTATTCGAGTACAAATGACTTATCATTTATTTGATGATCTGCTAGTTTTTGCGGCCATATTTAGCATTTAAATCTCTCAAAAATTTCGATGTTATTTATTCCGATTTTATTGAAGTTGTGAAAATTATGGTGTTTGTGTTGTTCCTTTACGTTCTCCTTGAAAAAGGCCATTTTACATAGTTGGGTTATTTTTTAATGCCCGGTGTTTTTTCTTGTTATTACCAGTGCATTCATATTACCCCGGATTTAGGAAGCCATCTGGGCAAATTTTTTTTTCTTTTTCGAAAGATGGATAGTTGATCATCTTAAGGGAGAAATTTACCTCTATATTCCCAAAATTTAGCAATAAGACATTTTGCTGGTAGATAAATCATCAATTTTTCAAATCTCAAAATATATTTTGAGATACATATATGTATGCAGTAGGATCTATTTATTAAAGAATATAGTTGTCTGCTCTAGAATCTGATGAATCTATCACCGCAATCATTTGAAAATCACTGATACACCAAAAACTCTTTTAATTAAAGATATAGCCGTTCGAGAAGTGATGTTGGCTATTCCGCAATAATAGATGGATACATGAATCTTCAATGCACTTGTTCTGCGGGCGTCCAATCCATATTTTGCAAAAAGAACATTTCAATATATAACTATATAGTGTTAGTACTACTGCTACAAATGCAATCTAAGCTCTCTTATTAAGTTGTCTTCAATTTTGAAGGGAACGAAAGGCACGTTTAAATTATTATTTAGGCACAATTTCCAAGAGAACCTACAATAATAAACCATAAGCGAACACCACGCATTTTCCCATGCACATCACCAGGGTGCAATACCCCCATTTTGCGAAGAAAGTCTCTCATATAAGAATTATTGCTGTTTTGCTCAAAGCATTAAATTCTATTTCATTTTCTTCTTTATTGAAGTCTTCTCAAGACTCAGGCTCATTATTACCCAAGAATTGTGTGGTTGAATGTTTTAATGTCAATATGAGCGACCAAGCTTACGAACAGAGAATAGCGTCTGCAATAAATGAGATAAAATCCAAAATCAGAAATTCACAAGGTCTATCATTAGACCTTGGTGACATTCTTGATGACCAAAACTTAAGAGCTGGTGTTATTGGAAAAATGAAAGTGGAAGCATATCTTGAGAGAGAAAGAAATGGCCCAAATCCCACAGACCTCGCATCGCTGCTATGGAAGCTCTTTCTCAACTTGCCTGCACCAGATCCGCTCAAAAAATCTCTCCACAAGCAAAGTGTGCCTACCTCACTTCCGAAAGGTTCAACTAGTGCTGCTATTTACAAATACTACGAAGAGTTTTCGGTTGATTGGAAACCCTTTCCTGATGATTATTTTGATAATTTGATAGAAACATTTTCATTACATTGTAATCAAAATTTATCAACGTCAATTTTTCATCAGGGGAGTGTTCGTGAAGTCGATGAACTTTACCTGGATTTAACAAGTAGTACAGGAAAGGATTTTTGGATGCATTGTGATAAGAAGGAGGCCAGCATTGTGTTACTGCTTTGGAATTTGATATTGCCGAAAGTTGTGACGATCCTTTACGGTCTTGGTGACACAGTTTATTGCCGTGTTCAAAGAACTATTATGGGGCAAGAAAATCTATCTTTACGCCCAGACATTTGTGTTTTTGCAAATCAACGTGATGCTGATGAGAATGGTCCTGCATCCATCATAATTGAAGGCAAAAGGCTTGGGTTGAGAAAATTAATTAAGGATGATGCTCTTACTGATAGCTCCTTAGTTCGCCAGGTGGTGGTTGACATGTTGAACGGTGCTATTGATTTCTGCATACTTACCGATTACGTTGTTAGTATTATTTTCATGCTAGAAGATCCTGATCACGAAGATTCCAAACCAAAAGGGAACCCAAACTCCACAAAGCAAAAAGAGTTTCAAGAGATGAATGACAGAATCGCAGAAATGGAAACACTTCTTAAAGAAACCAATGGTGACAAATTCAAGGTATTCAATTCAAGAAGAAGAAATTTAGAAAAGGAAAAAGCAAAGCTTGAAAAAAGGGCTGGGGCCCTCAAGCAACAACTTATGGAAGTTCCAATCCCTATTTTCTACAAGATTTTGGAAAACTCTGATAAGAAAATCAATTTAATTTTGGCAAGTTTGATACATCATTGTGTAAATTACAGTGCTAATCAAAAAAGCAGTGCCATAGATAAAACAAAAAAATACAAGCTGGTATTCATGAAGAAGAAAAGCTTGGTAGAGAATATCAAGATTGGAAGTAGAAGCTCCCATAAAAGCGTGAGCAAACCAATAAAACTTGTGCACAAGGAAATGAGTGGAAACAGCTGGGGTAACTACGCAAATGATATAGCGGAGTTGCAGGGTGGTGACTCTCATTTATCGTTTGTTGTCGCAATAAATACCACTAGGTGCTATGAATTCTTTCCCAGGTTGCCCAGGATGGATACAGATAGCAAGCGTCTTGTGTTGAAAGTTTATGATCAGGACTTCATTAAAGATTATAGCCAAACTAGAGAAATGAGAAAAATGGGATGGTCTTATCCAATGCTATTGAAACTTGCAGAAGAGAATTTCATGAGCGAAATTCATGCATATAGCTTGATAACCAAGTACAATAAGAAGTGCAGGTCGGAAGCTGATAAGATATTTGCTCCACAAGTCATTTACTGTGGAGATAATGTTATCTTTTGGGATAAATCTTGCATAAAATTTGGAGGGCATGCAATATTCATGACAGAGATCACTGGAGGTGGTAGAATCACCAAGAAACTGATAGAGTTCGGAATTAATCAATTGAAGTTATTGTCGGGTTTGGGGATTAATCATGGAGATATCAGAAGAGCGAATTTCATAGTTACTCCAGACGAAAGAGTTGCCTGGATAGACTATGGTAGGGTGAATGGATCTTCAACTTTGGAAGGAAATATCCTAAAATTTGTCGAGATATGCAGTGAGGACTCTTGAACATTGAAGGACTCTGTGCTTAATTTTCTCATTTTTTTTTGTTTGCAAGCGTTTTGTGTAGTCTGTTTTGTGTAGTCTGTTTTGTGTAGTCTGTTTTGTGTAGTTCTTTCAATCAAATCGATGTTTGCTAGGCGTGAAGGGTTAGACACTTGCATGCTCTCAATCATACCAGCAGCTTAAAAAAAAAAAATTTGCTTGTGATACTTCAATTTTTTCTAAATTCTGGTATATAATTATTTAATTGTCTATTTGTTTACTAATGAGACTGTAATAGGGTTGCTAGAAATATTCTCTAAATGTTTCTTCCACTTCACCGACAAAAAAAAAAAAGCATTTAATAACAAATAATAAAAATTTCAAGGCTTCTAATACTGTGCCTTTATGGTTTCTTGCTTTGAATAGAAAATAATTCCTTGCAATATACTTAGTGTGATTCTTGCAAAATTTTACAAAAATGTAATGATGGAACGCTGCTTTAGCCAAATTATGGCTTCACCCAATATTTGATGCTTACAAAAGGTATATTATGCAATATCTTTATTAGAGTCATTACTGAGAATAGTGCCATTCACTTCCATATTTCTATCTAGGACATGGTATATAGTACGAATACTTTAAAAAGGACAATATAACACTCCAGATTATATCCCAGTGATTTATTTATCAAGTAGTCTAAAATAATTAAGAAAAGAAGGATAGAATTTCAATATTAAAATGTGGTAATTCTAGTGTTATCCAGTTGTTGTTTTGATATGGGCACTCTGCATGTTGGAATTTTTTTTTTTTTTTTTTTTTTTGGTTATTGGGAAACACATTGGATGGCAAACAGTAACTGTCAACAATAGTCATGGAGTTACTACATATCCAGTCAACGTTTAGAGATATAATAAATGATCCCGAGCTAGCTACCAAGCCTCAAAGTTTCTGGGTTTCATTAATGTCTGATGACCAACAACTTAATAGTGTCAATTTCAATATAACTGTATCCAAAGTCGATGATAACTTGGTATTCCAATCAATTGAAGATGCCGGAGTTACAATGACCCAGCTAAGTAAAGAATCCTTTGTTATTTCTAGAAATTCAAGAAGTTATCATTTGAAGATTGCAAAGAAATGCTATCATTTGCCACCAGAAAGAATCACCATTACCTCATTTGACATTTCATCAAAGGAACTGCTTGCAATCCTTGGAACGTCTCGTGGGGACGTTGTAGTATATTCAATGAGAAGCTCTCGGGTCATTCGGAAGTTGGAGTGCCACAAGGACTTTGATGTTGAAAGATGCTTATTTTTCCCATCAGGTGGAGTTATATTGACAACGGGGTTAGACATGCAAATCAAACTTTGGGATTTACGAACCGGACAAATGGCCAGGACCTTTGTGGCCCATACTAAGAGAATCACTGACTTAGCAATTTTTGGTAAGACTGGTAGGAACTTTTTGTCGTGTTCTAACGATGGGGCGGTGAAATTGTGGGAATGCGGGTCCGGTAAGAATATCAAGGATTTCAAACGAATCACAAAAAGTGCCGGAGTTGAATGTTTGTGTATAGCCCATAACGACGATTTGGAAAGTGAATACGCTGAAGAACAGTATGGTGAATACGAATTTGAAACAAAAGGGGTTTTAGCATTTGCTGGTGATGAAGGAGGATTGATCACGGAATGGGATATATTCAAAGGATACCAACGACAAACATTCTGTTCTGACGAAAGTCCTGCTGGAAGTACAACTGGGGTGGTTTTTTGGACGACATCTACAAAGAATTACGTGATTGGCGGTTATAGTAAAGGGATTGTCAAAGTATTTGAATACGACAATCCTGGAACAGTGGTAAAGCAACTACAAATAAGTAGCGGGATGGCCATAAATTTTTTGAAGAGGTTGGACAATGATTTGGTGATTTCTTGTGGCAATGATACATTGATAAGCTTAGACTTCAAAAGTTGGATCAATGGGGTAGAATCGGTAACTTATTATGGGAGTGTTGGCGATTTTAACAAGATAAATGTCGGTACCATTTGTGATCATCATTTTTACACCATAAACTATGATGACTTAGATATTGTGGAGTTTGCCTAGATTGGGTTGATATGTTATTCGAGGATATATTTTTCCCAGCATGCATAATTGCGATCGCAAAACTGAAAACTGATCCTGTTCACAAATGATTGTTTATGAGTGCAAAAAAAAATTACGTTATGATCCAAGAAAAAAGTTCTGAATCAACCACTGTAGCAAGCAATGGAGTGATCTTATTTGAAGCTTTCGGCAATACCTGAAGATATATATCTTGCTTGCTCAAAATTGACAAACTAAGGAAAGCAAAGCAAAGCAAAAGAAAGGAAACCAGATCTATATATAAGTACGTTTACCTTGGAAATCTTATAGATATATATTTCTAAATCCTGTTCTGTAAAACTTTTCTCGTTTAAAGCTATCTTTTTTTCATACAACTAATCACCCCCACAAAATGTCCAAGTCGTCTGCAACCGTTGCCAACAAAAATACTAAATCTAGTGCTTCCCATGGAAAGGATCATAGTTCAGTGGCTTATGAACAATTATTCTTCTACGGAAAAGATAGTGATGATTTTGATTGTTTTGGCATCGGCAACCACGCTGTCACTCGATTTCTTGATTGCAAGGACGATAAACCGGACACCTTCAGAAGAATATTTGGTGGAAAGAAGATATCAGCCAAGAACTTGTCACAAAAACTGTTACAAGCAGCTCACAATCAAATATCTGCCTTTGCTATTGAGGCAGAGTTAAATTTCGCAGACTGCAATGGCCGGTTTTCTGATTACTTTGAAGACGAGTATTCCTACGATTTAGAACCCTTGTTATGGGTTCAAAGAGAAAGCTCTTATAGCTTCATTACTGATAAGTATTACAAGAATATTTCTGGTTGGGAGTTCTGTGAATCATTTGGTCGTTTGACTTTAGAATTCGAGGCACTTCAGACTCTTGGTAGCAAAGCAGGCAATTCCGAGGCTTTACGCACTGAGAAAATCGCCTAAAATAAAAAATTTAATAAAAATGATAGATAAAAATCACGAGTAATAAATAATAATTATAAATAGACATAATTATGCTACATACCGCAATATGCTAATGAATAATTTGCAATAATATAATAATTGTTTACTATTGTAGGGGTGTTGCACCCTGGTACTGTTGGGAAAAATCACGCGCAACAAATTTAATCCGTCAAAAGGTGTCAAAACACCAACCACCAGAATAAGTAACAATATTCAAGAGCGCTAAACACACCAGGACTGGTTATTTCACCATTTAAAATAAAGTGGGTGATGGGGTTTCTTTCTGCTTCTAAGAATCTTTTAAATTATTATTCTACCACAAGCAAAACAAGCAAAAACAAGAACAACAATCGAAGCGATGATGATGATGATAATAATGATGATTTCCTAACAAATTTCAGGATTGAGAATATCCAATTAATGCCGGAAATCCCGTTACCAGTGGTACTGGAATTTGAACTATCCACGATTTTAAATGATCACTTGAGTTTTGAACTCAATGAGTTGATAAGTTCTCTCATCCTGACGTCTAAAACTTACAGGATCGATCTTTCCAACATGATCAACCGAATGTTGAACTATCAAAATGATGAGGTTTTTCTTGACCTTAATAATATCGACGAGCAGACTGATTTGCTTTACTCCAGGATGAAATTATTGGATATCGTCGTCAAAAAGAATAAGAATAACCTAATGAAGCCTGCTACCACCAACTCGCTTGATTCCGACCTTGAAGACATAGTCAATTTGACAAATAAATCATCAACGATGATATTGGGACTTCTAAGTGATTTAAAGACTTTGGAGGATAAAGTATTGATTTCTGAGCAAGAGAAGTTGACCAGTAAACATTCAGTTAATCGTTTCCACTACCCTCTAATATCCAAGCTAATGACGAGAAACAATAGTGATCCAGGCAGTAAAGGAAACGATGATGATGATGATGATGATGATGATGATGATGTTGTTGTTGTTGTCGTTGATGCTGATGATGATTATGATCATGGTGGTGATTCTGGATTAGTCAGTATGAATGGTGGAAAAAAGTCTATTGATAACCAAGATGGAGAGATATCTTCTCCCAAAGAAGTGCGAGAAGCTCAAGATCAAGAGGAAGTAAATGGTGCTATAAATAATATGTCATCGAGCTCGGTACATATGATAGACATTAATGATAGCTTTAAATACTTCAAATCACCAAAGTTTCAGACTAATAATAATAGCCAGCTGCGCTTGCTGGAGGTGAGTGGTGGAAATGGCACTCCAAAAATTGGGTTTCCACGAGTGGCTCATTTGGATAGTTTTCAGAAAAGCCCTAGTGAAGAAAATAATATTTATCAATTCAAGCAGAGCTTGTTTGGATTCAATGAGAATATCATGAGTTCTAACAATGTTACTGCAGAGTCATTTTCAAAGTTTGAAAGTGATACTATGCAGATGGATGGAACGATGAATGACAATACCGGTCAATTTACAATGTTTGAAAATGCATCTTCTTTTGATAATAATGAAATCAAGGAAGATGGTGATAATTTTGAAGAAGGGAGCAAAAGTGAACAAAATGAAGGTGAAGCGCAAGCCGATACTGAAGGCCAAGTTGGGACTGAAGAACAAGTGGGAATAGAAGAGAAAATTGGAAAGGAAGAGCAAGTTGCCGTTGGGGAAAATAAAGAAAACCAAGATAATGAGGAGCAAAAAAGTCACAAGGATAAAGGAGATCAAGAACATCAGGAAGAAATACAACACATTACACATAATGCAAATATTAATGAGAAAGTAATATCAGAAAAATCAAGCATATATATTGGGGCTCCTGTTTCCGAGGAAGAATTGGCAAATATAGAGTGTCAAAGAAACGATAATTTGAAACAGACCTCTGCTGATGAGAAATCGTCACTCATTGAGGTATCTCCCATCAAAGCTTCATCTAGAAAATGTAATGGTCCATCGGAAGAACGAGTAATGAGCCCAAAGGAGCACATGGACGAAATTGAAAGTTTGTTGGATAAAAGAAACTGCGAAAGACAGGCAAGGTTAAGCAAGAATGATAAAGTAGATAAAGTGGACCATATATTCAGTAATGAAGAAAATGATGAATTTGAATCCATTAGAAAGAACAATGCTTCTTCGGAACCAGAAAATCCATTCATGCTCAGGGTATCAGGATCACCAATTGCCTCATTTACTAGGAGCAGATTGACCCCTGCATCTGAAGTGCCGGCAAAATTACATGCTACTTCGATCCTCACCTCACTATTAGGCTCTGGTAAAAATGAGTCTCCGAAATTGATGGTTGATTCCCCAACAGTATCGATATCTAATCCGATCAATGCATTGGAAGTCACTTCAGAGGTCTCTTCCAGCACGGTCATTGCGAAACCTTATATCACACATTTTGGTGATCACCATTCTGGTGAGGTTTTGAATATCATTAGGCAGAAAGATGATGAAAATAAGAGACGCATGAGTAATCATGGAGAAGATTTTTCCAAAGCCAAGCAAGGAAGCAGGCGTCAGCATGGCAGCTTCAGCAGTACCATCACATCCACAGGGCTATTGTATAGAATTCCTTCGAAATCATCTTTCACAACATCGATTCATGAAGATTGATGTAGTACTTTTAGATGTGTTTATATTATAAATATTGTATATTATAACCGAATTTTACTGGCGATGATCGTAGATCATATTGACATTTTTCTGATAAAGGCACTACGCAGTTTGTCAAAGGAAAAAAAAACTCTGGAATCAAAATGATAATCGGTTTTAGAGAAGAAATAATTGATTTAAAAATAATAGTAATAATAAAAATAATAATAATAATAATAATGCTCAGAAGTATAATAAACACAGGTGTTGTCAGTGCTTCAAGGCCAGTTTTTCGCTCGAGATTCAGCACTTTTTCTTTGCAATCCGCCAAATTTCAACCGACATTTGCTAAAAAATCAAAAAAGTCTGCCATTCCAATTAAAGACACGATCCGCTCGTCTGATAAGACCCCAGTAGAGATTCCTACTGAGACGAAACCAGGGATTTTCAAGAGAATGTATAATGGGTGGTGTGGCATATCGTTCAAGCTCAGAATGTACGTTTGTATTTCGACGTTTGTGGTGGCCTGGCTCGCTGATTACATCTCACAAAAAGTTTATGAAAATGCCAGAATTAAACAAGAAGCTGAAAGATTGGCCAAGATAGAATTTGAGAGATTACAGCAGGGGAAAATAGAACAGGGGGAAAAGCAAGAAGAATCTTCCTAATTACAGTGATTTGGAGCATAAAAAATTCCTGCCCATGTAGATAATAATACATAATTAAACATATAAGTAAAGCGTGTGAAAGTAAATGTAGACATTAATGTTATACAAGATGATCAAGGGAATGTGAGAAAGGGGGGAAAAATGATAGAAAAATCATATTTATTCGTCATCTTCTTCATCAGATGATTCTTCATCAGCGGTTTCCAACCATTTCAAGAATGGTTTGGCAGCCTTTCTGACCTTCTTAGAGACTTTTTTGTCACCAACGTATTTCTTAGAGACAGTAGTACCGAATTTCTTGATTGCTTCTTCGCTAACCAAGTCGGCATCATATAATTCATACAAAATCTTTGGCATTTTGGCAATCAAGGCTGGTTTTTCCAACCCTAACAATCTTTCAATACCCCCAAGGAAGGCCTTTTCATGATCTTCAGTCTCAAGAAGTTTATCCAAAAATTGTTCGTGTTTCTTAATTTCTTCCACAATATTGTCGTCAAACAAAACTTGACCAAGAATTTGACAGGTTTCTTCATCATGGTCAATCTTCAATTCACTCATCTTCTTGAAAATTTCAACGTCAGAAGGTAATTTAGACTTATCATCACCAAAGCTGACAAGCCATTCACCAAATTGTTCGTATTTAGCGTTGGTAGAGACGGCAGCACTACCATCTTCAAGTGATAATTTCTTAGCTCTTTCAGCAATAGCTTCTGCCGACATGTCAACCGACCAGTCGTCATCTTTCAAGTCAACTTTTTTCTTCAACAAAGCAGAGGCTTCGGCTTCGATTTCATCTTGGCCTTCAACAGCTTCTCCCTTGGTTTCCTTCTTGTTGTCATCGACCAAGTCTGATATGGTTGATCCCCCAACGTTAGCGGCGGCAGTACCTTTGGCAATCTTCTTTGGTGGATTCTTGATAATGTAAGAGCTCAACTTGGATCTTGGATCAATATCGGTGATCTTACCACAAGCTTTACATTCTCTAATAAGAATATCCCCCTTTTTCACAATAATGTCTGTTTCCGGGTTCTTACAAGAGGCACAGAGGACAAACTTGGAAATGAACCCGTCCAAAGTGTCTTGCAACTTAGCAGAATCGTGTTGCCCATTAACCAAATAACGGTCGGTAGATTCACTCATGGAAGTCTGGGCACCCAATTCAAAACCAAAGTATTTGACGAGGTATGAAGGAGGACGGGCCAAAGCTTTGGCAACATCAGTCAAGTTGACAATAAGGGTTTTGATACCGTTACCTCTACCTTCAATCTTGGATTGAATAGGAGGCATCTTGTAACGGTAGAACACATCGGTGTTGTCACGGCAGATATTGATGAACGACATTTCTATCTTATATTTGTGTAGATTCTTTGGTTCACTTAGCCTTAGCTGATCTATAATATCATCTTCGTTGACAAAATTTCGTTTGATTAAAAAAGCATCTTCTGTCGGGTAACCTTTTTATATTTATCATGATATCTCTTCCTCTTAGATATTATCACTTTCACTTTTTCCTTCCTTTTCTGTACTGTCTTATGTTTAAATCCTGCTCTATTTCCTCCCAAGCTTTATCTCAATTGTTGAAATTAATCTATGGACACAACAAGATATGACCCAAGTCACTACTTACTCTTATTTTTTACAATCATAAAACCACATCATTAGCAGTTTAATTTTAATGATATCAAGTTGGATCTCTGTGAGAAAGGGAAAGTTAAATTAAATCATTGGGGATAAAGGTCTTGGAATCTCCCTTGCTCAATTCAACTCTAAGCACCTCAAAATTCTCCCTAATTCTCGCCGGAGCGACAGATCTAACCAAAACAATAAATCAGGTTGGAACGACCACTATTTGAGTAATATTTAACGATTGGTTTTGCCGAATTTCTTAGCCCATATCCAGTATGTGATTATTAAAATTTCAACGTGATCCTTAATACTCTAATACGTGTTTCATAACCAATCCTTACGGAAGAAAGTATTGGCAATAAACTAGATACTCTCACGCTTGTTTTATGGCGAATCTTTTCTTTTCCTGGAGGCCCGACCCATTCCAACTTTATTTTAGTATCTTTGGTAGTTTCAGTGGAATTGTATCTAGCCCTCAAAAATTATTAAGCTTGTACCAATGTTATCTTGGCATTCATAAAATATATCCCAAATCCATATCTGGAAGATGGCAGTCCCATGGCTTAATCTCACTGATGTTTTTGGTTTATATTATGAGAAACCATTGGGTGTTTTGAAATAATAACTTTAGTCTTCCCGGTCAGTGAAATTATTACAATAGCAGCAAGATATGAAGGAGTTTTTGAAGAAAAGTAGTTCTACTGTTATAGTATCTACAATCTTGAATGAGCAAAAGTTTGTTAAACTAATATTCATATTAAAACATAGTCACAAGGAAGTATTTCTCACTCATTTTCTAGAAGTAAAATATTAAATTTTGTCAGTTTTACCTTAAGGTGGAAAAATGTGGCTTTTTTAATATGTCTACAGGTTGGTGACTGCTTTTTTAATATTATTACGTGTATCATCAATGAAAACCTCACGTAAAATATTAAATTAGTGAGGGATTCGGGAGAAAAAGGTCTTTGAGACATAAAAGAAACATATGGTAACAAGCGGACGTCCATAGACCGGAATCCCAGAGTTCAATTATTCTTTATGCTTTATAGTAACCAATGGGATTTAAATGTTAATAATCTAGAAAATTAGAAAACTGTGGACAATTTTTTTTCAGTGAGACAGACAACTTAGTACCCACCATGCCTTATCTTAGAATACATTACTTCTGTAAAGTTCCCCCTACAGCGTACTGAAAAAAAAAAAAAAAAATACTTGGCTTTCATGTTTTATCTTAGTGATATTTGATTAGCCATCGCCTTTTATGTTCGATATATCACATTGATAATTGTCAATAAAATGATTACCTAATCTTTTGTACCGCTGAAAAGAGCTGTGGGGATCACCCTTTCTCAAAAAAAAGAAAATTCAAGAAGGTTCTAATCACTGTGTTGCTCTAGCATTTGCCTTCTTTGTGTATAAATTGGTTAATAATTCCTCTCATACCAGATAATCTTTTCACCATATTCCACAAAAATAACCATTACTTTATCCAATGTCAGTGACAAGCCATCCATGTGATATTTATGATGTCGTCAGACAGTTTTCCTCTCTCTCTCACTATCTGAAATCAATAAAAAGCTAAAAGACCTTAACTTTTTCAAGGAAGCAGCTACTAGTGTGGCAGTCATTCGGCTTGAAAACTCGAAATTTCAAGGTGGGAAAAATGTTGGAAACACTTGAAGACTCAAACATGTTGCAAGTCGTGGTTTCTTTGAATTCCAATATCTTCGATAGGCATGATATTTCATTAATCAAAAAAATTTCCTTGCGGAGTATTTTTGTATCCTAACATGAAACAAGCTACAACAGGTCTTGACAAATTGTATCTACTCCAGGACAGTATTTCTTCGCTGCTGATAACTGCATTATTCTTGGACTTAGACGTGCGCGCTGGCTGCAAAGAAGCTTAACATCCGCTTGAAGTTCCTGTAATCACTTGAGTAGTTAAGTATTGAGTTCTCCGCTTAAGAAGATCAGTAATCTATGTGTATCAGATCATTGAGTTCCCCTTTTTTTAGTCCCTCAGCTCGGCACTAAACTCGATAAAAAAACTGAGGAGTGTAAAACTCCTATTATTAAATATCAAGAACTTGAAAAGTTTGCAGCTATTCAATGTTACTTTTGATGAGGAGGATGAAGCAAAGAAATCCAAATAAGATTTTAGCTCTTTCATGAATGTTGAAAGAGCATCTTTTTCCATTTACGGAAATTTCACAAAAACTGCAATCAAAATTTAATAATTTCAAAGATAGCTTGAGAGTCTTGCAAATCTACAATTGTTTGAATATTTTACAAATGATCCGAGCCGTTGGGTTTGCCAAATTGAAGTTCTTACTTTTAGAGTATTCTGATATAAAAAAATTCAAGGAATACGATAACAGATCTCAAGATTACTTTAATGTCTTCAATAAAATGAGCTTGGAATCATTGGCATTAATTAGTTTGAAAATGGCTCAAATTCATGGCTTTAAAGTCTTGGAGAAATTGGAAAGCTAAAAACGGATGATAACTGAATTAACATGCGTGTTTGAGATCTATCATGAGCAGTTGGAGGATTTCAGTTAAGATGTAAACCACTTATCTAAATGGTTACCGAGCTTGAAATGTCTTAATCTAAGAGCGGTAGGTGATGGTGCCTCATTCTCATTGAATGACAGTAAATTAGATACTAAAAGTTTACATTATCGCTGTGTCGACTTCGCGAACGAATTGACTTTGGAAAACTTCGCTGCCCCAAATTTACTTGAATTAGCGGTGTTCAACCACTGTATCAATTTCCCTATTGGAGATCCTCAGTAGGAATTTGAAGGTATCAATGCGCCACGTTTGCAGCATTTTGAGCTCGACATCATCGATTCCCTAGTTCTTACCCCTATTTATTTGACAAATTTCCTAGAATTAGAGAGATTTATCCTAAGGGGTCAGTGTGATGAGTTGTTGACGTTGGGTAATGATAATTTGGAAAAATGTAAATTAGGGGAAATATCGAACTAGGAGTACAATGAAGTTTGCCAGCATTAAAGGAAACCATTTCTGATGATGATGTCATTGAAATTTTCAGAGAAAATAATATCGATTTATCAAATTTCTAAAAGCCTTAAAAACGTGGAAAAGCCTCTACCGAAGCTTCCACTGGTGTGGAGCAAGAGTTAAAAAAGGATATGGATTTTTTCTTTTTCCACAAAACCATGTTTTACATTCATTAATAATAAATAAGGAAAAAAATAAGCTTTCATGTTACCAGCAATAAATTTCGATACTGTACCTGAATGAATAGTGAATAGTGAATAAACGATCAAGTGATTATCATGTTTTATAGGGTATATTACCCCTTATACTGTCAAAATGAGGCAAAAGATCCACGTATTGGTAACCTCAATGCACAACAAAAAAAAAAAGAGAAAAAAAGAGGGAAAAAAAGAATTACAGACCAACGCCTGAAACCATAAAAGATATCTTTCATCATATGCTATTGCTATTGATTCCAGGTTTCGTAGAATCTTTTCTAATGGGACTCTCGTTTGTTCACTGCGGAAAAAGTTACAATTGTACACAAATATCGGCTAAGCTGTAATATTAACTTGATTTATTATAAAAAATAATATTCAAGGAATAACATAAAGATCTGATAATAAGTAAATGATTATGTAATCAATGAACAATGCTGGTGGTATATGTTACATAAGATGTTGCAGCCAATCAATCACATCTTTAACTTCTCTTCAGCTACAATTATTGGCGCTATTATTCCAGTGAATATTTTCATGACTCTTGTAATCTTTGGTTGGCAACCTTGAAACTTATATCGATAAGTATCGGCCCACTGTTATTCTTTAATAGACATTGCGGTTTTGCATGTTCCAAATCATTGTGAACAGTCTCATATTTTGAAATTTTCAAACCATCAGCTGAGTTTCAAAATTTTGTTAAAATGAAATCAGTAGCGGATGGAAAACTAGTTGATTTTTTGAAGCTCGGAAAAAAAATCTGTCCAAAGCGGTAAATTTATGGTTTCTGGTACCTTAAGGCCTCATTTTCCTCGATCACTCTATCGTCTGATATCTGATGGCATTGGCAATCTTCTGATATTATTGCTCCATGGTTGTAGTCACATCATCAAGAGCATAATTCTATGTATAAATTAATGAACGCTGTTACAGTCGCTCCTTTTAAATGCCTTCTGGAAAGTTATATATCTCTAGTATGGCCATTCTTCTCAATATTTCTGAAGCTGTAATATCCATATGTCTTGATTTAACATCATGCGCTGCATTCCTTCCGTCATTTAGTTCTGTAATTCCCGAGAATTAATACAGTGTCCCCAGAATTACTGGCCACGCCCTCTAATAATGAATTTTTCATGAATTAAGATGATGGTCACCAAGATTCTAGGTTAGTGGAGCTTAAATAGATGATTATCAGCGAGAATGTGAAATGCATGTGCCAGGCCATACTAGCAATCACAATAAGTAAGATTGACGCAATTATATACCTTATATACTTTGAACATATGACGCATTTTTTTATGTTACTAACAATGCTATAAGATCGTTTTACTCTTCATGAGATTCAGATGCAGCGGGGTACAGAAACACTAGAAAGTGAATGAATGCAAAATATGGTAAAAAATACGCAGAAAAATACGCAGAAAAATACACCGTGACAATAATACCAGATTTTTTCTCTACAAATAATCACGACAATTGTTGAGAGATGACATCGGGTTTGAATAAGGAGAAAAAAAAAAGAGTTGTGGTGCGCAGAGAGCACACAAAAAATATCGTCACAGACAAGATTCGAACTTGCGAAGGAAAATCCCAATGCCTAACAGCTTGACAATTTAAATCATAGCAGGGCATCGCCTTAACCACTCGGCCACAGTGACTGATATATTTACATCATCTCAAGAACTTAGATATCCATAGAAAATTATAACACCCTTACACCATCTTAAAAAAAAAACACCAGGTTTTGATTTATTTGGTTTATTTGGTTTATTTGGTTTACTTGGTAATTTTGACTTATTTGAATCATTTGGTCTATTTGATTATTTGAATTATTTTTTACTTGGATCTAATCATTCTATTGATTTTTATTATTTTTATCTTTATTATCCCCCCAGAATCCTGATGGTCACTACATTGAAAATACTTAGTATTTGAGATATAGTGCCAAAACCCCTCAACAAAGACCTCCATCTCAGTTCATGAAGCTCCTAGTGATGGGTAATTCACTAGTGACTTCATCTCATATTTTCACATTGCACCTTTTTTCCTTAATAATCTTGATTGTTGAGTTTTTTACCGGTGATGTGATTAATTCTTAAAGCAAGGAGTGTGAGGTTGTGAGAAAGTTATAGTATTTTACTTATCTATTAGAAAGACCGGCATGAAATGCCCGGCTTGCATGTTATTTAGAACCTCTGTGACTCGTTAATATACAATTCATTCATTCATTCATTCACCAGGTCACGTTCAGTACCCTAACTGAGTAAGGAGTAATACCACTCTGAAGGTAAGATACAAGGGGGTTTTAGGGAGTAAAAATCTCACACTACCGGTAAGGTTGCGTCGCTGGTGTCCTTCGAGGATTTCCTCCTCACTAAAAAAAATAGTGACAGGTTGCTACAAGTCAAAAACATTGCATTTTCCAACCCAAACTCCCGGGTTACCAAAAATATTGGGAGAACACCAAATAAGTCGCCATAGCTGCGCATAATTGATCATAATAACCGTACATAAAAAGTGCGATGACCAATATAGCTCTTAGTAGTTAAATATATAGGGACTTTAAAAAAAAAAAAAAAATTGAATTTTGCCTTTAAAAAAAAAAAAAAACACTAAAAAGTTTAAAATGAGTATTAATAATACCAAAAGAATTCCAAAGCCTTCCAACTACTCCACTGATCCAACAAATGATCCACCTTCTCAAGAAACCCTGGTTTCTTCTGATATTATCGTTGACTTAGATCATGCAAATCCCAACCCAACCGATCAAAACAATGTAAACAAACACGGAAATGAACCACATTCAGACGAAGAAATCACTGAGGAAGATGACAATACTTTTTTAAATACTGCTGAAACCTTTGCAACCCCATCTAATACCATAAATGAGGCCTCTAATGCTGATTCTGATGTTGATATTGCCCACCGCCCAGCCCCGGAAATTAATGTTTCTCCAGTTGATTGCGATCGCAATCTTGACAGTGCAGGTGACACTAGCGTCGACATGCATATGTCAAATCAAGCCACCATTGAATCTCAAGGAGATTCACAACCTTCTGTTTCTATTGATTTTGTTACTGAAAACTTTGAAAACAAAAAAAAAATTGAAAACAAAAAAACCAAAAAAAACTCTGAAAACCAAAAAACCCCAAAAAAAACTAAGCCAGCCCCAGTTGCTGCTTTCAGCAGATCCTACGCCCAAATCGCCTCGGGCTCTAAAGGCGCATCCCAACAGGGGACCCTGATTATGAACACCACCTCCACTTTTAAAAATGTTTTAGCCAAATTTGAAAGAGTTTTTAAATGGGCTAAATATCTCAAATCAATCAAGTTCGAACACCAAGATGTCCTTGAATATGCTATTAAGGAAAAGGGCATGAGGGGATCACTTTTCGGATTTGACACACAAAAAGTGGAAAATGTTGAAGAGAAATATCAAGAATTTGTCAAAATCTACACCATTGAAAAGTTTTTCAAATTTTATACAAATTCCCATTTAATTAATGAATTCTCAAGATTGAAACAATCTAATATTGCAGAGGAGGATTACATTAAATTTATTATGAGCCATCAAGATAAACAAAAAATCATGATGTCATTTATTATCCCACCTGAGGTCTACCGGAAGTATGAGCTTGATGATCATTTGAGTTCAATAAAGGATGCCTTCCAAAAATTAATCGATGTTAAATTAACCAACATTGAAACTGATTTGAATGATAATGATGATATCAACTTCATCAAGAAAGCTTTAATTGAAGCTCAAAACTACTTGTTTATTTCAAATGAAACTATTTGTCTCAAATCCTCACTTATCCCATTATTGAAAGGTCAGCTACAAACTAAGAATGAAAAGTTACGTAATGCATTTATTGATTTTGTCACTAGCCATTTAAGTGTTGACATTGAACAATCCACTTACAAGCCACGCATCAATATCAACAAGAATGATAAAGAAATCCAATTGATTGAGATAAAAGCCTTGGAAACAACCCCCGACTATTTTGTCAATGCTACCATCAAACAAGTGCTTGACCTAGCCCGAATTGAACCAACATCATTCTCAGTGATTAAAAGTGACATGACTAAAAGACCCAATGAGGAGCTTAAAAATCGTTACATTTATGGTTACTTGGAAATGGAACCAGGAAAACAAATCCCGGTTATCCACCAAGACAACATTGTTTCTAAAGTTATCACTAAATACTTACATTGTATCAATTGTGGCTCAATAGAACACACCAGATACAATTGCAAGCAAGCATAAGA